CACCCCACCCCTCCACCTCGCTGCCAATGATGGCAAATTTTGTGAATTGTTTTTCTCCTGTCCCCTTACTGGTTCTAAAACCTTTTGCTGCCCAACCTGACTTTGTAGTTCTGTTTCTTACTTGTTTGATATTGATTTTGTTCTTGTCTAGGTTTATTTTTAATGACATTTTTAATGTTCAATTTCTCCCTCCAGGTCAGTATAAAGGACTTGAAGTCTTTTTTAACCCTCCCCCAGGAATTGCAGAAGTATCACTCTGATTCTTTAAAAAATCACTTTATATGCCTGTTTCCAAGCACTGATTATCTTCATAATACCTTAAGACAGAACGATTTGCAGTCATCCATATCCTGTGATTGAGTAATTGAATCATTAGCTCTCCACAGTTGCCCTGAAGCAAGTGGAAACAGCTAAGGGCAAGCAGTGCTCTAGGGTCACTGGGAAAATCTAACAACAGGAGACTGGGGGCATTGTCATGACTTTAAAAGTGGCTTCCTACCTTATTAAATAGGGTTTGCATTGATAGAGGATTGAAGACAATCTTTCAGACTTTGGGTCTTTCACTTGCCTTTGTAGTTATATGTGTTTAATGTCTCGTAGGTTTGTGCTTTTATAATCTTTAATATGAAAAACAGTGAATCTTCATGGATGCCTTCATTTCCCCAGCTCTAGATGCAGATATTTAAATGACTGCAGTTGGCAGAATGACCATAGATAATGTAAAAGTACACCTTTCCTTAGCCTCAGGTCTGTGAGACTAGAATTGAAGCCGTCTCCAGTCCCCCCAATGAGGCTGAATCAATGTGATCGTGGGTGGGAACTTTTATCCAAAACCCAATGAAGAACTTGAATGTCTGAACAAATGTAAGGGACCTCTCATAGAGCTTTAAAACATCTTACACAAATGCAACAAATGTGGAGCTCTAAGAATCAAAAAAGATTTTTAAATTTCTGAAAGTGATGATACTTTTAAAGTGCTGCATATTTATACAACTGAAAGATTATTTTTGTAGATACAATGTCTGTGAGCTGGGATACCTGGAGAGTGCTTCAGGCATTTAAAAAATCACTTTTTTACTCCTAGGGAGATGCAAATAAACAGAACTCTCTGATTTCCTGAATCTTTATACATTTGTTTTCTGTTTGTTTTTTTAAGTCAGCCTCTAGAAACTGTTCTTATTTATTATAAAAATCTTGTTATCCAGCACACTCTGATGTCCCCTATAGATGAAGAAAAAGAAACACCAGTTCTGGTCTCTGGAACCTCCTGACTTTCCACTTTTCCTTGTGGCTTTAACATAAGTAATGATGTCTTTCAATGAAGATATAATTTGTGGTATCTAAAATGGTGTGTGTGTTGTGTATGTGTGTGTGTGTGTGTGTTTTAACCAGGCCAGCTCAAAAACATCTCCAATAAAATTTTACTTCTTTATCAATATTATCAATTTATTCAAAGTTTTATTTTTTTAATCAATATGTATGGGTGTGCCTGGGCATAAAAAAATTGCTCACTTGGAGGTTTTCTTCCTAGAAAGGCCGTTATAAATATCTACTCTAGGAAGCTCTCGAAATTAGACATATCCATATTTGGCAACTGGGGAAGAAACAGTTCAAGTGTATCCCTTATCGCCTTCTCGGGACGGCCTGCACAGAGCAGTTGAAGACTGAAGCCATAATTACACACCCTAAACCTCTACAAACAATTTTTAGGCAATGTGAACTCTCTTATTGAGGCCTTTTTTGCCACTCGAAATGGCTGGCCGCTGACGAACTGGATGCCTCCTCCTTCTTAGCGCCCGGGCGCAATTTGGCAGCTGCTAACTTTTTGATATACAAGTTAAATACAGATGTTTAAAACTTCACACAATATGTGAATTCTTCTAGCAGGAGGGCTCCCTTCTGGATCTGCCAGACAAAGTACAGAAACCTCAGGTCCGGAGCTACTTTCGTTTTCTCTGGCCGGGTTTGATTCCTCTCCTGTCTTGCAACCAACTGCGGGAGGGCGACCAACTTCGTCTTAATTACGGGAGAGATAAGAAAAAGAAAAGTCATCACTAGTCCATCTCTGGAGAAGAAACAACCGCTGAGAACGGAGCCAAACCGGCCCCCCCATGTGCCACGCCACGAAGTTACTAGCATTTTTTGATTTTTTTCTCACAAGAAGTTTTCGTCTGAAATGGACGTTTTTTCTTCTTCTCCACCGTGGTTCACCCCCCCCCCCCCCCGCCCCAAGCCCGTTCTTTTTTGTAAATTCCAGATTCCAGGGCCGGACTCCCCTTCCCAGGTCCGTTTCTCAGGTTTCCCGTTAGGGATAGGGCTGGGGGTGGGGAACTGCCTCGAGGTTTCCCTTTCATCTATAGTTTGCCGGTCAGTTTCTCTCCGCCGGAGAGAAACGGGAGGTTTGCTGAAGATTAAAACTGAGCTCAAACGCTCTCCGGTGGAATTTAAATTGACGGTTAAATCAATAACAGATGAAGACTTTGTTATTTATATGCATTCCATTTCTATTTCGAAACGAAGCGGGAGGCGAGGCGCGGGTCGGTGGCCGAAGCGCCGGAGGGAAGGCCAGCGGGGCACCGGGAGGCCCTTCCTGGAGGTGCAGACCGCGACGCTGCGGCGAGGGTGATGCCTCGGGAACCTGGCAGGTTTCGAGCGCCGCCGGTGGAGAATCCAGGCTCGTGTGTCCACGGGTAACTCAGGAGGCCAAGGAGGCGTTGGAGCCGGGACGCACAGCTAGACAAAAGGGCGGCCGCGACGCTCCCTCGTGTCTGGCAGCCCGCCGGGTCCCTCTGGCTCCGCCGGCTCCGCCAGCCTCGCCGCAAGGTCGCTGGCTCTCCGAGACGCTCGGCAGCGCCTGGCAGCGGGCCTTGACCGCACGGGCTGGCGACCCCTGGCCGGCTGCGCCGCCCTTCACTGTTGATCTTGACCGTGCGCCGCCGCTTCGCCAGCGTGGAGCGCGCTCGCCATCTCCTGGGCGGTCGGTGCATTGGCGGAGCTCGCCTTTCAGCTCCGCGGCCAAATTGTTTCCCGGTTCTTCAATTACCAGCCAAGCCTCCTGCATCCCCGCCCCCAACCCCCATCCCCACCCCACCCCCGGCGCCATGACGCCCTCCCTCCCTGCCCCTAGCTCTCAGCTCCACGCACACAGGCAACTTTGCCTGCTAAACCTCGGAAATCAGAAACCCGAGAGGTCGGGTGGGGTGGATGGGCCCCGTTCTGGCTCCAGGAGAAACGGGGAGACTGTTTTAGTCTTTTTTGTTTCTTAGTTAATTTCCTTTACATCTGTAGTCCTGAGAGGCAAACCCCAGCTGGATGGCTGTCTGAAGGTTAGGAGAAGACGCTTCCGAACTTGAAAATACTGGAGGATCGTTATGGACTGCCCGGAAGGGAGGAGACCGCAGGGAACCCTGGAGCAAGAGTTTTTGGGCCTGGAGAGGCAACAGCTCCTCGACAGCAGGGCGAGTTTCCGAAAATAAGAGCCTGGGTCCCCTGAATTCCCAGGAACTGAGGTTTTAGATTGTTGCCTGCACCTTCCAGGGAGGGGAGCGCCTCTCTCTGAATTGCTAAGATAACTCTTGAAAGAGCCCTGAGGACCCCCAGAGCTACCTACCCTTATCCCTTACCCCTACCCCCCTTCCTCGAGCGGGAGGAAGAAGTCGATTGCGTTCCCCAGAGCCGCCCAATTGGTCGCCATAACTCACACAATAAAGCCGCAGCACAGTGGTCAGCCTTGCCCTCCGGCGGCGCCTGTGTGGTCTCCGTGCCGAGCTGGCGGTCTAACCAATTCCAGCTTGACTGGGGGACTGGGAGACAGGCTGCAGGCTGGAGCGGGCATCAGTCACGGGATCGCTGGGGGCCTTGGGTCGAAGACAGGAGAGGAAGACCCCTAACCCTCCCGCATGTCTAGACCGAAGGCTTGGGCTGGAGCTGCCATGCTGCTTCCAGAATGGGAGCTCTATCCTGCAGCAGGGTTGGCTGGCAATTCCCTGTTCTCCAGACCCGGAACCTACCGAGAACCTGTACCTTCTGGAAGGTCTGAGTTGAGAAACTGCACCACTGGCTCTAGCTCTTCTGCCCTTCACATCAGGTAGGGGGAGTCCATGCTTGTGCTGCCTGCCAGGGAGTGGATGAACGCATTTGGAGTTTGAATTTGCAGGATGTAGTGACCAAGGTTACTCTACCCAGAGCAAGAATGTACCCTTTGGCCATGATTGGCCAACTCAACTGCACCATCCCAGGTCCAGCATTCTCCATAAACCTATATGGTGACTCCCCTAGCAGCAGAGGGCTTGACCATGGAGACGCACAGCAGGAATGATGTGAATTTTCCTTCCTGGGCACCAAACTTGGGCAGTTTACAATTCATTTCTCCTGGAATAGCAAACCTCTGGGACAGCGTCTGAAGCCCGGTACAGAGAGGGTCCAAGCGCTTCACTGTCAGGTCATCATGGATGCAGAAACCACTCTACAGCCCTCTGATAGGAGGGTGGTGGTAAGAGTAGCATTGCTCAGACCTAGGGACAGAGCTGGCGACACCACCAGACTGCAGGTTCTTCAAACCAGGCAAGAGGTGGGCAACACTGGTAAAGGCCTCAGCTGCAACTTAAAACTGGTAGAAGCAAGCCTGCCTCTGGTAGCCAGTGAAGATGGGAATGTAAAGCCAATCAAGCTCAAGAAGGGCCCAGGGGACACTCGGGCAAAAGCACTGGACGCTTGGTGCCCCCAGCTCTTCAAGGCAGCCGGGAAGTGAAGAGGCTTCTTTTTCACTCAACAGGACTTGACTTTGCCTGACAGCCTCTTCCTTTGCCATCGAATATCGCGCGTGTTATCATAATACCCTGAAGGGGTGGGGGGAACGGGTCGGGGGATGTAGGCGGTGCTGAAATGACCGGCTTTGAAGAACCTGCAGGCAAAGTTTCGTCCAATCGTCTGAGCCTGTCCTCTTATTCCCGGTTGTAACTAAATACTGCTGCAAGCGCAGCCGAAGCCCTTTGTTGGAGATGTGTGAGCGCAGTCTCTACAGAGCGGGCTATGTGGGCTCGCTTCTAAATCTTCAGTCGCCCGATTCCTTTTACTTCTCCAACCTGCGACCGAATGGAGGCCAGTTGGCCGCCCTTCCCCCCATCTCTTACCCGCGCAGCGCGTTGCCCTGGGCCACCACGCCCGCCTCCTGCGCCCCAGCTCAGCCTGCCGGCGCCACAGCCTTTGGCAGCTTCTCTCAGCCCTACCTGGCCGGCTCCGGGGCTCTTGGCCTGCAACCCCTGGGCTCCAAGGACGGACCCGAAGAGCAGGCCAAGTTTTATACGCCTGACGCTGCTGCCGGGCCTGAGGAGCGTGGCCGTGCTCGGCCGCCCTTCGCCCCCGAGGCTAGCCTGGCCCCAGCGGCCGCTGCTCTCAAAGCCGCCAAGTACGACTACACGGGAGTGGGCCGTGCCGCGCCCGTCTCTGCGGCCTTGCTGGAGGGGACCCCCTGCGCCGCCAGCTTCAAGGACGACGCCAAAGGCCCGCTCAACTTGAACATGACAGTGCAGGCGGCGGGCGTCTCCTCTTGCCTGCGACCTTCGCTGCCCGACGGTAAACCGTTGCCATGCTCCCCGGGCCAGTTTTGGGCCAGGAACGGGAGGTGGGGTGTAGGGAAGTGTGTCTGGAGGGAGGGAGTCACTGGGGCGGGCAAGGCAACAGGGAACGGGCTGGACTGACTTGGGTTGGGGCTGTGTTGCAGGCCTGCCGTGGGGGGCGGCCCCGGGGAAGGCCCGCAAGAAGCGGAAACCCTACACCAAGCAGCAGATTGCGGAGCTGGAGAACGAATTCCTCCTCAACGAATTCATCAACCGGCAGAAGCGCAAGGAATTGTCCAACAGGCTGAACCTCAGCGACCAGCAGGTCAAAATCTGGTTCCAGAACAGGCGTATGAAAAAGAAGCGGGTGGTGCTGCGTGAGCAGGCACTGGCACTATATTAGCTGCGGGCGTGGCCAAGGCCAGCCCGGCCCTGCCTTTTTGAGCCGAGGCCTGGCGTGGAGGAAGAGCTGGAACTGGTGGTTTTCCTTCCGCTCCTTCTCGGTGGGTCCCAGGAACTCTCCAGCTCTGTCTGCATCTCTAGAAGCCAGCGGGAGATTTGGAGACCTAGCCAGTTGGGCCTCGACGCTTTCCGCTCTAGGAGGGACGAGTGGAAATTGCAGCACAACCTTGGTCTTGAGGTTTCCCTAGGGTCACCTGTCCTAGCGCCTGACTGGGGCGTTGACACCCAGGTCTCGCTCTGGTTGCCTTGCACTTGGATTTTCTGCCTCCACCCGGTTAGTGTCCCTTCCCTCCTCTCCCTAACCCCTTCTGCATTTAACAAGCATGTAGCTAGAGCTCAGTTCAAGGGAATTTAAGAAGATCTGGGGTGGGGGGCAGAGTGGAAAGGGTTGAGAGCACAATTTTGTCTCTTTGCAGACAACGTCCCTTGTGGCAAAATCAGATTCTCACTCTGGAAAAAGGAAAGTGAGACCCCTGCTCCCCCCCCCCATCTGCCCTGGTCCATTAGGAAAGACAAAGGCTGCCCTAGACCTTCGGACTTGAGGAGGAAAGGGGAGGAGCAGGGTGTGTGACGGTAGGACAAAGTCAGTGAAGACACCTCAGAGTTCTGGCCCAGCTGAGTAGGGGGAATGGACTGAATACTTCCTTCCCATCAATGGGATGAGGGAAGCTGGACTCCTCAGCAAACTGCATTCTCCAGACAGGACTGGTAAAAGTCTCCTATTTCTCCCACCTCCTCACACATGCCTAGGCTAGGGCCCTGTGCTGTGTAACTGGACCCCCAGAACTGAGCTCTGCTAAGGAGAGCTGCTGGCTTGCTTTGAGGCTCGGTTGCACTAGGAGGAGGGGGAAATATCCAGGGGCAGGAGAAAGGAGTAAGCAAGGAGAGGGGTTCCTGCATTTTGACTGTAAGTACGGCTTTCTTGTTGAAGTGGGTAAAGGTGCTGATGTGTCTTTCTTGAGTTACTGTAATGGGCCATTGCAGGGAGAGGTGAAAGCTTCTATACCCATCAGGTGGCAAGGAAGGAGGCCACTCGCATCCTCAGCCCCTGGTCACTGCTCTTGACAAAGTAGAGAGAAGAAGTTCCCCTCATCTCTCATCTCCAACACCCACCCACCAACTTAATCAAAAGTTCAGTAGCTGAGCCCCTTCTGAGATGGTGTCTCGCTTACCGCAGTGGATTCTGTGAGGACCTGGGCCCTGCCAGCTTTGCTGTGTAGAGGCTGGGATTCGTGATTGCCACATGGAATTGTTCTGGGTGTGCTGGATATCCAACCTTAATCTCAGTGAACTCCAGGGTCTCCCCCCAAGCTCCCGCTACCATTCCTGCCTGCCTTGCCTCTTAGGAGAAGTAGCACCTCCCAACTTCTAGATACAGGACAAAGAGTTGAGGATATTTTCCCAAAGTCCAATGATTTTATTTTATTTTATTTTTTGCATCAGAGAACCAGGCCCTAGACGTGGAGAGGCCATTTCACAGGGAGCCCCGAGTCTCAGTACAACTGACCTCAGTTGATGTTTAGACCTAATTGCATTTCCTCTGTTATCTAATAGTTGCCGTGCATGTTTTGTTTTGTTTTGATTCTGTCAAAAGCAATAGCTTGTGTATATCAAACACGTAGAAATGTTTTGAGGGGAAATAAATATCCAGGTCCCAGGCAAGCTGTCAAGGGACTGATGCTGATTTTTCAAAATGTTTTGTATTCCCTCCTAATGTTTTTCAGGCCACCACATTCGTTTTTCTTTCCTGGTTGTGGTTTCACTGCGGGTGTTGACTGTTCATTAAATGACAAAATGGCTTCCAAGTCAGTCAGGAAATGGTGTATAAAAGCCTATGAACAAAATGCGTATGAAACATTCAAAGGGGCGGGGGGAATCATGGGTAGATTTGAGTGTGTCTCGCACACTAAGGGAACCCTCTGCTTGTCGTAGGCTAGGACTTCTGCATTTTGCCTAAATTCTCAAACTTCGATGTTTGCTGTTATCAGAGACTGCCAGGATAGATGGTTCCTCAAATTTCAATTAAAAACATCTCTCCTGGCCACATTTTAGCCAGTCTTCTCTCCAACAGGCTAGTCCCCTGTGGAATTCTCCATACAGTCACCTCTGCCTGGAGTTCACCTTGGAAAATGTGGTCTTCATACCCCTTAGGCCTTCAGAGCCTGTAGCTCCAGCCGGCGGGAAAGTTAGGGCCTCCTCAGTATTTACCACCCTCTTGAAGATCCCTACTCCCAGCTAACTGAGATGAAAATTAGAGCATTGCTAGCTTTTAGCAAGTGGGAGAATTAGTAAAACTGCTTAATCTCTAATATCAAGCATCCATTGGTTCCAACTTCCCTTCCCTGGACTGAATTTGATGTTTTTTAAAATATAATTTTAACAGTTCCATTTGCAAAATACAATAGGGGGAGGAGCAAAAAGCAGCCAAGCCTCTATCCTTAGAAATGTTTACCCCTGGGCAGAGCTCAAGGAGGTAGGTAGCACCCAGAATGTGGTCTCTCCCAATGGGGAGGTTTCCTTCCTCCAAAAGAATTAAAGAAAGGTGGAGGCCATAGTCAGATCTCAGGCTTGAGGGTCGGGTAAGGGGCCAGGAAATCAGACTTACTCAGACCCAGGCCTTCAGACACCATAGGAAGGCAGTTTCTTTCCAACAGATATGATTAAACATCGTGCTCTTTCTCTTTAGCCTGGGTCGTGGGATGGGAGGAGATATTCTTGAGTCCATTCCCCAAGGAGATTGAAATTATTCTAAGTGCAAATTTTTTTCTGTAGATTGGGGCTTCAACAGTGTTTTCCAAATCTATCCCTTTAACTGATCCACACAAATACCAAGGCGGCAGTGTCCTCTCTCTCTTCCTAGCCGAGGTGCTGGCAGGGATTTGAAATCACCACGAAATTGGTAAGAAACAAACGCCCCAGAAAAATGATGCTGAAATCTGAGTGCTCAGTACTCCCCCGCACAAAGACGGATAAACCTTCCGAAATGCTGCAGTCCAGGCAGGCCTCTTGACCAAGAAACAGGTCTTAAAACCAGAAATAAACGGCTTCGTCTGGCCTTCAGTCGGCTTTGAGCTCCCAGGGGCGACGGAGGACTCTTTTAAGGCCTGGGCCCTCCCCCCCAAGGGATGAGGGCTGGGGAGGCTTCCGGGAGGCCGGCGGGTGGAAGAGAAATCCGGAACCGTTGTAAATATTCATGTCTGAGGAGGGGTGCCCCTTCACCCCGCCTCTCCCAGCTGCATCCACCCCCCGGGGGGGGGCATGGCGCCTGTCCGGTCGTCCTTGGACAAAGGTGATCTCCCCACATTTTTGTTCTCCAGTCACTTGACTTAAGCAAAGCATCCCTATGCTCTGCAGGGAAGGGCCTGGCTCTGGGGGTTTTCTCCGCATTTCTCTTCTTTCGTTTCCTAAAAGAGCATAAATAATTAAAGTTTGGCAGGGAGGAAAAGCTTTCTTGCAGAACTGTAGTGGCAATAAATGAAATGACTCAGAATCCCTTCCCCAGTCAGCTTTTACGAGAGCTGCCAGACAGTGTCTGTTCACGTTCTCCAGATACCAGGGGCGCCCTGACAAAGTTAAGGTCAAGTTAGTGTCTTATCTTGGGTGGCTCAAAATTACCGCATCGCATCCGGGCGCTGCGCGGAAAGCTACCACTCGCGGAGCTGCCGGCGGTGCCTGGTGGGTCGGGTCCGCTCCCCGCGCTTCGAGTGGGGCCGTGCAGACGAGGACAAGGCCACAACGCCAGGGTCTTCACGGTAGGTTCTCGAGCGGGATGCGCGGAGTCGGGAGGTTGTGGTTTTCCTTGGGTTTGGGGGTGAGGGTCGAGGAGGGAGCTGGGGCCAAAGGGTGTCGCAGGGTTGGCCCAGAACGAAAACCCCGGGTGGGATGCGCGGTCGGGGTCCGCGGTAAAGCGCGGAGAGGGGCCGGTCGCCCCTTATCCCTATGCACCCTGGCGCCGCTGCGGATGGCGCGCCCTCCCCAGCTAAAGCGCAGCTCCCGCCGCAGCAGCCGTCGCCATGTCGTTGAACTTGAATGGTGCTTCCCCATTTCCCTGTTCGTGGCCAGTAAGCTCCACTTTGGGGGCAGCGGGCTGTCTGTGCCCCACCCCATACAGAGAGAAAGTGGAAATTTTTGTGTACCCCCAGATACATAAAGACCCAGCCGGGGTTCTCGCCTCTGCCCTGGGTCCTGAGCAGCCGCAGGGCCAGTGTGCAGTGTCGGGGGAGCCATTTTAGGAGAGATGGGGGTGTCAGCCTCCCGCGAGAAAGAGAGGAGCTTGGACCCAGGATGGAGATGGGGAAGCAGATAAGTGTGAGGCAGTCTGGGTTAAAAAGGGGGTTGACTTGGCATGTGAACTGAGAAGAGGGTGCACAGAAGGACGAGCAATTCTGGGGGGAGGCTCCTTGCTCTTCAGTCGCCACCGCCGACCTGTTTGCGCTGCTTTCTCAAGAAAGCAGAAGTGGGAGGGGGCAAGGGAGGGGCAGTGGGAGGGAGAAAAGAGAGGGAGGAGAAAGAGAGGAATGGGGGGAACACTGGCCAGAAAATAGATATGAAGTCTGATCACCCGCCTTTTCTCTGTCTGTTGGCATGGGGGGCAGAGCTCACGGCGGGGGACTGCGGTGGTGGCTGTGGCCAGGGAGGGAACCAGCTTCACAGCCCATGTGGCCTGCCCTGGGCTGAAACCCTGGACCCAGAGGAATCATGGGGAGAAGGGCGACTTCCTGGCCTCCGTAATCTAAGATCTGGCTTTGGAAAGCTCATTTCTGAGAGACTTATTTTGTGTCTGGAAAACCCTGGTTCTCCGGGAGGCAGGAGCCCCGGCCTTGCATGGACCCACGAACTAGGAAGGGAAACTCATCTGCAGCCAGGGAGAGTCAGCCCTCTGGGCATGGGGACGAGGGGTTCTCAGGGCCAGGTGGACAGAGGGGCTTCTACAAGAAGGCAAGAGCTGTCAAGAATCATCTGCCCAGAGCCGAAGGACCTGGGGCCAGGGGCATGACTGTGGCACCCTAGGACTCAGCAGGAGCCTGGGGGAGAAGCAGGTGGGTGTGTAGGCCTTGGTGGGGCTCTGAACCAGGGGAGGGACTCCACATGAGATGCCCAGACCAGAAAGACAAGAGGGTGAGCAGAGAGGAGGTGCTGGGGGTTGTCTCTGGTTGTGTGTGGGGCACGGGGGCGGGTAACAGGGGGCCTGATCTAGTAGGTCCTAGATCCCTTTGTTCCTCAGACTCCCCAGCGTTTAGAGGGCCACTGGGTGTCTCTGCTGGCCAAATTCCCCTTTAGCGTGGAGAGAGAAAAGGCAGAGCTGCAACAGGGAGAGAGAGACAGTGACACACCAGAAGAAAGGGAGAGGGAGAGAGAGAGAGAGAGAGAGAGAGAGAGAGAGAGAGAGAGAGAGAGAGAGAGAGAGAGAGAGGAAGAAGAATAGGAAGGAGGAAGGAAAGAGGAAACAAGACAGGGGGCTGGAAGAAGAGAGGCCTGCAGAGAGAGAAGTGGGGAGACTGGAGAGAGACAGGAACAGAGGGAGAGAGAAAGAGAGAGCCAGAGGGCCAGGGGGCACCGAGGCCCGCCTGGGTGAGTTTCTGACAGGGATTTGGCATCTTTTTTTCCGAGGCCGGCTTCCGAGCTCAGGCGGCTAGTAGCCGTGCGGGACTGAGAAATATGTAAATCAGGGCTCCCTGCGCCCCGAGAGCGGCGCAATTACGCCCCTTGAACAAGAAGCAACAAGCTCCCGGCGCGGGCAGGCTGCAGAGGGTGACTGTGTCGCGGGGGAGAAAGCGGTGGTAGGAAGGGGGGGTGGGAAACTCACACCCTCACACCTAGTCCCCGGCGCCCCAGGCTGGGGCTCCCCCCTCTGCTCTCCGCGTCTCTCCCTTCCCCCTCCCTCCTCCTCCCTCCCCTCCCTCCTCCTCCCCGCCGGCCTTACTCCGCGTACTTAAAGCCGCGCGGGCGGACGCGGGCGGGCGGCCCGGCCGGGCGGTGGCAGATGCACCCAGCAGTGGCGGCCGCCGGCGGCGCACAGGTGACCGGCCTGCAGCGCAGCCGGGTCACGGGGCGCCGGGGGAGCGCTGGCTGCAGCCCGGGCGCGATCCGCCCCCAGCGCGCGCGAGTCGGGGCGCCGGGAGCCGTCCCAGGGCGTGTTGGCGAGCGCTGATATAGATATAAGGACATTTCTCTCCATGGCGTCACGTGACATAATTACCACCAGAATCAATCAAGATGAATTGCACGTCAGCGCCCGGTGGGGATTTTTGCTTAGTTGATCCTGGCCCAAGCCTCTTGTGCAATCGATGGCTCAGGTTGGCGGCTCGGGGAGCGGCCCGGGGCTCGCCGGCGCGCACGCCGCGCAGCCATGAACGACTTTGACGAGTGCGGCCCGAGCGCAGCCAGCATGTACCTGCCGGGCTGCGCCTACTACGTGGCCCCGTCGGACTTCGCCAGCAAGCCCTCGTTCCTGTCGCAGCCGTCGTCCTGCCAGATGACTTTCCCCTACTCCTCCAACCTGGCGCCGCACGTCCAGCCGGTGCGCGAAGTGGCCTTCCGCGACTACGGCCTGGAGCGCGCCAAGTGGCCGTACCGCGGCGGCGGCGCGGGCGGCGCGGGGGGCGGCAGCGGGGGCGGCCCCGGCGGGGGTGGCGCGGGCGGCGCGGGGGGCTACGCGCCCTACTACGCGGCGGCCGCGGCGGCCGCGGCCGCGGCGGCCGCAGCCGAGGAGGCGGCCATGCAGCGGGAGCTGCTCCCGCCCGCGGGCCGCCGGCCGGACGTGCTCTTCAAGGCGCCCGAGCCGGTGTGCGCCGCGCCCGGGCCGCCGCACGCGCCCGCGGGCGCCGCCTCCAACTTCTACAGCGCCGTGGGCCGCAACGGCATCCTGCCGCAGGGCTTCGACCAGTTCTACGAGGCCGCGCCCGGGCCCCCGTTCGCCGGCCCGCAGCCCCCGCCGCCGCCCGCCCCGCCGCAGCCCGAGGGCGCCGCCGACAAGGGCGACCCCAAGCCCGGGCCCGGCGCGGGCGGCGGCGGGGGCAGCCCCTGTGCCAAGACGACCCCAGCCTCGGAGCCCAAGGGGGCGGCGGAAGGCGGCGCCGAGGGGCCCCGGGGGAGGCGGGGGCTGAGAAGAGCGGCGGCGCAGGTAGGCACCGGGCGCGCGGTGGGCGGCTGGGCCCGGCGGGCCGCGGGCGCGCGGGGGGGGGGGGTCGCTGGGGGCCTCCCTCTGCTCGCGCCGTTTTATGTGCTACTTTATAAGCGTTCGAAGGGGTTTATACATCCTATAAGATTTCCCGGGCCGTTGTAAAGCGTGTTTACGATAGGAAACCAATTTAGGTGGGCTTAAGGTAGACCTCGAGGAGGACCATTTTAATGGCTGCAGAGAGCTCCTGCCCGGGGTGGAAGGTGGGTGGGGGTGTGTGCTGAAGGCCACGGAGGGAGGGAGCATTTCAAGTTTGCGAGTGCGGACACTCGGGCCTCCTGCTTGTCAGGGAGAGGGTGTGGAGTCTGATCCTGGAACTGGACTTTATCCAAGCCGCTGGCTGCCGCGCGGCTGGCTGGGCGCGAGCAGATGCCCCCGCGCGCTCACGTTTGCTTTCCCCACCGGGTTCTAGCCCAGAGCCTGCCTCTCGCCCTCTGCTTCCCCACCTCTGTGCTGCTCTGCGTGCGCGCGTGTGAGTGTGTGTGTGTGTGTGTGCGCGCGCGTGTGTCTGGGAGTGCACACACGTCCACGCCCGCGCTCTCCCTGTGCCCGCCCATATATCATCCCCCACGAGGCAGGCCGGCCCTTCCAGCGGCGGCAGGGGATGTCCCCAGCGGGCCGCGGCCTGGCCCCCGCGTGGAGGCCCCGGGCTGGCAGGGGTGGGCAGGCAGCGGCCTCTCTCACCGCTTCGTGTCTTTGCCTTGCAGTGGCCCCCCAGCGGTCCCGGAAAAAACGCTGTCCCTACACCAAGTACCAGATCCGCGAACTGGAACGCGAGTTTTTCTTTAACGTGTACATAAACAAAGAGAAAAGACTCCAACTCTCTCGGATGCTCAACCTCACTGACCGGCAAGTCAAAATCTGGTTCCAGAATCGCAGAATGAAAGAAAAGAAACTGAACAGAGACCGTCTGCAGTATTTCACTGGAAATCCCTTATTTTGAGAGCTCCAGGAAGCACCCCCCTCCCCCGAGCCCCACTCACACACCCTCCTCCCCACCAGCCTGCCCTCGGCAGGATCTATGTCCTTGGGTTTAATGACGCCTCTTCTCTGTGGAACTCCACGATTCCTTCCCACGGTCAACTCGGGACCTCCCAGCGACCACTGCAGCCTGCGGACGAGGCCGGGGACTTGGCCGACCGGATCCTAATAAGGGGAAAAATGGTAAATGCAAATGTCCCTTTACAATTTTACCGCCAATGTGCTGTTGTTCTCCCTCCCTCTCTCCCAGTCCCGGTGGCGCCGCTGTGGGATCTGTAGAGTTAGGCCTCTGGGCTGCAAGGCTCTTGTTTTTGTTCTGAGTTTAAGGACCAGGTCCTCCCCGCCTTGGTAAATCCGATTATTTAAACTCTGGGAAATGTACCTTTGGTGTGTCTTATCAAGGCACAAGTCATTGTCTCATGTGTGAATAAATGGTTTCTAGTAAAATGGAGGTTACAGTTTCAGTACACTGTATGTATTTCCCACTATTTAAGGGGCCATAACCTTCTCCCCCAAGCAAATGAAAATCAAGTGAAGTGCTTTTTCATTTTGCTAAATTAAGATTAGGAGTTATCCCTCCCACCACCTCTAGACTACACCGATTTTTAAAAAATCACTTTCGGGATGTATTTCTGAATTGAGGATGTGGCGAGGTGTTGGTGCTGCCTTCCCAAGGAGGTGAGCTGAGACAGCAGGAACCTAAGATACCAGTCTCCTCATCCTTCCCACCCCCTTCCAGTCTAAGTGACTTGGAATTTCTAACAAGACAAAATTTGATTTCAAAAACTAGTTCAAAAATCCAAATTCACTCTTAATAAGAGGTCAGAGCCCCTTAAAAGAGGGATCAAAATTAGAACCCTTCATTGAAAAAAAAAATAGTTTACTGAAAGGAAGTTACTAATAGGTGGAGAGAGCTTGGGGTCCTTGCTGGTGTCACAGCAAACCAGGAGGGAAGGCAAGCCCCCTCCCTGGGGTAGGGTCCAGGACTGCAGACCTACTTCTCACCTGAATTTATCGCTTCAAGTTAAAGAATTTGGTGGGGGCTGCACTGCACTTTATGTTGCAGGGCCAGGCCAGGCTGTTTACAAAACCTTGAACTGTCTAGACAACACCATAAAAGCCAAAGTTCTAAACAGCTTAATTGGGTTATATTATACACCTTCTGGTGGGCCCAAAAGAGATTTCCGCAATGTGCAATAAACTGGAGGAGTGAGAAAAGCTTCTCTTCTCTGAAAAGAGTAAAGTGAATCTTACGACTCTTAACCTCTCATAAGGCCAAAGTAAAAAAATAAAATAAATTCATAAGATGTACAGCACCCCATGCATCTTCCAAGGAGGCATGCATTTCCAAATATAAAAAACTTAATTGCCAAAGCCTTTTTTGGGGGAAGGAAAACCATAAGTGCATAAGTGTACGCCTTTGAACTTCCAAAATGTCAAGGTCATCACCTTTAACCTTTCTGAATAATTAGGTGCCTTAAGGTTCTTCTGTGATATTCAAACTGCCACCCATTCTCCCACACACATGCTCACACACATCCAGACCCCCACACACATTTATGACCACACAGAATCATATTGGGGGCTCCTCATAAATCTAAGCAAATTCCTAATTTCAGGATCAATAACTTTAATTTCCCTTCAAACATTTGTGTAATTCAATAGCAATTGACTTTTTAAAATACTGGTTAGGTTAAAATGTCTACCAGCACACTTTTAATACAACTAGGAAATGCTGGGACCTTTATTGGGGGGGGGTGTTCACATAACAGTCCCCTCTGCTGTAATGAACCACAGTTCTAAAAGCAGGCGTTTGAAAGAGGAAGTTCTATTCAGATTTATACCTTCATTATATTTGAAAAATGTTGTCATTCTGTCAAATAAATTATTGCACTTTTTATTATGTGGAACAAAAGAAAATATATTTGTATTACTTTCCAAAAAAAAAAAATCCCCCAGGTTTTGGTGAAGCTGCAATAGAAACAAAGCCTACAATTAAATAATTTCGTTCGGGATGGGATTCCTTTGTTTGAAATTCCAGGCATTCGTTAAATTGCCAGTGCTCTAGTAGTATGATCATTCCAGGAGCTAAAGAAACTGGCTTATTTCTTTTGCTCTCCATCTATCTTTTTTCTCTAAGTGTCTAGATATAGATCGCCTGTATGTCCACTACCTTTAGACAAGCCAAAGCAAATACGATTTCCCATTTGCATGACCTTGGAGAACCACACGGGGGCGTGCTCACGTTCCAGAAGCCGCATTTGGCGGAGAGGCCGCGCGGTACCATATCTTTCCGATACTGGATTCTAATAGGCAATCTCTGCCCGTTGGAGACAGGAGGCCGCTAAGGTGCTTGTTTGCTGTTTGTTTGTTCTAAGCAGTGATGAGGTCTGGGAAGTTGTATAAAGACAGGGAAAAGAGAGCTACCCAGGTTCCTGAAACTAGCGATCACCTAATCGTTGTCTCCTTAAAGATAAAGCTGTTGCAAAGAATACCTTGGTATATAACCTGTGGTATTTAGAAGAGATTTTAAAAAGACAAGTATGTGCATTTTGAATTAGGTCACGGCTGCTGCTTGTTAATTAAATTATGGAAATCAATTTTCTTGTTGGTGTGCGTGTGGAGAGCAATGTGAGGTTAGGAACCACCCCCTCTCCAAAACCAGGTCTGAATCGCGGGCTCTCAGACCGCCTGAGATGATTAAAAGGCTTTTGTTTAAAGCAGATCAGGGCGCCAGCAACTTAGCTGAGTGTGGTCTCAGAAGAAAGGAGAGGGGTGGTGATTGGGGGGGCGGCGGGGTGTTGTTCCAGAGGGGAACCTCCCACACATCAGGATGCCCGGAGCCCTGAGCGGTAGGTAGTGACCTGGAGGTGCAGGCAGGACCGCATTGGGGTGCCCAGATTAGTCTGTACTAACGTGGTTGCGGGAAGCAGCAGGCTGTCCTGAGGAGCGTTTGTACTCGAAGATTTCCTGGGATGGGAAATGCATCTGAAGTAAACGATTTTAATTTGACAGAACCCTGGCCACCCCTTCCAAGCTGCCTAGTAGCCTTGAGCTCGGATTTGGATTTTGGCAATGCCTCTGGCAAGCCGTTTTTTTGAGGCGTGCCCTCCCCTCACCCCTCCTTTAGAAATCCCCGATCACTGGGGAGGACCTGTGTCACCATCCACGGTCGAAAAGGGAGGTTCCAAAAAGAAGGACTCCAGGGCGCAAGCCAATCTAAGGGAGGGTGATGATCCTTTCTTCTCCGAAGTTCATTGTGAAGCGCACACAGGCTAGGGAATTAGCTCCATCCTCGTAGCCTCTGCTATTTCTGCCGCCTCCCTCCAGACCCTGCATCAGAGTCCCTGAGTCCACCCCTGGGAGCTGGCATCTGCTCAAAAGGAGATTGGGGTGCCATGAGACCCCTGCTCCTGCTCCGGAGGCGCCAGCCAGAGGCATGTGTGTTCCCCGCGGGCACCCAGGCTCCTGCCTGTCTGACCGCCGGTCTAGTTTAGCTTCTGTGAAGTGACATTTCCTGGGGCCTAACTTGGGATTCAGTCCATCTGGGGAGAGATGCCCTCTCCCCAAATAGCGTTGTGTTCCTCTTTGTAGAGGACCCAGTGAGGGGGCCTGTGTCCTCACCCCCCCGGGGCGCCACTGGTCTTGGCTGGCAGCCTTTCGCAGACCTTGTTGCTCAGCAATCCGCATTTCCTTTCCTCCCAGGCAGTGCCCAAGATGGGCCTGAGAAAGATGAATGGACCAGGAGTTCTGAGAGCCTGCAGCCCTTAGCCCTCCTGCGAGTTCAGGGTATGCGGGGATGATAAAGGGTGCCCATGTACTTTGAGGCGTTGATGTCTCAGATCCAAAAATGGAAAGAAAATCCTCGAAGTAGGAGTCTTTTGTGTCTCCAAAGGGATGAGGCTTCCGGGCTGCTGGTCCTTTTGCATGATTCCATAGACCCCCTCATCAAGTTGGTGCTTACTTCTCCAGCTTCCCCATTTGCCCCCTGATTTCTTTTCACATTGGCTGGGAGGAGCACAGTGCAACCGGAGGGGTGGCCCGGGGAAGCAAGTTTCAAAATTTCTCCCCATCCACTCTCCCCGCCCCCCAAAGAGTGGCACAGTCCTGAGACCACTCAGGGCCCTAATTCAGGGCAAACGTAGCATCCCCTAGGTCCACTCAGTCTCAGTCTTGGGGTCACCTCCCAGAGACAGGAGAGAAAACACATGTAAGCCTCTTCTTGATTAGAAGTCTCACTTTTTTGCTAAAAGAACTCTTTTAATTTTTCTCTGGAAAGAGCTATGTCAGGAAGAGGGATGTCTTGGTGCAGATATGAATATTTATCTCCTTTATGGGGCAATATTGATTTATTATTAATGGTAACTGCTCCAGCTGATCTAAAGATGATCGAAAACAGCAGCTATGCAGCTACATTAAATACTCATAAGCAAAATACAAGCTGGTCTGTAAAGTCACTGTCTTTTTCATCACATTTGTTTCATCTCAGCCTTAGGCTCTTAACCAAACTTTCTATCCTTCCTGGCCCCACTCACTCTCTTGTGTTATTTCTATTATGATTGATTTTTATGATAACATATCTGAAGTAACTGGCAATCTCTGCCAATATTTCAGAGCTCATCTGAAGGCAGAGGTGTAAAAAAAAAAAAGAAAACAAGGAATTTCGTAATAGTAGATTCAAAAATTGTAACGGGTACAGGTTTTTCCTGTTAGCGAAGAGAACCTATTTAAAACCAATTTCAGTGTAGGGTGACTTAGAGCTGGACGCCACCGGGAGCTACACAGAAAGCCCCCCAAATTCGGAAGGCAGAGCTTGTCTGTCTTGGCTCACCGCAGATCTAGCCGCTTTGCGAGGAATCACTTGTTTCGGGTCTCGATGTTTTCTTCATATATAAATAAAGATTATAAAAGGGCATTTGATGGGCATAAAATTCCCGATTAGATTGAAGCGCTTTGCCTGGAGAGCGGGATGCAGAGACTCGGACAGCCGAGTTCCCGGTAGCTCTCCTGGCCCGGTCGCAAAGGCAAGACAGTGCTGGAGCACCCGGCTGGCTGGCGTCTGGGCGCCTGCCGTGAGCGCGTGCAGCGGGCACTTTGTCCAGCCCTGGGCACGCTTAGCGGTGTCTGGGATCCTGATCTCTGCCTTGTGAGAGAGTGATTTTGGGGGTGCTGGTCAGTGACTGTTAGCTATGGATAGGACTTTAGCAGGCTGGAGCCAAATGTTGTTTTTTCCTGTCTTCCTCCCCCCTCCCTACCCTCAATCTCAGAAACAGCCGCCCCTTCGGAAAGGTAATGTTTAAACCTCCAGCTACAGCGGCCGGCATCCCGCAGCCGGAGTAGTTAGAGGCGCCAGGCTTTTAACCTGACAATGATGTTGTATTTGAACAGCTGCGTAAAGGTTTGAAAGGTCTGTCTCATTGCCACTGTGGAGTTTTTTTAAAAGGGGTTATTGTTTGGGCCAAGGCAATGCGAGGGGACAGGCGAAGCAGTCCCAAGGCTGAAAATAATGTTCAGTGTCTGTTTCCACCAAGCCAGGGAGATTCCTTTTGGGGAGGGGTGGGGGGGACAAAGGTTTTGTTGGAAAAGGTTTTTGTGAAGAAGTGCACGCGCTGCTAGATCCTCCAGAAGGCTGAGGCACATTAATGAGCCTCGGACTCTAAAGAAATGTTCTGCTGAGGTGGAAACCCAATTTGCCCACAAGTTCAGTCACTGGGCCAGAAACCCAAGGCCAGGCCATGACAGGGTGAGCGTGGGGAGAAGAAAACACGGACGCCTTCCTGGACAGAGAACTGGTTCACGATCAGAGTTTTCTTCTCTCGAATGCAGGGAAGGGGATCCGGGAAGCCGGCGACGGCTCCAGCACCCTGGCCGGGCCCCTCGCCCAGGGCAAGCCTTTGGAAATCAAGGTTAAAGCTCCCTGCTGCTGCCCGAGGCCAGGGCTTCAGAAGGGCTGCTCACCCGCCTGCAACCAGAGAACAAGGGAGGAAGTTGTTGGAGAAGTTTCTCATAAAACTCTGAGTTTCCATGGTGGTGGTGGTGGTTGTTCTTTAATGAGCTCCACCACAACCCAGACCCACTCCCCCTCACAGAACTTTCCCTCACCAGAGGAAACAGGATTGAGATGCCTCCCTGTGTTTTCTCTCCCTCCCCTTACCCAAGCAAAACCTTTTCAAATAATTTTAGGAATTGTCCAAAACTATAAAACTCAACTTCTGACAAAAGTATAGCTTTTTATATTTGACGATTTGTGTTAAAACAAAAATTGACCTTCTCGGTTAGTAGTGAAGGGGAAAAATCAATAGTATAATTTTCAATAATTCATAAAGCGAACACCATTATGCTAAATCTTAACTATTAATCTTATCCTTTACAAAGTCTCGATTGATTTGTTAATAAAATATCTTCCCGTGTGTGGCAACAGCGGGTATAACTCTTTAAAAACCTTCAGAAGCAAGAAAATTACCAAGTAGCCCAAGAATGTAGATGAGAATTTTATTGATCGCCCTGATTCTTCTTAATATGTATTAATAAATTCCACAACCTTTTGTACCTTGCACTTGTCAGAAACCAATGCTTTTACAAAATCCATAAAAGGAAAACATATTTTTCTTCGTAGAAGAATCAAATGACACCCCTCTCTCTCTCTCTCTCTCACGCTCTCCTGCTTGGCCCAATCAGTTTTCTAAAACTTCTGGAGTATGAGAGCGAGTGTTTTCTCCTTCCCTTGAAAAAATTATTTTCTTTCTGTCTTCCTTCCTTCCTTCCTTCCCCCTAGCCCTCTAGTATCAGGGTGTGTGAGGAGGGAAACCTTGGTTTAGCTCTCCCTGTGGAAACACCGATGGACGCTTTTGCGGAGAGCGAACTGCTGGGGAGGGATTGTCTCAGGACCGAAAGTCCCCAGCGGTCGGGCCGTCAGAGATTGGGTTGTGGTTCCTCCAAGACCCAAGGCGCCAACTGGCCCCCCAGGGCGTGGAGGGGCCTGGAACCCGGGCTGGAAGGCCGAGGGTGAGGGCAGCGCCAGGGCGGACCGGCCCGTGGGACTGTGAGCGCGGCCAGCTGCGTGTCCTCTCCGCCCTGGCGGCCCTTCTCGCCTCCGCTCGCCGAGACACCCTGGCCGGCTCCCTGCGCCAGAGATGTTTCCTTTGGGTCCCTGCGACGGGGTGTCTCAGAGCGCGGGGAATCTGACTCACCTTCCCAGGCTGCTCGGTACAAAATGAACCAGCCGGGGCCCCCAACCCCCGCCCGGGCCCCGGTTTTCTCGGGCGCGCTCCGCCTGCAAGTGTGCGGGGAGTGCAGCTGCGGGCCGGCGCCGCGGCGCTCCGGGCTCCCTCCCCGCGCGCGCCCTCCCGGGGGCCCCGGCGGCCGAGACCTCCCTTGCGCCGGCGGGCCCGGGAGGCCGGGGCGGGGGTCGTGAGTGGGGCCGGCCGGCCGCGGGCGCCGGGGGAGGCGGGCGAGCGGCGGAGGGCCGGCCCGGCTCTCCGCAGCGCGCACTATCGCGGGCGCGTAGTAGATGTCGCTGTTGTCCGCGCTTAGGCGGCCGGCCGGCCGGGCTCCGGAGCACGTGACCCGCGAGGAGGCTGCGGCTCAAGGCCATTTTCAAATCTCATTGGCTTGGTTGTCATGTGGTCGGCAGAGGCATCCACAATTACACGGGGAATGTTTTCCTAGAGATGTCAGCCTACAAAGGACACAATCTCTCTTCTTCAAATTCCTCCCCAAAATGTCCTTTCCCAACAGCTCTCCTGCTGCTAATACTTTTTTAGTAGATTCCTTGATCAGTGCCTGCAGGAGTGACAGTTTTTATTCGAGCAGCGCCAGCATGTACATGCCACCACCTAGCGCAGACATGGGGACCTATGGAATGCAAACCTGTGGACTGCTCCCGTCTCTGGCCAAAAGAGAAGTGAACCACCAAAATATGGGTATGAATGTGCATCCTTATATACCTCAAGTAGACAGTTGGACAGACCCGAACAGATCTTGTCGAATAGAGCAACCTGTTACACAGCAAGTGCCCACTTGCTCCTTCACCACCAACATTAAGGAAGAATCCAATTGCTGCATGTATTCTGATAAGCGCAACAAACTCATTTCGGCCGAGGTCCCTTCGTACCAGAGGCTGGTCCCCGAGTCCTGTCCCGTTGAGAACCCCGAGGTTCCTGTCCCTGGATATTTTAGACTGAGTCAGACCTACGCCACCGGGAAAACCCAAGAGTACAATAACAGTCCCGAAGGCAGCTCCACAGTCATGCTCCAGCTCAACCCTCGCGGCGCGGCCAAGCCGCAGCTCTCGACCGCCCAGCTACAGATGGAAAAGAAGATGAACGAGACCGCCAGCGGCCAGGAGCCCACCAAAGTCTCCCAGGTGGAAGGCTCCGAGGCCAAGGGCGGCCTTCCGGAAGAGAGGAGCTGCCTGGCTGAGGTCTCCGTGTCCAGTCCAGAAGTACAGGAGAAGGAAAGCAAAGGTCGGTATGAGCAGAGTTGCCACCCCAGCGGGGCGTGCAGCCTGGGAACCCGGCAGAGAGGGAGCTCCTGTGTGCCCAGCGCCAAGCCCAGGAGGGGCCCGACTGGCAGGTGCTGTTTCTCCTGGCTTTTAGAGGGGCCATCTCAGTCCCGAGAAGGTCCCCGCTTCCCCCCAACTGCCCTGGCCCTCCTGGCCCTGGCTAGTCCTGGCGCCACGCTGATGGCGCCGGGGCAGAGGAAGGGCTTGACGGTTTTATTTTTCCTGAGCTAGATCTGAAATGCAACAAAAGAGTGCAAGTGAGACCTGCGGCTCATTAACACAGCCCCAGAATCTCCTTTTTCCCCCCAGCTCAGAGTTGCACTTCCAGCTTTGCCTTTTGCACAGTGGTGATTTTAAGGTGGTTCCAGACACCGTGTTCGTGTTCAAGTGTATGCACCCCGCATCCTACGAGCTTGGGGGCAGAAAGAGGAATGGATGGCTGGGTCTGTTGGCGCTTGGACTGGGGAACAGGGCTCCCAGCCTTTGCAGGGCTAGGTAACCTTGGCTTTGTCTGGGGAAAGTGCCGCAGGCTTTGCAATCTGTTTACAAAGGGGGCAAAGGCAGAGGGTGTAGGATAAAACCTTCCTGGCCCAACCAGCAGGTCCAGCCTTAGAGCTGGGGTAGGGCAAAGAGCCAGGGGCTCTGGCTTTTTTGAGAGGGAACCATGGCCTTAAGCTTCTCCCCTGTTATCCAGCGGGCGAGCTACAGTAGGAGCTACGTTTCTGGGGGAGTGCTTTTGGGTGGGGGCAAGAATGCGTGAGAATTCAGGAAATTCTGGGGATTACAACAATGACCAGGTAAGGCAGAGAGGGTATACTTGGCTCCTTGGTTATCTTTTGAAATAGAATGGGAACTTATTAACCTGACTGTGGGGCACCCGCCTGCCAAGGCGAAGTGGGAAAGAAGTGGCAGACTTGGGAACCTGAGGCAGCAGTGAGATTGGTGAGCTTGTGCAGGCTGTGTCTTGCCTCTTCTACTCCAGCTGTGTTATGAGGTGACCATTTAGAATGTTGCTTGGGAGATCCTGAAAGTTTACTGTTACACTAATGATTCTTGCAGGTCAGAAAGTTGACAGAAAGAGTGAGAGAGAGAGAGAGAGAGAGCGCGCAAGCGGCTGACACAGGGGGGGGGGCGAGAGGACCCACCCATCGTGTGTCATTTTGGGCATTTAAACTAACCTGGCATCAATTACAAAATGCACCTTCCAGGTGCCACCTCATGTGAATAATGTTTAATACCAGCATTTCCCAAAGTGGCCTGGCTGCCAGCAGGGTCATGGCCAAGGGTGCATTTGAACAGACTGAGGGAAAAAAAAAAAAATCTTGATATTTTTTCTTCTTCTCCTTTTAATTTTGTTAGAGGAAATCAAGTCTGATACTCCAACCAGCAATTGGCTCACTGCAAAGAGTGGCAGAAAGAAGAGGTGCCCTTACACTAAGCACCAAACGCTGGAATTAGAAAAAGAGTTCTTGTTCAATATGTACCTCACCCGAGAGCGCCGCCTAGAGATCAGTAAGAGCGTTAACCTCACCGACAGGCAGGTCAAGATTTGGTTTCAAAACCGCCGAATGAAACTTAAGAAGATGAGCCGAGAGAACCGGATCCGAGAACTGACCGCCAACCTCACCTTCTCTTAGGTCCGGAGGCCCAGGAGAGGCCAGGATCAGAGAGGGAGCACCGCGTTCCAGGGCCCAGTGCTGGAGGACCAGGAAGGCGGAAACAAAACCTTCATTGCTCTTTGTTTTTTGTTTTGTTTTCCTGCTAGAATGTGACTTTGGGGGTCATTCTGTTCGTGCTGCAAGTGATCTGTAATCCCTCTGACTCTCTCTCTATATATATTAAAACACTAGCACGTGTAATTTATTATTTTTTTCATCGTAATGCAGGGTAACTATTACTGCGCATTTTCATTTGGGTCTTAACTTATTGGAACTGTAGAGCATCCATCAATCCATTCATCCATCCAGCAATGTGACTTTCTCATATTTTTCCTAACACAAAAGGTCTGTGTGTGTGGTTAGTCCATGAGTTCATGGCGTTTTGAATACATCCAGTACTAAAAAGTACTTAAATTACATATATATTTAAAAAAATTTAAGAAAACCCACAAGCTTTGGCGGGGAGGGGGATAAAAAAGCACATTACAATGTTATCTTTTTCGCAAATGAATTTAGCAATTGTCCTTGGTGAGATGGAATATTGACGACTAATGCCTTGTAGCCTTTCCCTTGTGGTGCATCTGTGGTTTGGTAGAAATACAGCAGCAACCTGTCCTTTCTGTGCATGTTCTGGTCGCATGTATAATGCAATAAACTCTGGAAACGAGTTTGTTCCCTCTGGTTTCTGAAATGGAAATATGTCACGGTGGAAATGAAAGTCTTTGGCCAGGTTATCTTTCTGTTAAACTGCTTGCTCCGGGCAGTTGCTGGGGGTAGAGAGCAGGGACAAGGGAGATGAGTGAGAGAAACTGGAGGAGACCTAAATTGCTAGTTCTCCTAGCATTTGTCACTAGTGGAGGAAGTGATAATCCAGCCTGCCTGTGTTGTGTTTTCATAGTTGGGAAGAAGGAGAGTCCTCTCTCCTCCTCCCCTCACTGATAGTAACATAATTGCACTGGCAATGGGTGGGAGCTTGCCTAGAGCCTTTTAAGTAAACCTGTGCCCCAACAGCTTGCTCCTCAGAGCTGTCTACTTGTATATCTTCCTCTCTTTGGTGGTGGTTGTGTTATTTTTAATGCTTTCAGTGAGGATCTTGGTGAATTCCAGCTGGTGGACCATCATCAGGGGGCTGGGTTGAAACTAGTCTTGCCCACCTGGAAGCCGCTGGGCCTCCACTAAAGGAACAATGACAAGCAGCAGCTTAGTATTGCATCGCATCCAGTTCTGCCCCCCTTTTCCTCATCCCCAGCCCCATTCCCAAGCACAAGACAGCCACGCTACAGCAAAGCCCAAAATGGGTGAGTTTTCCCATCCCATTTTGCCCTCGTTTCCTTGTGGGAGAATTTTATGCTGCCATTACCTTTTAGTGGCCCACATGAAAATTTGTTAAAGGAAGAAAAGATTTCCCCCAGTCAATCCTCCCTCTATTTAATTACGAAATGCTGATCCTCAGAGTCACTGTATCTGGAAGACAGGGAAATGTACAAAGGGTGACTGAAAGAGAATTTGCAAATGAACATGACTTCCCATGAAGGCCAGTGTTCCAAATGCCGCCTTCAGGGCTCAGAAAACTCCAGACAGCTTGCACAAGTGTTTATGTATACATAGATGTAGATATTGCAGGATCCTCGGCCCAAGAGAGTTCAGACTTAATCCAGTCCTGCCAGGGAGAAATGAGGAGAGAACTTGGGGTCTAGGGGAAAGAGCTAACAGAGAATTCAAGAATTCGTTACCCTAGATAGTGCTGTGGTTTTGAAGGGTCTCAGACAGCTTTAAGCAGCTTCACAAAACATGTCCTTTTCATTTTTCCTCTATAAACAATCTATTTGGCGACTCTAAGCTTAGACCCCTCATCCAGGAAGTCTTGGGGAGACAGAATTTATTTGGAGTTTTAAACTCCCTCCTGAAATAAAAAACCTTTCAGAATTCCAAGAGAGATCCTTTAAGGGGCCATTTCCTAGCGGCAAAGAAACAGCTCGAATCAATGCCAGGTTGGGAACACTGAAATAGATTTGCCCCAGGTCTCCATTGGTTGGGCAGAAGGAAGGCAATTTTAACTTCACCCATCCCCTGCGATGTGAGGAGCGCCATTAGTTGTTGACAAGGGGCCAAGTCTCGGAGGAAAATCCGAGCTACAGGCAAAGGCAGCCCCTCTAGAACAAAATCAGAAAGCCATTGGCAAAAGCAATCAATCAGGCCATAAGTAGCCATTTGCCCCCTTCCTTTCCGGGGCGCGAGGTGGGCTGGTAGCCCTCCAAGGGTGCGTTGGGCAACTTGTAGAGCGAGGAGCAGATCCTCCGCCGCGAGCGCCCAGCTGCTTTTGTCTCGGCTCCCAGCCGGGCTTCTGAGTCTTTGTACCATGGATTTGGGAGTGACAATGGGCATCTCCCTCAGATTCAAGGCTGCCCAGCCTTAACTCTGGAGGCAAAAAAGGGGGGTGGGGGGCGGATTCGGAAGACAGTAGCCCAAGGACCAGGCCATTTTAAGGACATCTCCGGAATCCACTTGCAGGCCTCCAAGTGGGAAGCATGTCAAGCGGCCCTGCCTGGGGAGATGCAGTTTCCCCGGCCTTTTTGAGGCAAGGTCGGGCCGGCGGGTGGGAGTGGGCCTTCGCCAGCACTAGGCTTCTGCCCGATGGCGTGTTCTCTTGCAGGGCCTTTGCAGAAGCCCAGGAGAAGACGAGGCAGTCTGGCCGCCACTGCCCGCGCGGTGCGGACTCGCCAACCACCCGGCCCTTCCGAGGCCGGGCAGAAGTCGCGGCCGGCCGTGGCCGCCACCGCGCCCAATCCTGGGGCCGGGCCACCTCGGCTAACCCCTCGGGCCGAGGCGTGTGCTCAGCCTCACGTCGGGGGTGTGTGTGGCTGCGCCGGCGTGTGTGAGTGCGGTAGGGGGAGGGGGCCCTCCGAACTGCTCCATCCGTCCGTTTTATTAGGGACACATTAATCTATAATCAAATACACCTCATAAAATTTTTATTGAAAGGCATAATATCATTACAGAGGTCTTCCACCTGTTTTAAACAACACGACAAGCTGTGAGAGAGCGTGTGTGGGTATGTAGGGAGGGGAGGGGTGGTTTGGGCAGAGAGAGGCTCCGAGCAAAGAACTCCCCTCGGGCGCCAGGGGGCCGCCTCCGAAGCCCGGCCTGCCTCGGGGCCCTCGCGGCCCTGTGCGCCCCGGCTCGCTCCAGGCTGGCCCCGCGCTCGGTGCACCCAACACGCGCGCCCGGGCGCCCCGGCGCCGGGGAGGCAGCGTCGGGATCGGGACTGGAAGACCAAGGGCGGCAAGTGGACGCGAACAAATAGTCCCCGGCGCCTCCTGCGGCCGCGGTGGGACGGGTGGCCCCGGCCGCCGCCAGGCTGGCCGGGCCGGGCCGGGCCGGGCCGAGCGGGGCGCACGGGCCGGGGCCCGCGGGCTCTAATTGCAGGGCTTATGTTGATGATGATTTTTTTTTTTAAAATCACAGCAGCCCCCACTTTAGCGGACTGATTTACTCCCGGTATTGGTAAATATGATCACGTGGGCCGCGCGACCAATGGTGGAGGCTGCAGCCTGCGAACTAGTCGGCGGCTCGGGCGCCGGCGGGGAGCGGCGCGGCGGCGGGCAGTGTAACCTTGGTGTGGAGCGCGCGGCGCCTCAAAATGTCCTCCAGTGGCACCCTCAGCAACTACTTCGTGGACTCGCTCATAGGCCATGAGGGCGACGAGGTGTTCGCGGCGCGCTTCGGACCGCCGGGGCCCGGCGCGCAGGGCAGGCCCGCAGGTGTGGCCGACAGCCCCGCCGCGGCCGCCGAGTTCGCCTCGTGTAGTTTTGCCCCCAAATCTGCCGTGTTCTCCGCCTCTTGGTCCGCGGTGCCGGCCCAGCCGCCCGCGGCGGCGATGAGCGGCCTTTACCACCCGTACGTGCCCCCGCCGCCCCTGGCCGCCGCCGCCTCGGAGCCCGGCCGCTACGTGCGCTCCTGGATGGAGCCGCTGCCCGGCTTCCCCGGCGGCGCGGGCGGCGGGGGCGGCGCGGGCTCGGGCCCCGGCCCCGGCCCCAGCCCCGGCCCGGGCGGCCCACCCAACGGGCGCCACTACGGGATTAAGCCTGAAGCCGGAGCGGCCCCGACCCCAGCCACCTCCTCCTCCACGTCCTCGTCCTCCACTTCCAAACGGACTGAGTGCGCCGCGGCCCGCGAGTCCCAGGGGAGTGGCGGCCCCGAGTTCTCGTGCAACTCGTTCCTACGGGACAAGGCAGCAGCGACGTCCGGGGCAGCCGGGCCCGGGGCGGGGATCGCGTCCGGGTCCGGGTCCGGGTCCGGGGCGGGTGGCTCCTCGGAGCCCTCGGCTTGCAGCGACCACCCGAGCCCGGGCTGCCCGCTGAAGGAGGAGGAGAAGCAGCATCCGCAGCCGCCACCGCAGCAACTTGACCCAAGTAAGTGCAAAAGAAATTGCCCCCTGATTTATTGCTGAAACCTGTAAGGCTCGAATGTGCAAAACTGATAGTTTTACTAACCTATAAAAACGTCTAGACGCCTACCCTAGCCTAGGCGAGCAACATGCATCCATAAAAAAGCTTCCCATAACCACCTACCCTGGGCGCGCGGTTTGTACGGTAAACAGTGCGCGGACATTAAGGCTTTTTATGATAATTCACCCCAAGTTGTGAAAAGCGGCCATCCTTGGTGAAATTAATTTAACGACCTCTCTCCCCCACCCTGTCGTCTCTCCCTGCCTCCCCTCCGCCCCTCGCTCCCCTTCTGCAAACCCCCCTCTTCGTAGACAACCCCGCAGCTAACTGGATCCACGCTCGCTCCACCCGGAAAAAGCGCTGTCCTTACACCAAATACCAGACGCTTGAGCTGGAGAAGGAATTCCTCTTCAACATGTACCTCACCCGGGACCGACGTTATGAGGTGGCAAGGATTCTGAACCTCACAGAGAGACAGGTCAAAATCTGGTTCCAGAATCGTAGGATGAAAATGAAAAAGATGAGCAAGGAGAAATGCCCCAAAGGAGACTGACCCAGCGCAGCGCCGGCGGGGCCGCTCTGTTTTGCAAAGGCAGTGGGGTTTTTTCCTTTGTGGGTGCTTGATTTCCAGAAACTCTCCAGCGACTCGGACTTTTTTTTCTTTTTTAGGTAGAAGTGACTGTGCGGTTGGTCTCTGTGAGGTATTTGGGGACTCTGTTTGCTCGCTAATATGTTGGAAAAACCAAGTGGCTTTGGGATTTTTGCCCTGTCCCGCTCCCTCCCTTTTGCGCCCCGCTGGTTCCTTTGGGAAATGCTTATTTTGTGAGTGCACGCTGGCTTGAGGAGCCCTCTCCTGTGTAAATGTCCCCATGTTTTTGAAAAGTGCTGTAGTTTAGCCCCCAGCGCTGCTCAAGCAGGGCCCAAGAGCGCCCGGTTTCGGAAAATGAAGGCAGAGCAACGACATTGCGGAGGCTCGCCCAGGCGGAGGCCCCGCTGGGTTGCACACCGGTTAAGAAAGCCCCCCTTTCCTCAGGGAGCCCGCAGGCCCTCGACGGAGACCTGGAACAGGGCCTAAGCCAGGAGCCCAGGGCTTCATGTGGGTTGGGGGGGTTATTCTCAGTGCACTGGAGGAGCTACTCTCTACCGGAGAGTGCTTGGCTCGCGGGGCGGCCGCGGGTGCAGGCCCTCGGGGTTCCTGCCTGAGGACCAGTTGTAAATGTTACCCTTCCTACCAATAAATGCTGACCTGATCAAATGGAGCCCAGACGCTGGCCCTGAACGCTGTGTGCCTGCTTTCTCTGTCTCTCTGCCAAATGTCATTCTCACTGGACTTGTCCCTAGGATGGAGACACTGCTAAAAATCCAGGACCCTTCCACCTGAGAAGTCTCTCTGATGTGCCTCCAAGTGTCCCTTCATGTGGGTCCACCTAGCCTAGAGCACATGGTGGAGGGGGTAGTGGGACCTTGCAGCTGGTCCTTCCCTAACCTGGTTTCAGTACATAAGAGAACTCTGTGCCCTGGGCCCAGTGGATCCTATGGGCTCCAGGAGCCAGGAATCCGCTGCTGGGACTTTGGCACACTGCACTTCAGGACCCCTCTGCTGCTGGAACCCCAGCCTTCAGACCGGGGTCTTCCCCGCCCACACAAAAAGAAAAGGACCAACTCTATACTCAGGAGCAACCTCCAGCTTGGCGGGGCTGGCTGGTTCCGGGAGGACTGAGCCAGTTAGGCTTGTGAGCCTCTGCCCCTCCCCACAGGAGCCACAAAGTGACCTTAACAGATCAAAATGGTCAAGGCTCTCCTCTGCAACTACCCTCATCCCACCGCCCCCTTCCCCCATCCAGCCTCTGTGTGTTTAGCCCCCAGCTTGGCCCTCTGAGGGCCGCATTCAGAGGCTAAAATGAAGGTCATTGTAAGTGAGGGTTCGGGCCCAGCATGGCCTTTGCAGGCCAAGAGGCCGGCGCCAGGCTGCCTGGGCTGGGCGGAAGGCGGGGGCGACGGCAGAGTTTTGGGGGATCCTGATGAAAGAGGGGACTTGAAGGAAAAGCAGAGGGGGGCTGGGAGGGAAAGCCAAGGCCCAGATCCGGCAGAAGGTGCTGCCTACCCCCACCCCTACCGCCAACCCGATACCTAGGGCTCTTTGAAAACAGGAAGAACCAAGGTGTCATAAAGCCATCTAGCCGGCGAGACGTCTGGAGGTAATGAGTTTACGACAGGTCCGGCGCTTCGCTTTGAAACCATCTCATTTTGATGTTTGTGTTTGTGGGAGGAAAGGAAAAATGCAGACAAAACTGGGTCTTAAAATCTGGACAATAAAATATAAACAAAACTGCTTTGGACCGAGAAAGCTAGGGCCTGGGAGCCCTCGGGTGAGTGTGAGCACCTAGGAAATAAAAATGAGGGAAAGGAAGGGGAGAAAGAAGATGATGGATTTCTGATTTAAAAAAAAAAAAATGAACTGGGTATTAGAAGTAGTCTAGTGTGGGTGGCTGTTTACAATATTTTTACTGTGGCTGGGTCTAGCTAATTTTTTTTTTCTTTAACCCAGCTTGTTATTTGGGAGTGGGAGGGCCAGTGATCTTGGGTCATTTACTCAGGGGAGGTTCTCGCAGTGGCATGGTGGGTGGGAAAAGATTAAGTTATTGGCTCTCCATGCCAAACTTTGCAGGAAAACTATTGTTAGAAATTTTATTTGTTTATTAAAAGAATAGAGATCACAACTGGACTGGAGGGAAGCACTTTTGAAAATGAGGGAAAAAAAGATTATGCTCGCAGGAAACAACTAAAATGATTAAAGTCTTTGCTTTAAAAATAAATTCAAGTGGAATGTACAGATAATTCATTTCACACTGACTTGATGTAAATTTAAAATCTCATTTATTGTGCACAGAAGATTCAATGAGCACAACCCAACAGGGCTTTTCCAGAGAGCCACTTTAGAAATCCAGCAAAAAAGCTTTAGTTCCCCCCACCTCACCCCTGCCATTGGCCAGCAAAATGGGCCTGAATTACAAATTACAAAATAGCAAATATTCACGATTTAATGCTAAAAGTAACAGCTTTAAAAGAAGAAAATTATCAGAATTAACACATAATTTCTTAGTTTTCGAAGTCCCCAGCCCCCTTTTTTTAAAAGTTTGTTGCCGTTAAAATTTAGAAAGTTGTAATTTTTGTTAAATCTGGCGCGTCCTTTAATGTGGACGATTACAGAATGGAAACCTAATTTGTCTGGCAAAGGAAAGCCTGGAAGCTTTTGGAAAAGACTGTACTGGAAGCCCTTGGGAGCACAAATATCTTTGGCATTCAGGAGCCCCTGTTTGCTGCACTTGACTTGTTGACAATCAAAGGGATGAAGCAGTATTATTGTCAGCGATCCAAGCCCCAGTCAAACTAAAGAGCAAGATTGGAATTGGTTTGAGTAGAATAAAAGCGAAGTTAAGCACGGTCGGCTCGAGGTTGCGTTTGGCCACTAGAGAGCGCCGTTACTCCATTGTGTGATCTCGTAAAGCTGGCGCTGCGGCGCAGGACGGTTTTCATTAAAAATATTTACAATCTTATTTTAAATTCCAAATTAGGATAAATTTAACCAAAAAGAAGTGTACCCCCATTAAATTCTCCAGTCGTGTTTGTTAGGTATAAAATTTGGGCTTAGTCAAGACTTCAGAAAATTTGGACTACGGTACAGCTGGAACTAAAAAAAACATGGTTAAGTTACCTCATTCTATCAAAACGGAAAGGTGTAAAAGTATAGATCTTTGTTTACTAAGTAAATCGCGCTTTCCCCACTCATGTTACAAACAGAATGCTTGAAAAACAAAGTTTTATCCCAAGAGGAAATGTGTTGTAATGGTTTCTTTATTAGGCCAGAAAGTGTAGAAGTGAATTCTGTAGTTTTAGTGCTGCTTCTTTTTCGTCCCCCGGGAATCACACAGTTCTAAACGATATTTCTATCATTGAGATCTGGCGTCAAGCTCGTTCCATTCCAAAACATACTCATTTATTGAGGGTTTAAACATGCACTCGCACGCACGCCAAAGAATGAAATAAACAGTGACAATTACAAAGTTAGTTTCAAGGCTTTACTGAAAATAATACTCTTTTAATTGGGCATTTGCAACACAGAAGCACAAATCTTGGCAGTCAAAATCGATTCATTGCCTTCCGATTTAAAGAAAGTTTTATCTGGCGACAACCAGCAGAAAACAACAGAAAGCCCTACCTTCCACCACCCCCATAACAAAAGTCTCTTGCACTCCCTGCTAATTTAAAAATTAAATAAAACATGGCTTTATTATCTGGAGATCCATTAGCAATCCTTTTTTCCTTCACCATTTCCAGCCATTCCCTGTAGAAGCAATGGAAAGTTTAGACGTTATTATCTTGTTATGGCTTTACATATCGACATAATTTTCTCCATTTGCAAAAATGTGATATTCAGTCCACGCGGACTGACCTCAGGATCTCGCACTCACAGGTTGGGCCAACCCACCAGCAATAGGGGGAGCTGAAATCTCTGGGGTGCTGCACCTGTGGGGGCAGTCCGGGGATTTTAGACTTTCGCATTTGGCGTGAAAAACCGGCGTGTTGTGTTTCAGCTTTAGCAGGAGAGCCCTCTGTGGGCTCCAGCGTGTTTGCGAGGTTGGTGCTCAAGGCCGGTGGGCCTGGTGTCTTCACAGCCGTGGATTTTTCCCAGGGAAAAGGGGATTTGGTCGCCCAAAGAACCCACGAAGAAGGCTGCGTAGGCAAGGGAAAACGCACTCGAGAGAGAGATAGTACACGTATTTGGATATTAAAATAGGAGCGGGGAAACAATGTCGGGGAGAGAAGGCGATTGGTGGTGCAACGCCAAAGTGGCTAAAGAGCAGGCTTCGAAAATGAACAATATTTTGCTGATCCGCGCTCGACTTGCCCACAGGACTCGGGGACGTTGCTCTTCCACATCATGCACAAGCTGAGGCTTCTCATTGTTTTCTTTGGGAGAAATTAGTAACTTTAAACTCAGCCCGGCGCCCACTCTTGGCAGCAACTTCACAGGCTTCGCGGGTGAACCAGAATCGTTCGCAGAAGATGGGCGCCGCCTGCAGCTGCCTGGAACCGGTGGGATCCAAGCGCCGGCCCCGAGCCTCCAAGGGGGGGACTCGCAGGCGTGAGCCCCCCGCGCTCTGCCCGGGGGAGTCGGGGTGGGGCGCCGGCCCAGGTCCGCTCGGCGCGGGGGCCGAGAGCGGGGAGTCGCGCGTCCCGCCCGCGGAAATGCCACCCACCCCTGAGGGAGTCCTGCGTCCCGCCCTGGAACATTTCTCTTCGCTTTTCTATTTACTCCCTCAGCAATGCTAATGCCCCCCCCACCACATTCTTCAGCTCCCCCCTCTGTGCCGAGCGCTGACGTCTATCAAGGGTGAAATGATGGAAACTATATTCATGGGCATGATTTCCATTAAATATCAATTAACCTGGGAGCCTTAGCCAGGCGTGCAGTGCGTCAAGGGTAAATGTACATCTCATTTCCACAAGGCCCGCTCAGCTGGTAAAGAAGGACTTAGATTCGCCGTGATAAAGCCCGGCTTTAGGGTCACCCTTGTGGCCTTTAATTCAAAGCGCTTAGATGGGACCCAACTCCAATTGGACTGTCCCGACAGGCTGCGCCCGCGCGTCCGTCAGTGCAAAAAGACGCGGCCAGCTCTGCGGGGCAGCCCCGGGGACCCGGGGAGGGAGTCCTCAGCTCCGCAGCCTCCTGGGAGTGGCCTCCCTGCCTCCCCCCAAGTGTAAGGTTCGGCCGCGCCCCCGCCCCGCCGGCCGCGGTCCGCACGCCCGCGGCCCCAGGGGCCCCGCCAGCCCTTGGCAGTGCGGCTTTATGGGCCCCCTTTAAGGCCGGCGGAGGCATCTCCCGGCCGGCGTGAGGCGTCCCGTCGGGCGCAATGGTGTCGCCTCCGCGCGGATCCCTCCGCGCGGTTATCTCGCCCCCATCTCGCTGCCTCTCCGCGCAGTGGCGTGGTGCGAAAATGCCTCGCCGGGGCGCACCGGGGCGGCAGCCTCGGCGGCAGCGGCGACGAGAGCGGTGGGAGGGGGCCGCGGGGGGGGCGAGGTGAGAGGTGGCGGCGGGCAGAGGGTGTTTTTTTTTTCCTTTCCCCTCCAGAGCGGGGGCTTGTAAGCCGAAGCCAAAGAGTGTCCCCGTGGGCCGGGCGCACTTTTTTTTCTCGTCCCGGTGCGCTCGGGGCCGCTGGCGCCTCAGAGGAAACAGTGGCGGCGGCGGGGCCGGTCACCCGGGCGGCGGCGATCCCACGGCGGCCGGGCCGGCGCGCGCCGGAGAGGGCGGGCGGCGGAGCGCGGGGGCTGGGTGAGGCCCCGCGACCCTCGAGGGAGGCGGCGCGAGCGCGAGGGCCGGGCATGAGCGCCCAGTAGCCGGGCGCCCGCGCCGGCCGGGCCTCAGAGGCGACGCGCGGGCGGGCGAGCCGGCGGCAGCGGCGACGTAGCGGCGGCCGCGCCGCGCGAGCAGCCGCCCCAGAGGCCCTCGCGGCAGCCGCCGAGCTGAGGCGCGCTCCCTGCCCGCGCCGCCCGCCCGCCCGCTCGCCCGCGCCCCGCGCCCCTCGGCCCCCGGCCGCCGCCGCCCCGATGAGCTCGTACTTCGTGAACCCGCTGTACTCCAAGTACAAGGCGGCGGCGGCCGCGGCGGCGGGCGAGGCCGTCCATCCCACGTACTACGACTGTCACTTCGCGCCCGACCTCGGCGGCCGCCACGCCGCCGCGGCCGCCGCCGCCCTGCAGCTCTATGGCAACAGCGCCGCCGGCTTCCCGCACGCGCCCCCGCAGGCGCACGCGCACCCGCACCCGCACCCTTCCCCGCCGCCCGCGGGGCCGGGGTGCGGCGCTGGGGGGCCCCGGGCCCCGGCCAGGACTACTTCCACCCCGGCGGGGGCAGCCCGGCCGCAGCCTACCGGGCCGCCCCTCCTCCTCCTCCGCACCCTCCGCCTCCGCCGCCGCCTCCCCCCTGTGGCGGGATTGCCTGTCACGGGGAGCCCGCGAAGTTTTACGGATACGATAACTTACAGAGACAGCCGATTTTTACGACCCAGCAAGAGGCCGAGCTGGTACAATATCCTGACTGTAAATCGTCCAGTGGTAATATTGGCGAGGACCCAGACCACTTAAATCAGAGCTCGTCTCCTTCTCAAATGTTTCCCTGGATGAGACCACAAGGTTGGGATGCCTTTTTTTTTTTTTTTTTTTTTCCAAACTGGGGAAAGGGGAGAAATCTACTTTCATCTCACGTTCTGGCTTTAAAACTCGCTTTTTCTCTCCCTCTCCTGTGTAGCTGCAGTGGCTCTTACTCAAAGTAATACAGACTTTTCCCCTTAAAGTAGAAACCATGTAAAGATGATGGGGACAGAGTGATTGTGAGGACCTTCTCTCTGCCCCTCTTGCCTGCAAATCCTGCATATACAAGAGCTAAGGAGAGTTCTGTACAGTCCGGCCCTTAGACCTGGTCCAGAAACCTCCAGCAACCCACAGAGACACCATTCCATTTTTTAAACAATTATTTTCCTCTTTTTTTTTTTTTTGTTGTTGTAATCAGCAGCTCCTGGTAGACGAAGAGGAAGACAAACCTACAGTCGTTTCCAAACCCTAGAGTTGGAAAAGGAATTCCTTTTTAACCCTTATCTGACCAGGAAGAGAAGAATCGAGGTTTCCCACGCCTTAGCTCTCACCGAGAGACAGGTAAAAATCTGGTTCCAGAACAGGAGGATGAAATGGAAAAAGGAGAACAACAAAGACAAATTCCCGGTTTCCCGACAGGAGGTGAAAGACGGGGAAACTAAAAAGGAAGCCCAAGAGCTGGAGGAAGACAGAGCCGAGGGCCCGACAAATTAACTTCTACCTTTAAAAATTTACCACAGACTATTAAAACTAATGATCAACATATGCTGGTGGACACCACCTATTTTCTTTGTTGGAAAAGGACTTTACCTTATTTCAAGCTACCTTCATGTCACTGCTCTTGAGGTTTCTTCGCTTTGAGAGGGATTGGGGTGTTTAAAAAAAAAGTTTCTAGCATCTCATAGAAGCAGCGCTTGAGCTGACCTATGTAAGGGTAATTTGATACTGACCTTGTAGCTATATTTTGAAAATGGTAATTTTTAATGTCTCAACTGGTGATTTGCCTCAACAACGTAAACTTCCTAATGATTAGCACTAAATAACTGAATATAAAATGCTTTATTAATCAGACAAGTGCACTTGAACATTTTAAATCTTTTCTTTATGGTGAGTAAATTAAAAGAAGTCTATTAATTTTTTTAAAAATTATGCCTGCAGAATATTTACTTTATATTATTTTGATCAAAATGTATTATTTATGTTTTTTTTCTTTCTGCTTTTATAATGAATGGTTCCGGTGCCTTTTCTTTACTCCTAAAAGGTTTCTTTGAGTATTTTGTTAATGTAATATCTCGGGGAAAAGTCTGGGCCAAATATTTGAAAAGCACATGTTAACTAAAGACTGTAATGTGTAGTCCGGGTTCTGCCGCTTCCTTAAACTTTGGGATGGTGTTGGGCCAGTGGCAGAAGTTTCAGCACAATGTCAAAGTTAAAGTTAACATTTAATAGTTTTTCTGTAGCCTGTACAAATTATGCCATTTAATCATCTAGAGTGAATGAATACTTGAAAAGCCAATTATAACATTTTCACTCATTAACTTTTCACTCTAGCAAATCGCCTTGTGGGATTCCTCTCATTTTTCAACCTACTTTCGTTTTGAAACCACACTTGGTGTTGCCTAAAACTGCTAGGTTTCTATGCTGTGGCCGCTGCTGTGATTCCATTTTTTTTTTTTTTAGTAGGTGCCATATTTATTTGTATTCCGTTCACTCTGCACGCCCATTTTGAGCCAACTTGCTGTGTGTGTCTCAGATGTCGGTTGGTACGTCCTCTGCTGTTCTCTAGGATGGCCTCACCTGTTTGAAACAAGCCGCGAGAGCAAATGCAGAAAAAAAATGAGTGTAAACAACCGCTGCAGAACATAGCTAGCTCCTTAATAAAGAAATGAATCTTTTTCTAGAACTAGTGTCTTTGAGCGCCGCAAATAACCTTTCTCCCGAGTCAGGATCAATGGCCTGAGCTTATATTATACCAAGGCAACTTTCCAATGAAGCTTCTATTTGATTAAAAAAGGGGTGGGAATTAAATGGACCCACTATATTAAAAAAAAAAAAAAAGATAAATGAATGTAACCAGAGAGGGGAGGAAGGGGTTTTCATTCTAGAGAGGGCTGGACAAGCTATCCTGACTTCATCTTGCTGTAAATACCCTTTCTAAGATGCTTTGAAAGCTTTGAACTTCACAAGGTCCTCCAATTGTAGGCCCGAGTGGGAAAGGAATCAGAGTCCAGGTTGCATCACAGTTTAATTTCACTGAACTGGCGCTAATGCTGGGGTTTGGGATCTGTTATTAACGGGATATCCATTTTCCATTTGAGGCTGCTACCGCAGCTGCCATTTTATGAGGGAAGAGGAGGGGAAGAGGAGAGAGGAGAAATTCAAATAAACATGTCTCTTCACAAAAGGAAAAGCACCTTTACCAGGTAAACGTTAAACAGTTCTTTGCGTTTCCTAAGCCTGTTTATTTTAAAGAGGTATATTTTAATTTTCAGAGTGATTTCATTGCACAATAAGAAAACGAACTCCTATAGTTTTAGGCCTTTCACCCCTCAGGCGTTGGTAGGCTGTTTGCCTGCTGTTTCAAGGACCAGGGAAATGTCGTCACTGGATGGGCCAGAGGAGAAGCACCACCTGGCATTCTACCCAGGAAAAAGTCCTGGGCTGTGGCATTTGCTGACCTGAGCCAGGAGAGACAACTTTAAGTCCGGGTGGCCCCAGCTTAAGAAACATTTGCACAAAGGAGACAGCTGCAAACGCACATACTGGATTTAGATCTGAAACGTTTTGCCCTATGCACTGCCTGAGACTCTGCTGTTGCCGTATACAGAGTAAGGAGACTCCGCTCCTGAAAGCACAGCCAGGGAACAGCCTGAGGGGTTGCAGCCCAGAGTAAGCTGGTCAGAGACTGGTGCTGGCTAAACTCCAGCTGCCCTTGATTTAAGGGTTTCCTGTCTATAACAAAATCCAATGTCCCCCATTCAAAAATGCTCCCCCGAAGTCACTTTATAGCCTCTGATTTGTGCAAGATTATCAGGTGAGGAACCTAATCCATGGATGGGTGTGGAAAAGGGAGGTTAAAAAAAAAAAAAAGTCCTTATTTCCTCTGCATTCAGTGGTGCTCTAAAAGTGTAACTTTTGGCCCCACTGGCCCCCTAACCCATAGTAATATCGTAACTCCTGTACAGAAAAATGCTCTGTTGTAACAACTGGTATATTTGAGAATATTTGTACATGTATAAATTTGGTATTGCTTTATATATATATATATATATATATATATATATATATATACACACACACACATAGGTGATAAGTGCGCAGAAAACTGTTGGTAATAAAGTGTAGGTATATGTTTATATGTTTCCTTTTGCAGTTGGGAAAAGGCATAGCTCTGTCTCCAAATAGCTTGGGGAGCTACACATCACACACACTCACCACCTTCTTTTTTACAGTGGGCAGAAACCTCCACCCCCATCGTAGTGCTTTATGCAGACTGAAGCAGGGATGAGCAGAAGATGCCTTTCTAATTGGCTCCTATCTGTAAACATCAGAGGGGTGCTGCAACAAGCAAGCAAAGATTTTTGCTGCAGAAATTTGCATAAATTTTCAGAGACCCCATTGGCAGTCCTAGGCAATGCTTTTCTGCTCTGGACTATTTAGTCTGCGTAGAGAGATCTGTAAAGCTTTTAGACAAAATTAAGACCCTCCAATGTTAATGCTGAATTAAAGAACCAAGCCTTCCAAGTGATTCAGTTTCTTCCAAGTGATTCCGTGATTCCATAAACACACTGAAGAGGGTTTGGGTCTCAGTGATTCCTAGAGAAAAATCAGTTCAGGAGCTGCCATCTTGTGGGGGTTCCACAAAGCCGGGGTATGGCTTACCTCTGCACAGGGGGGAAAAGTGCAAATATGGCTGCCTTTTCAGTGCAGACTATTTCCCAGCCCTCCCTCCCCACACTGAAAAGGAGGGTCATAAAGCTCTGCTTTTATTTGGGTAGCGGGAGAGGATAATGAGGGAAATTGACAAGTGAGACTTTTTCAGAAAATTTTAGAATCAATCTGTTCAGTTCTGTATGTGTAGACTAGCGTGAAGTGTTCTGACTGGGGAGGGTCCAACAACTTGCCCCATTTTCTTGTGTAATTAAAAGCATTTTATTATTCTTCAATGCAGGTGTTTCTATTCCACATCAAGCTTGTGTCCTCTGCTTCTCTGCTTCTCGGGGGTTTGCTGAACCTTCAGGCATCTAGGGCTAGACAGGGAAGAGAGAGAACATTTTAATGGACCTGGCTGCTGCTATGGTCCCTCCAGCAAAATTAGAGCACACTGAGAAGAATATGACTTTTGCTGACAGATGTCAGTCCTTTAATCAAAAACATGGAAGGTCGGGACTTTTTCAAGAGATAAAAATGGCCTTCTCCAGAGGGTGCTGTGGGTTTCTTATGTCTGGGCTACTTGGGTGTGTGAGGATGTTAGTAACAGAGAACTTACACATAGATATTCAATGCAAATGTTTATAAATGTATTACTATAAGTCCAAACACAGTGTCCTTGAAGGAATGGAGGGAGGGGTTACATCTTTTTGGCAGGTTCTGAAATCTGGATATCTATGTCCATGCCCATGCATTAATGTTAGGGGAGTGCTGGGACCAGCCAAGGCCATTTACTTTCAGGGGGTTTCACTGGGACAGTTTTTGTCAGAAGTGCAAAGGGAATGTGACTCCTGCCTTAAAAGAAAAAGGGCTATTTTTTTCAAGGCTGAAATGAGAAGTTGCTCTTTTCCCGAACAAATGGACCCCCTGTCGTCTTCAATATTGCACTGAGCAGTCTTTTCAATGGACAAACATTTGGGGAGCAAGGGAGAGAAGAGAGGAGGAATTAGAACTGAATTCCATAGAAATGAGATTTACACTTAGGGGAGACTTAATGCAAGGGGTTTCTGAGAAGATCCAGAAAAACTGTTTCACCCTTAACCAAGGACTGTCCAAAAGGCTTTTCTACCCAGATAAAGACCAGGCAGTGACAGTTCAAACTGTTATTTTTAAGAAGTTAACAAGTGCTAAAACCATTTCCAGACTTTGAGCTGGTAGGTCACTCACTCTCCTGCTGCAGAAGAGAAAAGGGAAGGCCCCCAATTTATGTTGGATAGGGGGTGGGGGGAGAGCACACTTTCTTGGCCTGCAAAGTCCAGGTTTTCTGGGCAAGATGATTGGAGCGGGCTGGCCGGGAGATGAGAGGGGCAAAAACCGAAAGTACTTAGCTGCCCTTCCGGAGCCGGCCTTTTTGAGAGCAAGGGGGGGAGGAGGGAGGGCAGGGGAGGGGAGGAGGGGAGAAGCCAAGATCCGCCCCCCCTCCCAGGGAGGAGAGTTGGAGGGGGCTGACTGCCAAGATCACCTTCCAGTGCTCCTAGGTACTACACCACACTCATTTTCCCCCTAATATAGTGCCCATGTGAGCAGAGGTTTCAAGACAAACCAGGGGAGGGGGAAGAAAGAAAATAAAGAATTCCTAGAAAAGGTGAGAGAGTCAGGAACCTTGGAAGCAAGAAAGAATGAGAGAGCCCAGAAAGGGGGGCGCAGAGGAAAAGAGAGGAGGGAAGGGGGAGGAGGGAGAGAGAGAGAGAGAGGGGAGAGGGGGAGAAAGAGAGGAAAAAACATGGCGCTTGCGAGCTGTATGTGCAAAATCCGCAAGGAATTGCAGTAAATTCCTTTTTGTTTTGAAGAAAATTTACAACTTGGTAATAGACCTTTTTATGACCTATTTGCGGTCGTCATTGGCTGCGGCTGGTCATGTGCAGGCGCCGCTTGCCTTCACGGCCTTTTTCCTGATTTCCCAGGCGAATTTCCCCCCGCATTCTGCCTTCCTAGAGCCTCACCCCCTCTTTTTCTAACCTTTGTCTCTGCAGAGGTGGGCTCCAGTCGCCGATTGCGGGGTTCGCGGCGGCCTCGGCTCCGCCGGGCGCCCGACTTGGCCCGCCGCTTTGCCCGGGCTGCGCCGCGGCCGCCCCCGGAGCTGGTGGGGAGCCCGGCGGGTGGAGGAGCCGGAAGGAATCCGGGCGCCCAGGCCCCCGCCCGCGCTGACACCGCCCTCCCGAGCGGCCGGCCTGCTCGGGGGACCGCAGCCACGCGGTTCCGACGCGTCTGCTCCGACACGAGGGGTCCCTGCAGCCCAGGGTGCGCCCGGCCGGGCGCGCCCAATGGATTACAGCAGCCGCCGGGGCCGTCCGCCGCCTCCAGCTCTGCAGCCTCCGGGTAAGAGTCGCTCCCTCCTCGCGCCCCGCGCACTGACACCGGGGAACTCGAGGCACCCACCCCCTGGGGCAACTCGGGGAGCCCGGCCCGACCCCCTACTCTTCCTTGGGATCTGGGGTGACTGCCCCCCTTGATCCGTAGTCATTCTCATCTCAGAGCTGGCGCCCCCTGGGACGCCCGGTGGAGTCCCGCTGAACTCATAAAACGAAGGGAAGTCCCATTTCCTCTGGAGATTCCAAGAGGTGGATAGCGGCAGGCAGGACCCCAGTTCTTGGGTGGAGAGCTCCTTCGTCCCCATCCTGGGAAGAGTGTGTAGGTGGTTCCTGGACGTCTCAGCTTTGCTGGGGGTCACTAAAGGCACTGTAGTTATAAAGCAGTGTTTTGTCGTTTGTCTGTGGTCAGAGGTATCTCAGGCTAACAGGTGTTACATGAAGGGCCAGGGTTTGGGGTGGAGGTGGGGTGGGGTGGATTCTGTGCGCCCAAGATGTGCTTGATTTGTCCATCTAGGCTTTGGTGAATGCTGCTAACTAACTTCTAGGGGGTATGGTTCATTGGGCCTTGTGTATAAGATGGAATTTTAAATATTTTTAACTATTTCTATAGTGTTTAGCGAATTTTTGCAACAACCTAACCTAAGAAAGATTTCTCCCACACCTAGTCATCTGCCAGGGGGATTTGGATTATTTTATGTCACAAAATGGATGCATGTTTTGGGAGGTAGTAGTGTCAGAAAATCTGGTGCAGGTCTTGAGGGAAAAACCAATAGACATTTCAGAAATGCGAAGCATGTCTAAGTTCAAACATCGCGTGTGTTTCTTATTTGCCAGAGTAGGAAGAGTAGATATTTTGCTCTCTAAATGTATTGTGGTTTTTGCCTAAAAATAAATATTATATAACATTTCCCCCTCCACTTCAAATTTACTGAACTGAAACATTATCTGAGATAAAAGAAAATTGCAGGGAGAAAAAGAATACTATTTCACCCACTGATTTTGAAAGGCATTTGAGGATGCTGTTTTCAAACCCTGCTGCCTATTGCATTATGGACAGACACATTGTGAAAGATTACAACCCTTGGACAGTCTGCCGCATTGCGCATAGGGCTGACCTGCGCATGGCGGAGGAGTATCCGCCCCAAAGCACTCAGCGGCAAATCCTGACTTAATGCTTCTCCAAAATATGCAATGTAACTGTTGGCCCTAAAGCATTTCTCAGTAATAAATGGAATCTTTGTAGAACGGTATTTTTAGTAATTAACGATGGAATCACGCTCCTTTCAAAATGGAGGATCATGATTTGTGGTCAGTTGATGGTTGCAGAATTGTGAATCCCTAACAATGATAGCTCACAACTGAGCAACTCTGAATTGTTTTTTTTTTTAAACTGGGATGTCTGTATTTTTAAAGCTGGCATGTCTATTTCTCGACTAAGGTACAATGACTGTTGAGATCATTCTTTCATATTGGTAAAGCATTACCTATTGAAAAGCAGGTTCGTGATGGGGACTTAGGCCCCCCCCTGGCAGCTCCAGAGCCTGAAGAGCCCAGGAATAGCCCCTGGGACTAGGGTTGGAGGGTAGGGAGAGTTTTGGCCTGGGTGGCCTAGCCCTTGTGTTCACAGCTTCAGTGACTTTTCTTTGGGTTGGAGGGTTGTTGCGAGCCCAAGAGACTAGGAACCTTGGTGGGCTGCAGGTCCGATTATGCAGCAGAGGGTGATGTCATGGGCAGATATGAGGACTGAGGGGGCTCTTTGTAAATCCCCTGGCAGCATCAAGAGCTTATTGGAATGAAATGGTCAGTTGCATCTAAGGGAATAAATAATGTGCAAATCATTTGACCTCTAGCTACTTAGTCCTTGAGGAGACTAAGGCACTGCCGGAAATGCCCCATTGTCCCTGATAATCTAAAAACAAAAGAAAAAGAAACGGAAAAAAAAAAAAATGAAACCAACCACAAACTCACAAGCTGGGGGGTGCAACTCCCAGTGTCCTCAGCCTGGACCTCTACCCGTTTGTAGACCAGGGCTCCCATAGGAAGTCAGGGCCGTGGTGTTTGCGGGTCAGGCTGAGAGCTGGGCTTGTGTTCTTAGCAAGAACCAGCAAAGAATGAAGTTCACTATTATAAATGTGGCCAAGCACCAGAGCCGAAAACCAAAGACATTTCCCTGTCAAATGCTCCTCAAAATAAGTATATTTTTGCCAGAATTCTGTTTTCTGAGCTGGAGAAGCAGGGGAAATCCGAACAAAGACAGTATTTCACTCTGGGCTGGCAGGCAGCTGTTAGAGGTATTTACGGCCTTGCCGCAGTGCGGGCCGCCGGGCAGGGCACGCCAGGGCACCGGAAGCTTGGAAGAAGCCACCAAGAATTAGGAATTCCGATTTAAGTCCAGTTTAGAGCTACTTTTCCGGAATTTGTGTGGCTACCCTCTTTCTAGGAACTGATCCCTTAGACTTGATAGTTGGAGAGAATGCGGATGATACCGTGGTTTCTGAACGTAGGGTGTCCCCTCCTTGCTTAACGACTCCAGAGAAGCGGTGCACTTGATGGGAAATGGCTGATGCAAATGATAACCTTGAGAGTGTACCTTGGAAACGTGGCGATTTTGTTGGTTCAGCGGAATAGAACTTGCAAATCAGAAAGGACGTTTGAGACTTTTAATACAGTTTTCCAGGGAGAAAAAGGTCTATTTCCTTCCTGAGATGGCGCGCCCAAGCGTCCCTGCAGGCAGGCGCTGAAGCAGTGCGCGGTGCAGCAGCCCGCACAGCGCCGCACCCACCCGCGCACGGGTCCGAGCCCAGCGCGCCGGCCACGCGCGCCGGCCCGGGGTGTGGCGCCTGTGCAGAGTCGAACCGGCACAGCGAGGGAGGGGGGAGGGGTAAGTGGACTCGGGAGAAGATGCAACCTATAACCCCTTCTCTCCACTCCTCTCTCCCTCCCTCTGTCCTCAGTCCTCTGCTACTCGTCTTTCTCTTACTCCAGTCTGCCACCTAAATACAGCCAGACAGCTTGCCCTAGACCCCGTTATTTCCAGTCATCTTGACCCACCACACTACCTCACCCTAACTTCAATCTGTACCCTAGAAACAGTCTGGAAACATGAGCTATTGACCAAAGGGAAAACCAAATCTTTCAAGGTATTAAAAGAAATACACAGATTTTAACACCCTAAAAGAAGATATAGATATGGGGGGGGGATATGAGTGTGTGTGGGGGGGTTGGGAGTGCAGAGAGAGAGAGAGAGAGGGAGAGAGACAGACTCCCGGGGAAGTGTGTAGATTTTTAGAGTTTTTTTTCAACCTGGTCTCTGTGCTTTGGGAAAAGGCCTTTCCTCTTGGCGCCTATACACACCGCCGAGCTTCAGGCCAACCCACCCTTCAGCTTGACCCTTCTCGGATCTTGTTACCCCAGCGCAGCGCGTCTGAGGGCTCCCTAGGAGCCGGCGGCTCAGCAGAGAGCGGTCAAATAAGTAAATAAACGGACAAACTGAAGGTTTTTCCGCCTGGGCTCGCCTAATTAATGGGCGATGCGCGCTCCCGAGCATCGAGCCTGTGGTCGGGGCGGGGGCGGGGTGGACGGCGGCCGCGGGGCCCTCTCGACCCCCTTTGGCCGCCCCAGGGGCCACTGCGGGGCCTGTTCTCAGCCGCCGGTGCGGGAAGCCCCCCGCCCGCACGAACCCCGCTGGCGCGGTCCCCCAGCTCGCTGTCTGGCACCACGTCCAGGAGGAGGCGCTGTAGGACAAGCGTCTCGCCGGCTGCGGCGGCACGGGTGATGCCCCGGGCGGGAGCGGGCGGGGGAGGGGCGGACACGGGGCCCCGCCCCGCCCTCGCGGCCCGCCACCTCCGCCTGCGAGGAGCTCGGGCCTCCCGGAGGGTCGGTGATGCTGCGCTCGCTCCCAGGGACAGCAGAAGCGGCCTCAGGCCGGTTCCGGGGTGGCAGGCCACCTCAGTTCCTCCGCCTTCCCGGAGGGGGCGCGATTTCTGCGCTCTGGGCTCCTAGGGTCTGGAACTAGGGTGCCCTGATAGGGTAAGCTGCCCCCAGTCCTCGGGTTCCTAACCAGCCTCCTCAAGCTGAACTGCTCTTCTGGCCACTTTCCTTTCCTGCGATTCCTGAATGGGCAGCCTTGAAAAGCAGAGAGTCCAGTGGCTTTTCCAGCAGGCTGATGGGCCTCACCCTGGTGCTCCTAGAAACAAGGCCAGGGGCCCAGGACTCTCTTGGGGCTCCTTAAAGTCTCTGAGAGCCAGAAAAAATCCCACTGATTTTGAAGGTTAAGGACACCCCAAATGCAGGTCTCTACCCTTTTCCAGCTCACCCACACACCTCTCACCATTGCACCCATTCTGGGGGGTGTTTCTTTCACCTGCAGTGACACCCAACTTTAACACCTGGCTCAGATCCTACCTGACCCCATTGATCCTTCATTGTTTCCTGGCAATGTACTCTTTATTCTACTTTGGAGCAATGATTCCTAATGAAGGCCTGCATTTCAGTGTTTATCATGCAGGTTTCTGGGTCCCACCCAGATTTACTGAGTGAGAATGTGCAGGACCTGCATTTTGGAAACTCTCTCCCTCAGGTTTACTAGGATGCTTGCCACAAGTGTCTCTCCTGCTTCTTCTATGGTTTTCCCTTCCCCAAGGGTCAAGTTCCTTCTACCATTCAGCAGTTCCTGGAGCTTGCTCCCTAATTGGGTTTTCTAATGTCACTGCCCCAAACGCTGAGTAAAAATTACTTCCATTTTAAACAGGGGACATTGATCCCTTGCAAACTTGGAGATTTCAAATAGGTGAGTAGGTCAGATTGCCTCACATCTTTACCACTTACCTGCTGTGTGACCTTAGGCAAGTAAGCAAACTCTCTGGGCCTATTTCCTCATTTGCAAAGTATGGATAGAAGAGTATTTTCAAGGGTTGTTATGAGGATTTTTACCTACATAGCTATATGTGCCAAGTACATTCTAACTTACATATATATTAACTCATTGGTTAAGTACTTAAAACAAATTTTGTCATATTAACAAGGATTCATGACATGTTCTATATAATTAATACACCTATTTGACATAGCAGCCAGGCCTAGACTTTTAGAACTGAAAGAAACCTGGTTCACATACTCAATCTTTGAATTCTACAGAGAAGCTGCAGGAGATCATAGTTCTGCAACTCTTCCTATTGCTGTAGTGGGTCTCATAGGCCCTACACCATTGGATTTCAGCATCTAGCAACTGTGTACAGGTAGACTTTAGGATAATACCCAGGAGGAAAATACTGTTAGCTTCTCAGAGGGCAGATGTCAGGAAGAGGAGGCCTTATACTCACACAGGCACATGCGTGACACCTAAAGGGCTTCAGGCCTTCCCAGAGAGCAGGCCAAGCTACCCACGTCCTGGAGTCACCTGTACCCATCACTGATCAGTCACACCCACCAATCTGGTTGCTCTTCTACAGGCCTAGGGCAAGTACTCACTTTTCAGTCTCTTTAAATCTGGGGCAAGCTAAGAAGAGCAAAAGGCCAGTGGGCAATAGCAGAGGAGGGCAGGAGTGTCCCATTCCCCTTAATCTGCTTATGCTCTGAGATCTGGGCTCCAGGGCCATGGCTAAACTGTAGCTTCCAACTTTAGCCAGAGTGATACCAAGGTAATTCTAAGAGGGGCCTTATCCTACCAAATCTCAGTCAGCTTTTCCAGTGTTTTGATATTCTCTCTTTCTCTGTCTCTCTCACTCTCTCTCCACACACACACACACACACACACACACACACACACACACACACTTTGAAAGAGTTACATAAATGCTACTTCAGGCTGCAACATGTATACATCCTCTGCAATCAGTTCTATCCCCTTACCCCTCATTTCCATGACTTCTACCTACAAACTTTTCCTAAGAAGGCCTCTGCAGGCCTTTCTCTTAGCTTAACCAGGAGTCTACCTGGGTCAGATTGATTCTCAAAACACACATAGTCTGTTCTGCTACAAACCATATCCAGTAGAGTTCTGCCTATGGCATAGGGCAACATTGAGCCCTCCAGGCATCTTCACCCTGTGCCATTTCCATTCTCAGTTTTCAAAGCACTTGGATGGCCACCCCATCTGCCCTTCTGCTGGAGCCTTTTCTAGCCCCTGGCTCCATGGTCAGAGGTCCTGTCCCATTCTTTTGGTTCTCTTATCTCACTATTGGAGGTTTCCTTTGGAGTCTCTTCTTCCCAAAGGATGCCAAGCATGAGGTCCAATAAGCCAGCCTCATTCTCTGGGTAGAATTGGGAGTGGCTAAAGAAGGGTTTTTCTTTCAGAGTACAGTGCCAGAAATAGAGAATCATATTTCTCTCCTACGTGGGACTCTTCTCAGCCCTTCTCTTCTCTACCCCCACCCCATGTCCCTAAGTGACAGCCCTGGATAGTCTCTTTCCTCCATCTGCCCCTGGCCTAGGGAATTCATCCAGTGTCCCAGCTATCCCTTCTGGTTGTGCAGACACTTAGCTTAAGTGTAGAGCTCAATACCACCTTTAGGTAGGAGAGCTCTTAAAAGCCAAGAATATTCTTTCCTGGGGCTCCTATTTTGGGCAAAGAGCTGATCTCTGCATTTGGAGTGAAGCCGTTCCCTCCTGGACCCCTTCACTGTCTCCTCTTTCCTGGCAGCTACTGTGGCTTCTGGGTTGGAGGAGTAGTAACAGAGGACCCTGCCCCATGCCAATACTCTGGGCAAGAATTGCCAAGACTGGCTCTCTCTAACCAGATGGAGAGGGATAGTTCCTAGAGTCCCACTTCACCCAAAAACTGATTCCATACAGGTTTTCTCTCCCCCCCCCTCCTCTCCCATTACCACCACTCAAAAGTCCTTGGGAAACTCCCCAACAAGTCGGCCTAAGCTAGCTCTCTGTTCATCCCCTGATGCTTGGCCTTCTCATAGGCTGAGTTGTCTCTCCCCATTCCCACTCTCATTCATGTACAGAAGCCCAGGACACTGGGGGCTGGGGGCCAGAAAGGAGTGTAGGAAGGTGGACGGTCTTTCTTTGATCATGTTGCTTGGTTGTCCTAAGATCAAAAGTAACTGAAGATGCCTGCTTGAATGTATTCCTTTCTTTCCTCCTTTTCCCTATGCAAGCCAGTTTTTTTCTGTTATTATTTAAATGTAGAGTAGATTGTGTAATTTTATTCATCCTCTTAGGTAACCCACAATGAAGACTGCAACTAAGTTCTAATTACCATCTTTCATCATCATTCACTGAAGAAAAAAAATTCACTGAGCTTTCACTAGGTACCAGCATTATTTCAGACACTACCTCCTCGGTCTAGTCTTCTCCTTCCCTCATAGAAAGTTCATTACAAATGCCCAGAAAATCACAATCATTTGATACTTTTTTATAAAAGAAACTTAAGGAAAATTTTTAAAAAGCTTTTTCTACCTGTTCAAACTTTACTTTTTACAGTGGATTAACAGGGACTAAGTTCAAAACTGCTAATATAGTGCTAACAGAATCAGAAAACTATTTTGTAAAAGCTTGATCTTTATCTAATTTTTAAGATAGATACTACCAAATTTACGGGGGGGGGGAATTCCTCCTCTGTGGCTAGTGGGGGAAATAAGGAGAAATAGATGCCATTCAGTCCAGGCCACCTGATTTGAAAGTCAAATCAAGAAATGAGTTTAGAAATCCACAGAGAAAAAGTGGGCATTAGGATGCAAAGAGATCTTTGTAGGGAGGGATCTCTTACATGGGCTTGATGGGACTTGCTGATGAAAACTTTTGTGACTGAATTTGATGTAGAAATCATATCTGTGGGATGCTCAAGAAATGTACACAGAACATCTATTCTTTTAATCAGAATAGTCAAAATCACACATTTGAAGTTTGGTGGCAACTCTGGTGGGCTATGGAGGGATACTGGGGGTCAGATCTCTTTTTATTTACGTCCTGTCTTGGGACCTGGGGGCATCTTCCCCACCTCCACCTCCCCCCAAGCATGGAATGCCACATTCTCCCTCAGAGCAGTGCTCTGGCCCAAGCTCCTTTTCTTGACTTTCCCAGCAGGACAGCAAGCTCCCTCCTGCTCTCTTAGGCGCTCCCTCTGGTGGGTGTGGCAGTGTTGGGTGGGGGTGGGGAGGGGGAGAGGAAGCCCTCCTAATGATCCCACCCAGGACGGGTGAGCTCAGAGCTTGTGGTTGGGAGCACTGTGGGAGTGGGGACATCTGACTTCCTGGGCTTGGGTTCCTTGAGAGCCTCATTTGCTTCCTCACACCCTGTCCCCTTCACACCATGGCTGTTTTATTGTTTTATAACCTTCTTTAGAGCTTCAGTTGCCAAAGATTCTGATAGGGCTATTCTCCACTTTCTCAGCTTACCAAACCCCAAGTCTTGCTGTTTTAAGCAGTTTGGTCACTTGCAAAGACTTCCCTTTCAGATCTAAGCAAATTATAGAAAACTCTAGGCATGTGGCTACCTTCAACTTTTGCTGAGCCCATTCACAACAATACAGAGCCAAGTGTTAACTCCAGCGGCCACCCCTGCCCCCACCCCAAGCCTACCCAGCCTCTTCCTAACCACCCTTTTCTACTGAAGTTTGAACAAAATCTCAACTTCTAATAGAGGCAAATAAGAAGTGATCTTCGAGTTTCCTCTTTATTTATCTATTACATCTAGAACTACAAAAATGATTGAAATAAAGGAGTTGATGGTACTCACAGTGAATGCGGCCAAAGAATCATAAGACATGCCCACCAACCAGCCTTTTCCAAATAGCACTATCTCCCAACTTAAACAGCCTTCTCTGAAAAGATGCTATTTGAAAAGTCCAGGGTATTGATATGAATATGACCCCCCTTGCATCTTGGATATTTGGAACTATTTAAATGTGAGGGAACAGTTGCAGTGAACCTTTATTTAGTGAATAAAAGTTTAAAGCCGAAGGTTATTTATGGTTCTGCAGAGATGGGACCTGAGTGGCTATTTACGAACACGTGATTCCAATAAACTTTGTTTTATGGCTTGAGAGTTGACAAGCCAAAATATAATTCCCACCATAAATTAGGTTAAGAGCATACAAGCGCAGATGCTTGGTTCCTCGAACAGTGATAGGAAAGTGAGAAGCTCCAGCCAGCGCCGGCTCAGAAGGAAACAGTTCTACTTCCAGCCTCCCTGCCCACTAGAAGAGAAAACCAGTAAGTTACGTTACTTTTTCCATAACAACTTCAGCCATGGGGGATTCCTCTGCTCTGTCTTTTCCACCCGGGGCGGGACAAATCTCATCGAGGTGAATTCTAATTTTAGCCTAAACCTAACTTAACAAGTAGAATAGGAATTGCAGTTTTCTACCATCGATTCTGGACATAGAAAGTTAGGAATTCTGGTCTCTGAAAGTTAGAAATTGAGGGCTCCAAGCTCAGGAGAGGTACTTGCTCTCTCTCCTCCCCCATCATTGAACATCTGTTTCAGGAGGAATAAAACAAGGATAGTCTAGGTGGAGATGGCTTTGCCTCTGAGATTTCTCAGAGAAGACTGCCATCCTAACATAAAACTAGAGGAGATGGAAAACTTTAAGCTGGACACCAGTGCTTGTGAGGACCACTGCTTTGAAAGATTGCTTTGTGGGTTCCCCAGCAGCAGTGCTAGGAAAAAAATGATGTCATATCCATAGAGCTGGATAACAATCTGAAGCATTGCCATTTACCTTTTACCCCATCGATTTTCCTCCTCCTTGGTTATCACTTGGGTCCTCATTTCCCTTGGAAATTGCTCTTTGTTTTGAATTGGAGCAGAAATAGGAAGGCAAGTCTCAGCCACGCCTGGTCTTTCTTTGGGAAGCAGAAGACAGGTTGGGGGTGCTAGTTGGAGCTGAGGAATTTGAAACCACTTTGAAACTGGAAAGGGGGATTGAATTATTCCCAGAGTGACACAGGGAGCTGGGGTGGAGGGCAGATACAGGGGCTGCCCCTTCCCCAGTGGACCTGGGCCCACCAGGGAATTTTGCAGGGGGAAACACACAAAGGCCCATTTTCTCCTCGCTTTCCTGTTTCCCAAATGGGGAAACCCTGTTACAGCAGCCTAAGTCGGGACAAACTACCAGTAAGGTTTTGCCCAGGGGTGCATGTGGTGAGGGAGGCGATGGGCCATATTTTTCCACTTCGTGGTCTGCCCTTTAGGACTGCGGTCTCGGCTTGCTCCGCGGAGAACTTGGCTCACAGTTCCTGCGGGCGGCACCCGAAGCAAGGAGGTCTGGGTATTGGTGGGGTGTCTGGGCCTTGTCATTTTCCTGTGTATCATCTATCTTTTCTTATCCTGTGGAATTTAAGTGACCCACGTTTTCATTGCAACAGGTTCGGGACCGTGAGAGATCGCCTCTGTAAGTACCTCCCCGTTTCTTCCGAATCCAAGACTGATCTAGATGGCGGAGGTGGTCGGGGCAGGGTCTCGCCTAGGGAGTGAGCGGGGAGGAAGAACGGCCCAGGCCGGGAGATGTGAGGGAAACTCGCTTGGGAGGTAGGAGCCCCAACTAAGCTCCTGGATAGATTTTTCTGGGGCCTAGTTCAGTCACCTAACTAAGGGAACGCCCTCTACGGAATGTCGACCTTGTGTTCTTGGGTCTGCCTGGACCTCCCCGTCTCCCCAGCTCTCACAGGTGCAGCTCTGCCGCAGCGGCAGCCCGCAAGCTTCAGTTAAGAGCTTGCAGCTAATTAGCAGTCCGCCCTGTGCCCTATTAACAAGTTGTAGGGAGAATCGCCTTCTCCTCCAAGCAACCTGCTAAACACTAAGGCAACGGTGAACTCCTTCCGCAGTCCAGCCCAGCCCAGCCCAGCCCAGCTTAACCATGTCCATCCTGGTCCAACCTTCTCTCTTAAAAAGAAGAGAGAAAGAAGCGGGGGTGGGGACCTTAACCCTCTATGGCTGCGGGTGTGTTGAGTTGGCCCGTTTCTAGAACGGCTGGGAATTCCGAGCTTTAGGTGGAATTTCTTCCTCATCGCTCACGGCTCACCCCTCCCCCGGTTTAGGATTAGGTTTGGGGACCCGGGCTGAGTAGGGCAGGAGGGATGCGGGCCCTTCTCCTTCACCTCTCGGTAACTGCAATTTGGGAATTTCTGTGCCAGAACTGCGGGTGTTGCAGGCAAACATAGGGGGGTTGGGCGGGGGGCTTGTAAATTTGGATCTGAGTTCCATGTGCTATGGAAGGCAGGTACATTTCAGAGGAGACCTGTGAAGTCTCCTTATCTCATTAAGATGATAGCAGTGTCTGAAGAGTCAAGGAGAAAACAGTGGCTCCTCCCTCACTGCAAAGTGAAGATGATTTTGTTTCAATGGCAGATGGAGTATTCCAGGGTTGTCGGAACTAAGGCATCTTCCCTCTCTGGAGAGAAGCCACTATCTCCAGGGTCTGGGAAGCTGGGGCTTGGCTCTGGGCCAATCTGGGTAGCCTGATCTGCTCCCTAGGATCTGTGCTCACCCTGAAAAGTGGAGATTCTGCCCTGTACCTAGTTCCCCTCTATGAAAAAGGTTGGCGCAAGTCACTCCAAGGAGGAAAATCTGGTATCGCCAGACCCCGTGGTCTTGCCATGTTCCTATTAGCAGTTAGCACCCTGGCTCTGGGTGCTTATCTGCTCCAAGGCGCCTCTCTTGCAAACCCACATTTGGTACCCTATAGCTGAACACAGCACACACACACACACACACACACACACACACAATAACCCTGAGAGATCAAAAGCATTTGTATGGGCAGTTGAGCGGGAGGTGAATATTTAACGCTTTTGTTCATCAATAACTCGTTGGCTTTGACCTGTCTGAACAAGTCGAGCAATAAGGTGAAATGCAGGTCACAGCGTCTAACAAATATGAAAATGTGTACTCTTACCCCGTCTCCACCCAACCTAGCAGGCTCCCCCAATTTTTCTGGATAAAATCTAGGCCCTGTGTCTCCAGGAAGAAGGTAGGTAAGTGGGAGTACTTGGCATTAGAGGACTTGGGGTGAACCTTCCTGGGACAAGTGGATTGGGCATGGGACAAATTCAGAGCTCTTGTTAGAATTGTCACCCAGGAAATTCCTATGAAGTAGCCAACTCACTGGAAATATAGTTTGGGAGTGGGAGGTGTGTGCACGTGGAGAGTTGAAGCAGGCAGCCAATTTTGCCAGACTAGGGTTGGGGAGGAAACAGAGGGGAGTTTCCCTATTCCACCCCACCAGGCCCAGGTTGGGGCTTAAAACTAATCTTTGAATCATAATGAGAAAATCAAAACAATCAAAAAAATTTAAAACACTTCTGGAGGGATCCAAAAGCCCCACCCAAGCGCAGGCATCCCTGTGCTCCTGAAATCCATCAGATCCTGAATGCAACTGTGTTCTTGATGCCCCGAACGAACGGAATGGTGAGCTCCAGACAGCACCGAGGCACTGGGGCGGGTGCAATTCATGAACTTTTGTACTCTTCTGTGCTGCTGTCGGCAAAGCAAAAATAATGAAACTTTGTGATATGTTTGTAAATGATTTCGAATGACCCCTCGCCCTGCCCTTCACCATTAGCAAGCCGACCCCAGTTCATGGGGTCCAGGGCAGCTCGGTGCCTGTGAGCAGCTCCTGCCTTGGGTCTGCAGCAGGAGCAGGAGCAGCAGCAGCAGCAACAGCAGCAGCAGCAGCAGCAGCGGTGGACAGGAATGGACAGGCCAGCCCCACACCGGGCCCGGGAAGGTAAATGCACGACTTTTTGGAGAGCTAGCTTTGTCAGCCTACCTGGTTTGGGTGGGCAGTGGGAAAAAGAATGGGTGGAGGATATTCCATTCTTGCCTCTTTTTCTTCTGTCACCGATGGCATTTGCTCCTTTTTGGAAAATACCACTTGATAAGGGGGTGAGGGGAGGAGGTTATTTAGATCTGGAGTGGGGTATAATAAAGCCGCCATTTCTGGGATGGATTATTTCTTCTTCTTTCTTTCTGAAGAACACTGTCCTGGCTGCTTGACTGCTCTGTAACCCCGGCACTGGTACAAGGATGGGGAACTCATTGCTGCAAATTGCCACCAAGCCCTTCAGCCTACCTGAACCGGCTGGCTCTCAAAGTGCGGGTGGCTGTATCAGGCTGGTGGTGCCTCAGAAGAAGAGGCTGGGGCTGGCAGCAGTTTAAATACCGGCCTGGGTGGAATCCAGAGGTTGTAACGTAACGTTGTCTATATATACCCTGTAGAACCGAATTTGTGTGGTGTCCACATAGTCACAGATTCGATTCTAGGGGAATATATGGTCGATGCAAAAACTTCACATTTCTCCGAAATAGCCAGAGTCTAAAGTGAAGGTAAGAGGCAGCCAGCCGGTCGGCGGTGCCTCTTTCTGTTTTATTACCTTGGACTCCAGGAGGACCGACTGAGCCTGGTGATATAGAGCAGCCTGTTCCTCCAGAAGCTTCTCATTTCTAAAAACAGTCTCCTGTGGGTGCTGTAACAACAACAACAACAACAAAATAAATTAATAAAACGAATTGGTTGCATGAATACAGGACCAAATAACTAGGTTTTGGGGAGGGGGGGGAAAGGTGGGAGGCCAGCTAGCCCCAGTCTCAGCTCTGCCCTCCGAGAGGTTGGAGAGTGCCCGGTGAGGGGGCTCACTGGCATTTATGGCCCATGAAGGAAGAAAGCAAGCTAGGAAGAAGAGGGGGCTCATTTGGGTGAGCAGTGTGTGCCTCACCACTTTTCTGACTGGAGCAGTGGGGACTTCTTGCTCTAATGGGCAAGGTCTGCCTTTGACTAGAAACACCCCTGGCCTAGGCACCGGTAGAAAGCTTGGAGGTTATTCATTGCCTAATTCAATTCAGGCCAGCTAGATTCTGGTAACTTTTGGGTGACCCTGATGAAGACAAAGCCGGGATTCGGCCTTTGTATGGGAGAGTCCCCCTCTGGCGAGCTGGAATCCTGCCTGCTTGGGGTGTTCTGTCCAACTCAGAGGCTGTCCAGCCCACCCACCTTTGGATGCCCTCATGGATATGGGGATTCATCCCCGCCCCCCTTCCCGGGCCAGTGCGGGCTTTGGGGAGCTGCTTTCACGCAGGCTTGAGGAGGAAGAGCACTAGAGGTTAGCAAAGTCAGTGGCAGACAAAAACTGGAATTACCTGCAGGGAATGAGGGTGCTGAGGATTAGAACCACATTAACATCTGGTGGGGGCCCTCAAATGTGCACCTACGAGTCACTTGATTACACGTATGTTATTTAGTTAAATTTGTGAAAATTATGAGATGCTCACCAACCCGGTGATAAACTCGCTCCCTTGCTATTGGCTGGGCTGGTCACATGGCCGACCAACTTTATTCAGTTGACAGCAAGTAGGAGGGCCCTATGGAAGGAGAAAAAAAGACAACACGAGAAAAATTAGTATTTTCTACCTTCTGAAATTAATGGCCATGAGTTCGTATATGGTGAACTCCAAGTATGTGGACCCCAAGTTCCCTCCGTGCGAGGAATATTTGCAGGGTGGCTACCTAGGCGAGCAGGGCGCCGACTTCTACGGCGGCGGTGCGCAGGGTGCCGACTTCCAGCCCTCGGGGCTCTACCCACGGCCCGACTTCGGTGAGCAGCCCTTCGGAGGCGGCCCGGGGCCCGGCTCGGCGCTGCCCACGCGGGGTCACGGGCAAGAACCCAGCGGCCCTGGTGGCCACTACGGCGCCCCGGGAGAGCCCTGCCCGGCGCCCTCAGCGCCCCGCCCGCACCCCTGCCGGGCGCCCGGGCCTGCAGCCAGCCAGGCGGCCCCAAGCCTCCGGCCCCCGGGACAGCACTCAAGCAGCCCGCCGTGGTCTACCCATGGATGAAGAAGGTGCACGTGAATTCTGGTAAGGCGTGGGCCCAGCGACCTTTCTGTCCCCACCCTAGCTCAAGGCCTGGAACCCGGGAGGGGTGCAAGTGTGTGGGGGCCAGTGGGGCTTCAATGGGGCGCTGCAATTACTCTCTCCATAAATTTTTATAGCTAAGGGAGCAGGCCAGGACCATGTGGCTGACTGCTTGGCTCTGGGCAAAAAAGGGGGTGGAGATGGGGGTGGGGTGGGGGAGGACTCCATTTTCAGAGTGGAAGGAACACGTTGTGGGAGAAAGGGATTTCCAAAATACTTGGGAATTCCGGAGCACAAAGCGGTGGAGCAGGGAGATGGGAGCACCTTTGGGGACCCCAGCCTGCAAGCCTGGGGGAGTGGGTGGGTGTGCGGGTGGATAGGCTCCAGCGTGTGCGCCTGGCAGAGAGGGCGGGAGCGAGGGAGAGAGCTGGCTCGGGAGCGGGGAGGGCGCTGGGCCTCTGGGCGCGCCAGGAAGTGAGTGCTGGTGGCAGGGGCCTAACTACTGGCCTAGTGCTGACCTGACTCTGCTGTCTGTTTTGTCTCTGCAGTAAACCCCAACTATACCGGCGGGGAGCCCAAGCGGTCCCGGACAGCCTACACCCGGCAGCAAGTCCTAGAACTGGAGAAGGAATTTCATTTTAACAGGTATCTGACGAGGCGCCGGCGGATTGAAATCGCTCATACCCTGTGTCTGTCTGAGCGCCAGATCAAGATCTGGTTCCAGAACCGGAGGATGAAGTGGAAAAAAGACCATAAGTTGCCCAACACGAAAGGCAGGTCCTCCTCCTCCTCTGCATCGTCCTCCTCCTCCTCCTCCTGCACCTCCTCAGCTGCCCCTGGCCAGCATTTGCAGCCTCTGGTCAAGGACCACCACACAGACCTGACGACCTTATAGAAGTGGGGACCCTGGGCCCATCCCTCCCTGTGCTCCCGGCTGAGCCGAAGCTGCGGGTGCAGGCCGGGCCTGCTGTCACCTCGCTGGGCTCTAAGGTACTGTGGGGTGGACCTGGGACAAGCAGGCCGCCCTCGGACTAGGTTAGCATCCTGCCCGAGGGCAGCCCCCTCCCTGGACCAGGGATGGGGGTGGGAGGGGGGTGGGATGTTCTCTCTGAGTCTATTATCAAATGGCAGGAGCTACTGAGAACATAAAACCTTTGCGAGTCATTAAACTCATGAAAATCTCCTCTGTTGGATTTTGAATTTGCAAATGAAGGTTGGATGCTTTACCCCTGTGAATTTGAACATTCACCCCCACCCCATCCCTCCAGGGATATTTGTGGTTTAATAATGTGGGGGAATTGAGGCAGAACTGTGGCCACCCCGGTGCTAGGTGATTGCAACAGAAGCAAGAGAGCTGGGCCAGGGTTTCTGAACTTTCTGGGTTGTCTATATAGATTCCAGTGTGAAAATTTTTTTTTCTCTCCCAGCGGCTCCATGTCCAAATAAGTCTAAGAAGGAAATGGAAACGGGTTGTTTTATGTTTAGATTATATTTGCTTAAATATTTATTTGTGGGGAATGGAGTACAGAAATAACTGACATCTAAATGCAAAAACCTCAAGATGATGAAAGGGACTGAGTTTCAGGGAGCTGAATCTGAGATTGTGGACTTACTTCTGGTGTAACTTGCAGTTTGAACTCCACCCACTCCCCGGAAATGGGTGTAGGGGGCCCTTAACCCTTTTAGAGGAAAGCAAAGGGTCCACTCAAATTTGAGTTCTTGAAAATATATTTCCACATGTGCTTTTTTCAGCACTGTGCTTACAACCAGTTCTGGGTGATTAAAGGAGAGGGAAAAAAGAAAGAAACAAATGGCCCAACATTTTCCTTCTGGGGAAAGAAAACAAAACCTCTATGTTCTGGGTCATTAGATAATGACTGAATTTTCTGTTCCAACTGGATTCCAAATGCCCCCAAATACCCCATATAGCAGTATTTTATAGAAATTGGTGTATGGCCCATGTGAGTGAGGGGACTATATTGCGAAGGCGAGGAAGTCCTACTTTCAAAAAGAGAGAAAAACCTCACTGAATCTAGAAGTCCACAAAAGTTTGTTTTAGGGTTTTCTCCCTCCGTTTTTTTTTTAATTTTTAAAATAAATCTTAGAGTCTTTCTCATCTTATTAATTAGAAGCATAAATTGTAAAACTATAAAAGTTTTCAGGTCCTAGTCCTTGCCTTGAGAATAGTGGTTTAAAAACAATCACTCTCCAAAACAGGAGAGAGATTCTTCAGTCATTTTTCTTATGCCTTTCCTCCGAAGGGTTCAAAGCTCATTTTTCTAGAATGCTGACCCTTAAGGACAAGGGGAAGAGTCAAAGTTAATGTCCAGAGTTCATATACTCAAATGAAACAAGCCTTCCTGAAGTTTAAACCCCAATGCCTCTGGTTCCAAAGAGGAACCCTGGTTGTAGCTACTGAGAAGTGACAAAAGGGGGGAGGGAGAAGGGGTGAACTTAAAAAGGAGTTGGAGAATTTGGGTTATTTTTTTAGTGCTCCAGAACACTTAAGAAATTTTCAGCATTAGTTTTAAAAATATATTTAAGTGTGTGTATATGGAGGGGGGGGTTGCTTTCTCTGCAGGCATGTTCTTTGGTTCAGTGTCTCCTGAGAGCTGAGGGCAGGTATTCACTGGAGTCCCTAGGCTGAAATTCCACTTCTCTAAAGTATCTTCCAAGCCTTAGTCTTTTGTATTAGACCCTGGGGACAGCTCTTTGTTCCTCCTTGGGGTGAGCCTGGCTCTCAGACTTGCACATGGCAATACTTGAATATCGCCACGTCGGGATATTAAAGATGGATATTCCTGCATTATTCGCATCATTGTTTCTATGACAAAAAGCACAGAGTTCATACATAGTCAAGACGTCTTTTTTCTGATGCCCTCACGTTGAGAAGCTGAAAAGGTATTTTACTGAAGTTCGGCTAAATTACAGAATCAGGTTCATCCAGAGGACAAATTTTCTATTCGATTAGCTGTATTTCAGCCGGGAGGACTGACCTCTAAACCCTTAACCTTTTGGACTCTGACTACCCTTCTCTTCTTTTTTTCCTCTAACGTGCAGAGCAGGCTTTGGACACAGCAATTGAAAAGAGCCGCTATCCTTAGGCAAGTTGGGAAGTTGCTAAGATTCTTTCCTAAAACTCAAATCTGTGAATACACTGTACCCTCTCCTTGGGAGGGGGGAAGTATCTGTTCACAACATCCAGTGACATGTATATCACAGATTACTACAGAGACTTCCCTCTTTCAGAGAAGTTCAGGTTGCTCACCCAGCTTCAGACCAAATGCCAAACCAAACTACTTAACTGCCTTCACCCCTGCCCCAGAGGAAAGGGACATGTTTTCAGGATGAAAACCCAAACTCTTTCTCAAACTTAGTCCCACTACTTTGGAAAGTAACTTTAGAGGAGAAACAACTTCTTTGTTTATAAGTCTCAGCTCCTCTTCCCAGCTTCCAGGGATTGTCTTTTGAAATGTTAATGAAGCCTGGTTGGCCCAGAGGGCTGCCTTCCACCCAGAGGTCCCTATCAGACCCTAGAGTCCATTTGGGCCCACAGCAGTGGGGCAGGGAAGAAGCAGGGCCCCCAACCACCTAGTGCAGGGAAGGAAATGAGTTTCCATCTGGGAACGTGCTCTGGAGAAAGCTAAATATAGAATGGTTCAACGTCCATTTGCTTTTGTTTCCAGTTCCCCCAAATATGAGCCAGAAGTGTTTTGGTGTTTATTTTTTTTTTTTTAAGCTGTGTTGGGGTTGTGACTGGGGGTGGGGGAGAGCTAAGTGTTTGCTGAGGATGTGGCTCCTTAGACTCCCATCTCACTCTGTCCATTGCAGCCTTTTGTTGGGGGATGATATTGTCAGTCAGCCCCATGGTGTCTGTTCACACAAGATGCTTTTTGAAATAGAATTGACCGATGTTCTACTGCCACTGATTAAAGTATTATTTATACTAATTGTTGCTTGTAGTTTTGATGTAATTCATTGATCTATATTTGAAATAATAAAAGGTGTAGCGAAATCTCCCTCCTGTTTGGTGCCTCTACAGAAGCATTCTTTACTAAGTTTTCTAAAAACAAACATTCAATATAAACCATGTGTTTTGTTTTCCACATGTGCCTGGTTTGTAAAGGTTGTACTGTATAAGACTTAGAAAAATTCTATCCTTGCCCACTCCCCTTACATACACACTCCCAATTTGGCCACCATATTTTCTGAGCCTTGGGAAGCCTGGAGTTGGATTCAGGCTGCAGGGGTGTTGGGTATTGTTTTTTGAAAGGAAAATGAGTTAACATCCCAAGCTAAAAAGAGGCTCCAGGTTGGCTTTCTGTGTGCCCCTGCCAGCACCAAACCTCTTCAGTCTTTATGGTAGGATAGGTGAGAGACCTTCCTACCCTCCAACTCTGGAATAGTGGTGCTGGGTTCTGGGCCAAGCCTGGGCTGGCCATTGGCTGCTCCTACATGACCCCTCTGGTCTCCAAACTCAGGCTTTTACTTTCTGGTGCTGCTCAGTCCCACGGGGGCTACCAGCACCTGCCCCTCCTGCCTCCAGCGCCCCCTCCGCCCTGCCCTCCAGACCACAATAAACACTCCCCTCTCTAAAAAGTGGCCTGTGCTATTTTTATCACGAGGGCATTTTCACGTCTTGGCCTCGCCTAGAAGAGGGGCCCAAGACTGGAGTCCCAAAATAGATGGGGTGGGGGGGGCGCTTGCTGGAGACAGGAAATGAGCAGAATGCATAAAATCAGACATGTGTCCTTAATATATGGAAGGGCTCGCCTCAGACGCGTGGACATGTGTATTTATAAGTGCGCAGACAGAAGTTTAAATATTCAGACACATTTTATGATTGTCCTCTGCCCGTCTTCTGGTTAATGGCTCCTCCTGTGCCCACCAATACATCAATACCGTTGTGTGTATTGAATCACCGGCAGGGAAGAGGAAGCGAGTCCATAGCCGAGCCCGCCGGTGTACAGTACAGTAAATCCCGACCCTCGGCAGACGGCGCTTCCCGCCTGCCTGCCCGCCATGTTGGGGAGCCCTCCCTGCCCCCCGCGCTGGGCTGGGCGGCTGGGGCTCGCCGGCTGCCGGGGGAGGGCCTTTCATAACCCGGAGAATTTTCAAAGTGCGAGGAAGATGATAAGAATAGATTTCTACAAGTCCCGACCACGTGATTGGCGAAATAATTAATTCAGCACGTCCCTTAAGAAACACGGAGTCGTCATTAATCTGCCACGCAAAGGGCTCTCTCCGACTTGGAAAGTGCAGGGATCCCAAGAATATCACCCGCCGAGGGGGGCCGCGCGGCGCCCCCAACCCTCCACCCCAACCCCGCGGCGGCGGGCGCGGGAGCGCAGGCGGCAGGTAAATATTTGGGCGACTTTTATTTCTTCAGATTTAAATCCTTAATGAACTTAGCTGTCAGGGCTGCTGACAAATAGTTCTCTTTGCTTCCTGATTTGGAACCGCGCGCCGGCGAGAAGTTGTTAGTGGCTTGGATGGTGACCTTTGGTTCAGCAAAGCTTTGCACTTATGAAAAATTACCGAGAGCGACCGAGTGTGTGTGTGTGTGTGTGTGTGTGTGTGTGTGTGTGTGTTGGGGGGAGGGGGAGAGAGACAGAGGGCGAGAGGGGGGGGGGAGAGAGAGAGAGGGAGAGAGGTGAGGGACAGGGGTGCGAGGGGCGCGGGGTGCGCCCGGGCTGCCTGGAGACAACAGGAGTTGTAAAAACCCGCCCGGCTGGGGACGCGCCTGGCGCACGCGGGCTGAGGTTGCCCGGTCGCCTGTGTCTACCGGGAACAATGGTCGCTGTCACGGCATCTGCCGCCTATTCTTAAACCGGTGAGAAAAGGCCCTGGCCCTCTTTTCAAGCAAGGGTCGTAAATTTTTCTTTGCGTCATAATAGAAGGCTATAAAATCGAGTTGAAATTTTACCCCAGGCAGGTTTTAACCAACAGATAATTATTTCCGAGTTGCTTCTCCCTTCCCCGTCCCTTCCCACCCAAGCGCTGCTGCTTCTGTCACCCCAGCCAGGACTTTCCCATTATTTTTGTATTTTTAATTTCGGAGGACGATCTCAAATAAAGGCAGGGCCAAGTCCCTGCCAGCCGAGCCGGCGACCCGGGAGCCAGGGCACGCCGGGGACGGGGTCCGCGGGCGAGGCCAGGGCGGGCTGCGAAGGCTCTGTCTCCAGCGCTCTCCCACTTCAACCTTTTTTCCCTCCCGAGCCCCAAGGAGAGTCGATGTTCCAGAGTCACTCGGCTCCCAATTCACCCAGCCTCGGGGCTGGGGGCGGCAGCGGTCTGGTCTAGCTCGCCACTCCCGCCCGAAGCCAGAGTTGATTCTCCTGCTTCCCTCCTGTTGGCTTTGAGGAGGATTTCGGCGAGCTGGGGCTGACTGTGTGTGGTGATTGTTTTGGGACTCCGTGTGTGTGTTTTGATTTCTTTTTTGGTGTGTGTATATTTCCCCGTCAGGACAGAGACAAAGTTTCCTCCGTTATGAATTATACATTCAAACAATAACACATTAATTCAATTATTCAAAGATGACAAATGTTTATGTGCTTTGCAAGTGACTCCGGCGCAGATTTGCCGGCTTTCTCTGAGCAGCTTGCGTTTTTCTCAATGAGAATTGGCTGTCCTCCCACCCCCAGCCCCACCCACCCTAAACCCCCCAATCCCCTGGTAGGCCCAGGAAGGAACCCACAAAAAGCTTCTCCAGCGCCACTGGTAGTCCCGCAGCCAACAGCCTCCCAAGGCCCGGGCTTGGCGGGCACCGGCCCGGGCTATTTTATCAGTGTGACAATTGCCCGGGTTGGTGTGATAAATCATCGTAAGTAATTCCTGAAAGGGTGCGAGGCTGTTGGGGGCCGGGCGAGGACTGTAAATCTTTCCGGTTTATTGCTCTATGAACATATGCTCCGATTGAAGAAGGCTTAGATCCTTTCCTGGAGACAAATTCCCGCAAAGCAGCCCCCCTCTTTGACTGGAGATTAACACTTGCTGTGGGCCGGCTGCTCAGTTCCTGGCAGGAGTCTGGGGGCGGGGTCCTTGGGATGGGGGTGCATTGGGGGTACCCACAGTCTGACTCCAAAAGGCACCCAAGTGGGCCTTCAGCCAGGCCCAGTCAGGTGAACAAAAGGAGGGGCTTGCTGACAGGTCTGGGGGCTTGAGCCTGTGACCTGCCCTCTGGGACTTTTCTGTGCCTCTGGAGAGAAGATGCCGAGGACTTTACCCCTTTCTCCCGGGCCCTTCTGCCTGCGGTTGCCGGTTGCCGGGCACATTTGCCTTCACCTTTCCCAGACCTTGCGTGCCGGCACACGGCATCTGCTCCGTGCGGGATGCCTCTGAAGAGCAGAACGGGCCATGAGAGCAAGACTTGGGGAATTGGGTGGAGACCCCAGAATGGGTGTGAGATTTTGGGGTGTGGGAGGTGGGGAGGACCCCGTGGACTCATCAAAAGCCCAAGAGCTGGAAGCAGCGGCTGACCCGAGCCAGAAGTTTAACTATTCTTTCCATCTGCAGAATTGTTTCCTAAATTCCTTCCAGCCACTCGGGGAGCGCTGGAAACCTGTCCTGATTTCATATTTTTAAAAACAGAAGCTCCCTCAATCCCCCAAATAACTTCAGCCAAGACTGGACCCGCACCTCCCCTTCCCTCCTGGCTTTCTTGGAGGCGCCGCAGGAAGCGGGACGCGGTGGCCTCGCTGTCCCTGGGCCTGCAGGATCCCTCAGCCCTGCCCAGATACCGAGGTTCACAGGTTCCAGCACAGGCTGGGTGGCTCGGCGGCTCCGTGCCACAGGGTCCAGGTGGAGTGTGCAAGATGCAGAGAGGGAGACCTCTGAGGGTTCTGCCTTTTCTGGCTATGGAAGTGTCAGCGCGTCTGCTGTGTCCCCGGAAAGAGTCGAGGACCAAGCGGTGATGGCGGCGCGGTGGCGGGGGCCGGCCGTGGTGGGATTTCCTCCGTCTGACTATCCTGGGCTGTTGAGTTGGAGGCTCCCACCTTAGGGCTAAACCTGCTCTGCTATAACGCAATCCCATGGCCCGGGGAGCGGAATATCAGCGAATTCTCCTAGGCGGCGCCTGACGGGTGCTGATGCTGGGGGACCCCGGGCAGCCAGAGCGCTAGGGGAACACTGAGCCTCTGCTACCTCACAGCCGCCTGGGAGATGCCTCTAAGAGAGGCTTGGCCTCTAATATTTCCCATCCCCGGACCAGTCTGCTGGCAGGCTGGGCCAGGGTCAGAGGTCGTGGGGGGAGAGACCTTCAGGGACCCCATCCTCCCCACCCACCAGCATGGCTGAGGCCGTGTAGATCCTGAGCTTGGAGATGGGGGCTTTCCTTTTGCCCCACACCCACCCGTGTCTGCTGCGGGGAAGGAACCAGGTCCCACACCTTCCTGCCCCTCCTCCCAGCCCCCAGGCCTGGCTGCGCTCCGGGGCTGTTTGGCGTGAAAGTTTCAGCCTCAATCAGTACAATCTTCCCCAGGGGTCACGTGAACAAATATGCTCGCATTTGAAGGCAGCGTCTGTATTTCCCGACTATGAGGGGGTTTCCGGGGCTCTCTCCAAATCCTTTCTGGGCCACATTCCGAAAGCAAAACAAACCCCGAGCCTTGGGGGGCCAAGGAGGGCTGGGCAGGAACCCAAGAGTGGGTGGGGGCGCGGGTGGCCACCGCTCTGGGCCTGGGAGCCGACAGGCGGGCGGGTGGACCGACAGGCGCGCAGCGCAGGCGAAGCCAGCTCGGGGACTACGAACTCGTTCCTCCTGCGTTTATTGGTAGTTGAACCTCAGCCTGGTTCCGTTCTACCGGGAATTCCGTGTGCTCGGGTATATGGCCGCGTCTGCGAGCGCGCAAGACCAGGGTTGGGACAGTGTTGTCTGCAGACAAAGGGGGAAGGCTAGCTCTGCCCCCCACTGGCGCCCACTCTGAGGCCGAGGACACCAGGTTTATGATAAATTGGGATCCAGGTAAGCAATTGCATGACAAAATGGAAATCTTTGGGCACCGGGCTGCTTGCTGCCCTGAGCGGGATACTAAATATGATTTATTTTGTGTAATCTGTGATCTTGATTATTGCCAATTGGTGAGGCAGCCCGCGTAGACCTAGATACAATTCTACATATACATCGAGGACGGTGATTAATCAGAACGGAGGTGCGTTTTATGGGGATGCTCCCGCCTACCCAAAGGTTAGGAGGACACACTACCTCGCCAGGCTTGGAGGGTGGCCGGTGGCCTTGGGTGATGGTGGGGGCGGGGGATGGCAGTTTGAGGAGAGGGTCCGAAAAGAGGGTTGGGGCTGGAGGAAGTATTTGGGGGTTGAATGTACAATTATGGAAATGGATTGAAAATGAAATGAATAAAAAGAAACTTTTTTTACACTGTCACTGCCAAAGTAAGATGGAACATCATATTAATTCTGTGTCTTGAGCTGCGGGGCTGGGCACAGGCAGGTTGATTTATATGTATTTAAAATAAACTCTATGGCCAGCCAGCTCCCTGCATTGTTCTGGGAGCTCTCTCCAATTATGCATGCCTTTATCTCTTGATGTTGGCTTAATCTTTTTTCTTGGAAGATTAAAATGCTACTCGAGCTCTCTCCTCAAATTCAAGAGAACCCCCCAGCTACCCAGAAGAGTTTGGGAAGCTCTACCACACTTCCATCACTAATTTGGGGTTTTTACTACAATAGTGGCAAGAAAAAAGGGTTAGGGCTTCTGGGTCTTTCTCCCCAAAGACCCCGGAATGAAAGCTAAATCATATTTTGGCTCCCTCATCCCATCCATCCTTTTGTTTACTGCGTCCTGTGGCTCCTAGTTAGAGGAGAACTGGACAAGTCAACCCGGGTCTTTCCCCCAGCCAAAGCCGGCGCAGTAAGCGACTTCATGAGTCTGAGTGAGAGGCTCCATGCTCATGGGAACGCCATGGGGTCGGGCCAGACAGGGCCTCTGAGTGGAAGGGACCCAGAAAGCAAGGAACACTCTCTTAGAGTAGGTTGGGAAGGGGCCCCAGTAGGTGAGGGACCTACTTTCAGGGGCGTCGCCATTAAAGGAGAGCAGTAAAGTTGTTTTGTCAATCTCCTGCGCTTAGCTCCATAGAACTTAAAGTCGCTGGACATTTTTCTTCGCTTGCTGCCTTGGAGCTGCGCGCCTGCCAACTTAGTCAGCTGAATCCAATTACTGCGAGCAGCATTTCATTTGGCCCTATGGAGCACTCACTTATAACTTCCCCGAAAATTTCAATAATCCGCACCAAGGCTTCCTACCCTAAAGACTTTTCCCTGGGTACTGATGGGGGATGGGATAGAGGGCCATGTCTGTCTGGGACCAGCTCTTCGTTGACACCTCGAAGACGGGGTTCCCTTCGCTCCCCCAGTCTCTGGCTGTGGAATGGGTACTCGAGCTGGTGGCCCTGCGCCAGCCGGCTTGGGTCTACCATTCCAAGCAAGCATGAGGCGGAAGTTGGGCTGGTAGCTGGGCGGTGGGTGGGCTGGAGAGGGAGCCGGGGAGAAGGTTTTGGGGGCTCAAGTTTGGCTTGGGAGGGGTCCTCTTTCCTTTCACCTCCCAGGCTTCCAGCGCTCGCTCGGAACGCTGAGTGCACACTCACCCCCAGGCGCAAACTTACCCTGTTCCTCCGCGGTTGAGAAAACAAAGTCTACCTACAGGCGTTGGGGGATCGAGGTACTGGGTGGCCCTCTGAACTTAGCCCTTCTTCTAAAGGACAGCTCCTACTGCTAAAGAACGCTTTTCAAAAAATAAATGAATAAATAAATAAATAAGTAAATAAATAAATAAAATAATCAAGCGGCAACAGTTGACGTCCGCCCACGTGAATGTATCATATAAAGCGGCTTTGGGGCTGTCGGGTCCCTTCTGAGGGCCCGGGTACCTCGCGCCTCCACCGCGCAGCCCTCGAGACCCGCCCAGCGGAACGGCCCCCTTGGGTCCTGGCCGGCTGGGAAGCTGAAGCGCGGGAGCCACGGTAGAAGCCCTACCGGGCCGGGATCCCTCCGAGGCGCTTCTGTTGGGTGTTCATTAAGGGGTGAGTTATTGCCGCGTGAGCCAAAGGTCACTTCAAAGGCTTATGGCTGCGCGCTCTAGCCTTTAGAAGGGCCCGGAACGCTTTGTGTGGGGCTTTCCCTGGCGCGGCTTAGTGTTTGCAAACTACTGAGTCGACAAATTGCACAGGGCAGATGCAAGAGGGGGATTGTGTCTCTCCTTTCACCTGACCGGGGCAGGCGCCCGCTGAGCGCAGGCAGTGGTGGGCAGCTTGGTCTGGTTTGGGGTAGGAGTGGAATATTTGTTTCTTAGGCGATCTGTAGTCAGATCCTCAACGAGGCATGGGCAGTCCAAGCCAGAAGTGTGTTGTTTATTCACTGGAATGGAATAAACTCAAGGGAAACCATCAGACATACAATATCCAAACCAGGAAGTAGCACCCAGCTTCCTCTCCTCTGAGGCTCTGTGGCCGGCCCCAGACTCGGACCCACCCAGGCCCATCTACATACTCATCCTCCTTTTCTGATGCCCTGTGTTACAGCCTCCTCCCCACTCCGGCGCTGCTTAGTCCCTCTCCTCTACTCCTAGGGTATGGGCTTGGCCTCTGATACTGGGGCACCTGGATCATTTAAAGCTTTGCTGGAGCAGGAGAGTCACTGGTCTCCCTCCCTACGGCTGACCCATTTGGCCCATCCCTTGGCTGGAGGGTCCAGCCTTCCCTTCTCTGGTCTTCCCCTTCTCCCATCCAGCTCAGGATTTTAGTGTTAAAGGCCACCCAGCCCTTTCCCCAGAGCAAACCTAGTCTCCTTTCTGCCTGGGAGAGGGCTTGTGGAACGGCAGTGGGCACCATATACAATAGTCACATTGATTATGACATCCTTAAAAGGAATAAAGCCTCTCGAGTGTGTTTGTAAGAAAGAAGCGGCTGCCACTGAGAGTTTCCATTTTGTTCCAGATTCGCCTCAACAGAATATCAAAAGGAACCCGAGGAGCCTACCAAAAAAGTTAGAGACAATTGGAGAAAACACACACACAATTGTGGTGAGTGGAGTGATTTAAAAAAAATAATTTCCACTACATTTCCATCTGTCCTGCAACTCAAGGTAGCCATCTCAGGATTCATACATCAAGACATAAAACAAAGGGCGGCTTTGAAGTGGATCACCTCAGTGTGAACTGTGGCGCGTTACATGATAACCGATCATCAGCCTTCAAATTTATGGCGCTTTAATGGGGTGAGCCTAGTGCTTTAAATGCAGGGTGTATTATGTATTGAGTTATCTGGGCTAAATAAGAGTGATTTAGAAGGCGCGTCAGGGGCTTCCTATAGGGCAGAAGAGGCTCAGGCTGAGAGATCAGGAGAACTTAGGCAGAAAGCTGCCCCAGCTCTGCAGTAAACACATCCCCTTCCGAACAAATCCGAAAAGGAGTAGTTTGGAAATCCTGAAGTAGCAAAACCAAGAGGGAGGGAAGGATCCTCGTTCGATTTCAGTGAACCAACTTCAGCTAGAGTCGCGTCTGCCACTAGATCGCGGGGCTCCGAGGCCGGAGTCCAACTGGAAACCTAAGAGAAAAATTTAGAGTAACAGAAGCAATTAGAACTCCATCGCCTCCCCCTCTCTTTCAACTTGCAGGGCTGACTCTGCCCTTTCGCGATTTACTGGGATTATGGCGCTAGTCACAGCCTGGCGACTCTCTCCTCCCTCCCCAAGCCCCTCGGACACTCCCGGACCTCGGCGGGCGAGTGAGCGCCTGGTCGGCCTCCGCGCGTCTGGCGAGCCTCCGGGCGATGCGAGGTCTCGGCGGGCAGAAGAGCTTCGGCCCCCGGAGAGGCTGTGAGCGTCCGGTCCCTGGTCCCGCCGCCGAGTCGAGCAGCTCTCAGAGGCCGCACCGACCACTTTATATAATCCCCCTGCTCGCAGGGCGCGGGGCCGGGAAAAGTGCGGAGTAGGGAATTCTTTTGCTGCGCTTCCTCCTACGCGGAGCCTGTTTTCCACTTCTGAAAAGTGCCGGGCCTTGGGAAGTGTTTTTCTTTTCATTCCTTACTGAAGCGTTTACTGCCGCGGTGCTCGCAGTCATAAATTTTGTTACAAACCACAATGACAGGTGCATTGATATGCACCGTGAGAGCTCCAGCTGCTTAATAACCCCGTCCCCTGGCCGCTGTGAGCGCCTTTTATTTATTCGGTATCATATTAGGTATTGATCCCGGGCAGAATTAAGTGCAGTGAGCAAGTATCAGTGCTAGGCTGTTCCGGAGGCGCGGCGGGTGCAGCAGGCTGCGCGGCCCTGGGACCGGCCGGTGGTTGCTCAGAGGCCGCCTTCTTCCAACGGAGGACCGTTTGGCCCTGTATTCTCCGTCTGCTGTTGGATCTCCGAGTTGAGTTGGACAACTTCCTAGGATCTCGAGAAAGGGCTAGCCAGACCCCATTTGGCGCCCCAACTTCAAGGGGGCCTGGGATGGCGCCAGCGGGGTTTGGGGGGTGACTGATCCGGTAGGTTCCCAGGCTGGGAGGCAGAGGGGAGATGAGAGAGGTTAGGGCTGCAGGACGACTTCGAAGACCGCCCCTCCCCCTACAAGGGCTAGTCTTCACCCCGAGGCATTTGGGCAAAGGAGCCCAAAGGAGCAGAAGTACCAAAGGGTGAGAAAAGAAAGCCTTAAAAAAAAAAAAAAGGGGGGGGGTGATCAAAAAGATGAGCCACTGAACAGTTGACCATTGTCCAAGTGATTTATGACCCATTCCTGCTTTTTAAGTTCAAGCAGAGTTCACAAGGAGTAGGGATTTCTGGAAAGAAAAAAGCTTTTTTAAAAAACTAATTTTGTAACATTTCCAGGTTCTGTTGAAGAAGAGGTGGCTTCTTTAGGGCACTGTATTTCTAGGGTGGATGCTGCAAAGCTTCCCTGCTTCTGGGGAAGTGGGCATTGGGGTGGTGGATCACCACTGAGTAGGCCTTGAAATTCCTGAAGACAATGAAAACAGAGGCAGGAGAAAAAAATGTGTGACTACTCATGAAGCTGCCCAGTAGTTGCACTTTTGAGGCCCATACACAGAGCTTTTTAAAAAGGAATGCGCCATAGGAACAAATATGTGTAGAAGCATCTATTTCAAATACCTGCTCAACTCCTAAAGAAGTTATTTTAATGTGATTGGTCTGTGTATCAAGATAAACTTGGTCAACCTGACATGCAAAAGTGTGATGTTTCGCTCCCACAGTTGTAAATAAAATGACAGAAGCAGCAGTTTTGGTGGTCTGAGTGTCAAATATGGCCATTTTGACATGCAGCAAGCCCAAGTTTAAGAGTGGAAGCAGGATCCCAGAAAAGTCTAGGAACTTAACTAAACCCAGGGTACCTAGGGCTTAGGGACAAAAACATAAATATCAGTCACAGGATGAGACAGAGAATGATATATAAAATTTATGAATTGAAAGTGATTAAATAAGCATTGTTAGGTAGATATCCTAACTGCATATATTTAAGAACAGTAATAGAAACATTTTCTAGAACATAACATCCTAGTATTCTATTTATTATGCCATAGAGAAGTGCCTGTCTCCTATCAAAAAAGTAGTATTTCCACTTATAATTTAAAACAAAATGGGCACAGTATTTTTAAACAAAGGCTAATATGAATAATTTTTTAAATTATTGGGTTAGGTTTTTTTGTTGAAAGAGGAGGGGAAATGAGTGAATGGACAAGTGGTTTTGGTACTAGTGGTCAATTGTATTAGTCATATACATTATCTAGACAATGTGGTCCATCATGTGACCATGATGGGAGTTTTGGGGAAGGAAAGTTGCCTGGAAAAAAAAAAAGAGAGAGAGATCAAGAATTAAGCCTGGGGAGCTGACCTATGAGTTTTCTTTATCAAACAAACAAAAGTGGTTGAATAGCTTAGTTATACTTTAACTCCTTAGGAGCCTTTCAGGAGAAAGGGGTGGGTTATGAGGAGGGAAACCCCCATCAGGAGTCAGGCACTACAAAAGGGGTTGATTTTTTTTCTTAGTATTTTTCTTCCTCTAATTCTGGGTCCATTCATCATGCCATGAGAGGTTCTCTAATTGGTTGTGGTTTGGGTGGGAGGTTGGGGGCGGGAATGGATGATCCAGAGCAGCGGTCAATAATATGTACTTATATAATAAATGCAGGATAAAGTGATAAAGTTATAACGTAAAGCATTCTCCATTCACTCATGTTCCCTGCATTTCCACTGGTATCCATTTTAAAGTAGTGGGAGACAAAGTTTATTAAAGAGTCTGGAAAAATGTAGATGAGAAGTAACATTTTCTAGCCTTGAAATATGTCTGGGAGTTTTAAGCCCTCTTCTTGGTTTTCATCTCCTAGTAGAGTCCACAGTGCTGACCCACAGAGCTAACTGGGCTGATTCTCACCCTGTCACAGGAAGTGAACTATCGGGGTCTCCATGAAAGATGCTGTGATTTTGAAATCAGGTGGGGAAGTAATTATTTTTATTTTAGTGCTCTGGCCACTCTGAATGTATTATAGGGCTTTCTTTTGTTCATCAAAATTCTGGGATGACCCAATGATTGACCGTTTGATTTAGTCACACATTCATTCACTTGTTCAACAGGCATTTATTACACTTGCTACTTTCAGGGCACTGGGTTGGATGTTAGGCACGTATGGAAGAAAAAGACACAGTTCCTGCTTGTAAGGACCTCAAAATCTAGAGATAATCAGCCATTAAGATAAATGAGATCCTAAGTGTTTTTTTCATGAAGTTTTAAAGACCAAATTGACAGTCTTGGAGAAAGAAAATTTTATCCTAGTCGGGGAGGTGTGGTATAGGTCCCTTCCCTTGGATGGAGTTGAGCTAAAGAGAAGAAATGGTCTTATGTCTTTGAAAAATTCCCTATGACTTTTTTAAGGGTTGCAATAAGTTCATAAAACCCCAGATCCCTCCAGTTTGAAGTGAGTGTGAAGCAGAGTCTTGGCTAGTCCTATCTTGACTGGTAGTGCCTCTGACAGTCCCTCTGGGGCCTCTCACTTTTCTTCTCCTCAGGTCACCTGGAGCTGGGGGCTGCCTCAGCTTTCTCAGGATTCCCGAGACATTGAATGTGGTGTTGAAGGAGACTGTGGTGGTCAATGTTATTTGAGCAGGGTCAGCAGGCCCCAGAGCTTCCTGAGTTCACGATGCAGAAGGCTGCTTACTATGAAAACCCAGGACTCTTTGGAGGCTATGGCTATAGCAAAGCCACTGACACTTATGGCTACAGTAACCCCCATCAGCCTTACCCACCCCCTGCTGCTGCCAACTCTCTGGACACTGATTACCCGGGTTCTGCCTGCTCCATCCAGAGCTCTGCACCTCTTCGAGCCCCAACCCACAAAGGGGCTGAACTCAATGGAAGCTGCATGCGACCTGGCACTGGGAACAGCCAGGGTGGAGGTGGTGGCAGCCAGCCTCCAGGGCTGAACTCAGAGCAGCAGCCACCCCAACCCCCTCCTCCACCACCGACCCTACCCCCCTCCTCACCTACCAACCCTGGAGGTGGAGTGCAAGTCAAGAAGGCCAAGGGTGGGCCCAATGCTTCTGGCTCTTCAGCTACCATCAGTAAGCAGATCTTCCCATGGATGAAAGAGTCCCGACAGAACTCCAAGCAGAAGAACAGCTGTGCCACTGCAGGTAGCTCTGTGAGGGGCTCACCCTGGGCCAAGTCTCCTCCAAACTAGTCTCCTCCCAAGTAACTAGTTCATCCAGGAAACAAGCGATTTGGGTCTAGAAGTGCAGTCTTGGAGGCCATATATCTAAGCTCCTATATCCTTTCTTTTTATTATCTCCAATTGGGGTTATAGCCTTCCAGTGACAAGGTGCTCACTTTCACTCAGGGCTGCTGGTGCGATTGCTGGACAAGTCTCATAGTTATTAGTAGACGGCTCTTCCTTACATTAATGAGGAGTGTTAGGTCAGTATATAGCTCTTCCTTATACTGAGCTATGTATTTCCTGGGCTGCTGGTCATAACTCAGCACCTTCTTTCACATAGCAGCTCTTCAAAACTTGAAGCTAGGTGATTACATAACCCATAACACATGAATCCCACACCCTTGAGTGCAGAAACATTAAAGTTTGTGGCGAGGTATGTTAAGAACCAAGTTAAGTGCTGCCTGCATTATCTAATTTTCTGAAGCTCTCTTTGAGGTAGGTATATGATAACATCCCCATTTTACAGATAAGGAAACTGTTAGAGATGATAAGTGACTTGCCCAAGATCACAAAACACAGCGTGGTAAACTTGAATCCATCCAGGGCCTGCAAGGCATAACCATGGGACTCTACTGGTCCACTCCAGCCCAAATCTATCCATTCAAGCAAATGCATATAGGGAGGAGCATGTCCCAGGGCAAGAGGATGTGCTCTGGAACCCTCCAGGGTTTCTCTCCCTGGAGGAGACCCTAGTGTTGAGAAGATCTTCTATAGGTCCATTCAGGGTATGTGGAAGAATACCACATGGACAGGAGTAGGAGCAATGAGGCCTGCTGCTTCTCTCTGTTCAGGCTGCTTGGGTCTTAAAAAAATTTGTTGTCTTTTAGTTCTTTGATGGGGTTTATCTTTAGGTCAATGAACTTATTCCAGGTCCAGGGATAGTTTGAGGCCTGGGATGTAGCTAACTTATTGTGAGGTCTCTGGCTTGCCCACTGCTCTTTGGGGCTGCTGCTCCCAGGGGGAAAGCTCTCCCAGCCTGTAAGCTTCTCTTGCCCCTCCTTCTTCTGCTGCAGGCCCAGGCCCGCCCTCCCAGGAGAAATCCATTTGTCTTTTCAGGGAGGGAGTGGACAAGCTGCTGAGAGATGGCAGTGGTGGTGGAAGCCAGTGTGGGGACTGCTGCTCCCAGCACAGCAGTGCTCAAAATGCCCCCAGTCTGGCTTTGGGTCCCCTAACAATTTGGGGGCAGTATTTTTATGGGTTACTGTCTACTTGTATTTGGGTGCCGAATCCTTGGGTACAGCTGGGCTGGAGTGAGGTGCCAAGATGTGGACCCTCACTGTACACTTCCTGGGGTACTTTGCTCTGGAGCCAGCCCCCAAGCAAGGCAGACTGGGGGCTGCCTCCACCCCAGCATCAGAGGCTGGGAGGAGTGCTCACGCAATCTGGAGGGAGGCCTAACCAGCTGCTGCTAGTCTCTCAGTAAACTCCTCCATGGCCTTTGGGAAGGGATGATGGACTAGGCTGGAGGGGAGAGGGAGGGCAGAGTGAGTCGGACCTCAGAAGGCAGATGAGGGTTTCAGGTGCCACTGATAGGTAGGCCTGGGACCAGTGATTTCCGGGTCGGTCGGAATCTCACCTCCCCAGTGCCCCTCCCCCAGCCCAGTCTGGATTAAGGTGCGGGGGAGGCGTGGAGGAAGAGGAGGGAAGCACCCCTCTCCGGCCTGGCGTGTCCCCACTTCCGCCTCTCAGCGTTCCCTCTCTCTCCCTCTCTACCCAGGAGAGAGCTGCGAGGACAAGAGCCCGCCAGGCCCGGCGTCCAAGCGGGTGCGCACGGCGTATACGAGTGCGCAGCTGGTGGAGCTGGAGAAGGAATTCCACTTTAACCGCTACTTGTGTCGGCCGCGCCGGGTGGAGATGGCCAACTTGCTGAACCTCACCGAGCGCCAGATCAAGATCTGGTTCCAGAACCGGCGCATGAAGTACAAGAAGGACCAGAAGGCCAAAGGCATACTGCACTCGCCGGCCGGCCAGTCCCCCGAGCGCAGCCCGCCGCTCGGAGGCGCCGCGGGCCACGTGGCCTACTCGGGCCAGCTGCAGCCCGTTCCCGGCCTGGCCTACGACGCGCCTTCGCCGCCCGCCTTCGCCAAATCTCAGCCCAACATGTACGGCCTGGCCGCCTACACGGCGCCGCTCAGCAGCTGCCTGCCGCAGCAGAAGCGCTACGCGGCGCCCGAGTTTGAGCCCCACCCCATGGCGAGCAACGGCGGCGGCTTTGCCAGCGCCAATCTGCAGGGCAGCCCGGTGTACGTGGGGGGCAACTTCGTCGACTCCATGGCCCCGGCGTCCGGGCCTGTTTTCAACCTGGGCCACCTCTCGCACCCATCTTCGGCCAGCGTGGACTACAGTTGCGCGGCACAGATTCCCGGCAATCACCACCACGGACCCTGCGACCCTCATCCCACCTACACAGATCTCTCGGCCCACCACTCCTCTCAGGGACGCCTGCCCGAGGCCCCCAAACTGACGCATCTGTAGCAGCCGCCGTCGGCCCGAACTCGCGGCGAAATTACCTCTTTTGCTTTGGTGGCGGGGTGGCGGGCGGGCAGCTCAGTGACACCTCCCACCCCCTCTGGCCCCGTCGCTGCCTCCCGGGCCTCGGGCCAAGAGCGGCCGAGGCGCAGGCGACTGGGCCTCCCCTCCAGGCGCGCGCTCCTTTGGGGGACTCGCCATAAATCAGCCGCAAAGATCCGACTCTGTAAACCTGACAGTGCCATATACTGCGGACCGAGGGACTCTAATCTGGTAATGGTGTCCCAAAGGTAAGTCTGAGATCCACCGGCTGCGCGCCCTGCAGAGGGACGACAGTCCGGAGAGCCGCGGGCCTGGTCCCGGTCTAGCTTAGTTGTGGAGACCTTAATTTATATGCTCCTTCCAGTCCCGTAAGGATTGCATCGGACTCAACGATCTGTATTTATTATTTGAAGCGAGTCATTTCGTTTCCCTGATTATTTATCCTCGTCTTAATGTATTTATGTGTATATTTGTAGACTTCTCCAGCCGAGCTTAGGAACGCGCTCCCCAGGCCGCGGGGGCCACATTTCACCTCTTTAGTCCCCTTGGTCTGAACTAGTTGAGAGAGTAGTTTGAACAGTTGTAACCGTGGCTGGTGTTTGTAGTTGATGTAAAGGATTAAGACCCAAATTGTCCTTCATGGGTAGAGTCAGGCGGCCCCGTGGTGTGGCACGACACCGTTACTCATTTCTCAACAGCCGCAGCCCTTGCCACTCGACAGTTTATTGATTTCAAATTGTCTGGTACTATTTGAACAAATATTTAGAATAAAAAAATTTCTCAGCCGGAAGTGTATCTGTGTTAATCACACTTGCGAGTTAGATGCTGTTGCCTTTATCGCACAATCCCCTGGAAGGTCCCCAGATAAGCTCTTTAAAATATATATATTTAATTTCTTTGGAATGGAGTACACAAGGAGTTTGGTTCTGGGGATACCTGATTTACATTCCAGCTATTGACATTGTTTGCAGGGGGTGGGATCTGAGGGGGGCAAACCTAGAAATGTTCTAGGCGGGCTGATTTGAATAGGGCTTTCGGCTGCCCCTGCTTTCCTGTTTCTACTGCCCTCTTTCTAGACACAAATCGACTTTTTAAAGATTGTATTTACATGGGGAGGCCAGAGCTCACTCTTCTGCATTAAGTAATAAAATATAAGCTTTGAAAGAAAACTGACAATCAAAGAAAAACAAGTGGAGCTATGAAAAAGCCAAGGTGCAGAAAAAGAAATGAATGGTCATTCAGAGAAAGCACCTAACCTAAGCTTTCCCTCCCCACCCCACCCCCAGGAAATGCTTACCACAACTTTCCCTTTTATGGTGGTCAGTGGTTAATTTCTAAAGAAAACAAACATTCCCCATGATGTGAAGTAATAAAAGTTTCATTAGTGGAACATAACAAATATAAACACACCTTGTTTACTCCTGTTTCTTTGTGCAAAATGGGCAAAAAACGTCTTCAAGGATTTATAACCATTTTGTAAATATAGCGTGGCTTTAGTCAGGGGTGGACAACTTACACCCACTTCTCGGGGAGGAGGTACTTGGAAATGCCTTCAGATAAGCTTCAATTCTTTTGTATTTCAGCAAAGTCGCCCACGCATCTCTATTTGATTTGACAAATAATGCAACTCCTACTACATCCCTGGTGACACGAGGTGAAATTTCTATTGTGTGGACATAATTTAACTTCTAATCTTCTGGTGAAACAACAATCGTTTCTATTTGGATGTTTGTGTTTCGCTAAATAATGGCTCAAAATATTTAGTTTCCTTGTTCCCTTGTGCTGTTTTTAAAATGGCATGTTAGACTGGGGGTGGGAAGGGAATGTCCTTTTGCTAAATTTCACTTTATTCAAGCAGGTTTAAAGTATACATGTTGTAGAAGTGTATCAACAGAATAAATGACTTCCACGGAAGACATATTTTACCCACTTTCAAAGCTTAAAAATTGTTTTCTATGAAATTTGCATCCATTGGCAGAATTTCTAATTGTCTTGTAAGAAATTATTTTTTAAGCTACTAGAGAAATCAAAGAAGCCCTTGCTGCCTTGCAGGGATTACAACCTTTCTTAACTGGCTTAATATTAAATAGATGAATTGTCAGGCTGTTTAGATTCAGCCCGGTTTTCCCTCATCTACTCTTCCTACCATAAATAATAATAAAAATACATAATGCATCATGGCTCCAGGCGTTTTCCAGCGCGGTGTGTTACCGCAGGAGTATCTGCTGAGTCTGCGGGTGTCTGCAAGGCCCCAAGTGTCATCTGCGGCTTAGGGTTTCATGGATTAGACTTTAAACGGTGTCTAGCCCGGCTGACATCAGCTTCCTCTCGCTCTCAGGCTCCACAGAAGTGCGGGCTTGGGGGCTTCCCATCCTGGCAGCCGCAGCCGCCCAGAGGCACCCTTCTCTAGTGGAACGGGGCAGTTCGCTTGGGACAAAACTGGCTTTCTCTCACCTCTGGAGAAATTCTCCCCGAGGCCTCAGATGGGCTCGGATGGGCCCCCGCCATTGGCTCCAACGTCCAGTGATGGGCACACTCGGTCGCCGCCGGCGCGGGTGGGGGTGGCGCGTCTGCAGAGCGCGCGTTCCCGAGCGGCCGGCGGCCAGGGCGAGAGTGGGGGCCGCGGCACAGCCATTTAAAACTTCATAAATTATAAACCAGCCGCCTTGGCCTTCACCATAAATCCCCCCTTTGAGCCTGCAATTAGTGTTAGGAAGCACCGGAGTCTAAACACAACCAAACGCCCTCTGAAGCGCCCGACCGCCCGAGGATGCAAATCTTTATTTCCCAGTGCCACCCCCTCCGCACCCCGAGGTTTGCACACGCTGTCGCTTCCTCCCCCGCCACCGCCGGCGGTAGACACTCGGCTGGGTTCCCGCTCGGCGAGGGGAGGTCACAATAGCTGCTCTATCAGCGGAGGCGCCTCCTCCCTCCCGGGTCTCAGACGCACAACGAGGGGGAGTGGGGGAGGGGAGTCCGGGCCGGCAATGGCGTCCTGGGTCCAGGCCTCGCCTCCTGGGGAGGGTCTGCAGCGGGAAGGGACGAGTTGCCGGGGAAGGAAACCCTCATGCTCCCTAGCCCGGGGCTTCGTCCCGGGACGGCGCGCCCGGGGCAAAGGGGGAGCGCACACAGCCCTCCAGGCCGCGGGACCCCCGCCCCTGGGTGCTGGGTTGAGGGCGCCGAACAGCCGGGCTTTCCGGGAGCGGCTGCGCCTTTGTGTGCGCAGCTTCGCCACCCGCTCGGCGGCGGGGGCGGCCACACAAAGGCAGGGCTGGGAGGCCGCCGGGAGGGAAGGAAGTGCCCGTCGCGCTCCCGGCGTTTGTCTCTGGGAGGTGCACCTCCTTTGCCCAAGGGGAAGAAATGGCTCTTTGATTCTGGCCTAAGCTAGCGCTTCGCCCTCCCACTCCCGCTATGAGGGAGTGGAGAACAGTAAAGAAAAGCGTCTGGGTGAAAAAGCCCAGGCCTTTGCATGGGTGAGGGTGACATTCGTTTGGGAGCCCCCGAGGGTTCTGTCTGGGCAAGCAAATGTAAATTAAAGGAGGGTAGAAGTCAGGCAGCCAAATGGGAGACGGGCGCTGGGCAAGATTTAGGCAGAGGGAGAAGCCTGTCCAGGAGACCTGGACAAACTCAGGATCCAGACGGAAGCGGAGTGCGAAGGCCGGCCCAACAGAGCTAGCTGAGGCAGGGGGAGGGGCCTGCGGTCCGCGATTGCAGGGGAAAGGCCTGGAGAGTAGTCCTGGCCCCTGGAAAGAGAGTAAGAAGGCGCGATTAAGTACATATTCTGCCTCCTGGCTTTCAGACCTCAGACTCATCCAGGGACCTGACAGAGAAAAATCCACCCCTGATGGAATCATTAAGTTAACCATCCATTTGTACCATTTCTTTGTACAGGCTTTCAAATGAGAGAGAGGGAGACAATACGGAGCAAGAGCTTTCCTCTCCGTGCAGCCCAAGCCTAGACCCTATCAGAGACAACTCAGCCAAATTGGTTTCCCAGGCCCCAGAGGTTGCTAACCTTGCGGAACAGGATTTTTCTAATTTCTATCTGTAAGGAGTACTAAAAGATAGTGATTACCTATACTAGCTACTCTCCCTTTTCCCTCCCCCAGTCTGCACCAGCTGACTGACCCTTGAGTGAAGTGCATCTTCTCAGCCAGCAGGCTTGGGAGGCTAGGCTCTCCATCTGTTGAGGTTTTTCATTAGGGAGGGGAAAGAGGATGTGTGTGGGTGTATGCTTGAATAACAAAGAAGTTACCATTCAACATTCTAATAAAGTTTCTCTGCTTGACCTAGGGGATCCAGAAGCTTCTTTATACCTTCAGTACTTCAGGGATAGTCAAAGGTGTTCTGACTTTATCCTCAGAACTGAAACATCTTTGTAAAGTCAAGAATTGGTTAATCCCAGTTACAGATCTAGAAAGGTCTTCATCTGGGATTTCTTAGCATTGCTTTCATCCTTCTGTCAGAAACTGTAAGAAAAGAATAGAATGAGCAGACGTTTATGAATATTAAATAAAAATAGAGAAGCAGAAAGCCCAGTTTCCACAGGCCTATAGCCTCATCACTGCAGGGTACTACAACTTCCCAGAAAGGGTATAGCTAGGGCCTGAGTGAACAGGCTATACCTAAACACTGTGGGCCTGGGGAGCTGACATCTAGTCAACAGCCACACCCTCACCATCTCTGAGGACTGGCCTACTTAGATCTCCCTAGAAGAGATTGGGCAGCTGAATTCCTCTGCACTTCCTACATTGTTGGTGCTGCTGGTGGAAAGCATCATCACAGAGGATGAATTCTTTGTTCTCATTGCTTCCTTGTCTTCTACTCCACCCACAAATATCCTTACCTTTGGGGTCCAAGGTTGATGCTAAACAGATTCCTATACTCCATTTAATGCCCATGCCTAAATACTTCCAGCAGGTTGCATACCCACCTTGGCAAATTGGCAGTGTACAAACACAATCCACCAAAGACCCATTCTCACTCTCCAGCGAGGTCCATCCTTAAGCACAGTGAAGAAAAGATTTCCACATATGAAGGGACAAGGTAGATGGATGTCTAGTCATTTGCAGCAGAAGCAGCAGCAGGTGAAGGAGGGTTCCCAGGAGATCTGCAAGGTGGGAGATACTACTTAAGTTCTCTTAGCCTAGAGTCTGTGGCAAAATATGTTGACTGCTTCCTTTCTGGATTGTTGTTTTGGAAGCATAATATCTGGAGAACCATGAACACGGAGGTTTAACACTGGAAGAATCAGAGGAGATCGTAGGTTAAATCATTATTCGACCAGAGCCCTGGTATTGATGAAGTGGTTTTTACTGGGGAAGCAGACCTAAGACTAGGCCTGGAGGACCTGTTGGGTCAGGGCCTTTTCTGCTGGAACAGAGAAGAGCGTCCCTGATTTATAAGGATTGTGGGAAAAGGCCTTGTGATATAGCTCTATTGTTCAAAGCGCTGCCCTCAAATGTCACATCCCTCCGCTCCTATTCTGCAAGGGCTGAGCCGAAAACTGGGTCGGATAAGCTGAGCTCTAGGCGGTGGAGGAGCTGGCACCAAGCTCCGTCACCCGGGTCTGCCGCCCCTGGGGGCTGCCACGACGCCATCCCCGCCGCAGGCTGAGAACACACAAAGGAAGCGCGCAGCCTTCCTCGGAGCTGAGTACACCGGGGAGGGGGGTGACGTGGACCCCGAGTCTGAACACTCCCTCCCCGGCGGGGAACAATACCTCCCCGCTCCCCCCACCCCCCCAGGTGGCGGTCGCGCCGCACAAAGGCCACCCGGGCCCGCGCCACCGGGAGACGCGCGCCGCCTCGGCGCTCGCTGGCCCGTGGCAGGACGCGGTGTGCAGCGCGCGAGCGGCCGCGCCGGGGTGGGCGGGTGCTCCGCATCCACCTGGAGCCCCTTCAGAAGACAAACGGTGAGTTAATCGCCCCACCGGCTGGCGACCGCGTCCCCTCTCGCCCGAGAAGGGGGCTGGGGCGAGGGTGGCTCCGCGCGTCGAGGGTGGGGGGCGGGAGAGATTAGTCCTATTAAGAGTTCATCAATCACCCGGTGTGCACTTTTCGCTCGACAGCGGTTCCTCCTCCTCCAGAGCAAGTCTGGGCCAGCTGGGATCCGACCAGAAACCGCAAGCGGAGGAGACGCGAGCACGCAGGGTGAGCGCTAACAGAGGGCGCGACCCGCCGCCCCGCGCCCGCCCGCTGGGAGCCGCGCAGCCTGGCCCGGGCTCAGCCGCGCGAGGCCCCAGGAAAGCGTCTCCTACCCACCCCGGGGCCGGCAGCGCGATCCGACTGCCCGGCCCTCGACCGTCTGGGTGCCCAGGCCCTCGAAACACAACGCCCCTCACCCTCCTGACCCCCAGTGATTCTGCATTTCCCTTATCCCCAAACCCACACCCCGCGCCTTCTGCCTTCTCAAGTGACACCCTTATACTCTGCTCTACTCCAGAAAGATCCATCTCTGAAGGCAGGACCAGAAAAATCCCAATGGGCCAGAGGTTCTGGCAGACACTTTTTTTTAGAGTCATAAATAGATGTCTTTTTTTTATTTAAGAGCTTTAAATTCAGGGAAGAGTCGGAACTACTTTCATTCTCTTCTTTACCTGCAAGAGCATTTTGTGGGGGAGGAAGCAGAGTAAGACTGCTGTTGAATTTAGAATTAAACTTGAATGTTATTTAAAATAACAATAAAAATATACTCAAAACACCAATCACAATGATATGCCTCTTCTCTCTTGACTGTTATAAGGGAAGGACCCTAGAGTATTTTTATATCAGCTTCTAGAGGATTCAACTTAGGAACCTCATACAGGGGATAAACAAAGTTGTGGGGTGGGGTGGTCAGAGCTGTTTATGGCAGGAGGGTTTGTGTGACTGAGAAGGGTACCCCCTGTCCAGGGGTACACTTTTTATTCTATTTGTAAATTCTAAATTTCTGGGTTTCCTTTCTATTTACTGTTCTTTGACGTCAGCTGAGAAATTTCTGAAGGTAGTTAAATGTGTTTCTAGCACGCAGGAAAGCAACCCCCTCCCCCCCCAACAGAAAGTCCTAGGTTTCTTCTCCCTCCCCTGTGCCCTCTTCTCCCTTATCATCCTCTTGGGTGGAAATCAGTTTGTTCTGGAGAACTGTTCTGTCATTTTGCTGAGATAGATATAAGCTGAAGAAGCATTAAGCTTTTTTTCCCTAAGATTTATTTATGCATGTATACAAGAACCAGGGTACAGGCCAGAGGTGCGGGAGGGTGAGAGGATTCACCAGAGACAGAGTGGGGAACAGAACAGGCAGATTGACTGAAATACACTGCTGAAGGGAGAAGTGGGTGAGACAGGAGAGGTCTGCTGTGCCATGTGGGTATCTCCTGGCCGGGATCTAACTCGTGCTGCAGTGGCTGTGGCTAGCTTCACAGTGCTGTGTCTTAACTCCTTGCACCACCAGGGAGGCCCAAGAAGCATTAAGCTTTGCAGTGTCTGAACTCACTAAACAATTAAAATACTGGTTCCAATACCTACTGAACAGCTCCTAAGTGTTTAGTGGGGGGGGGGGGTCCTGGGGTACAAAAGTGAGTCACAAATGGCTTGTGTCCTTCAATCCAATGGGGACAGAAAAAGAATTCTAAAACAGTGTGGGAGACACTGTAACAACAGTGTGACCACAACGTTCCTGTAGTAATGAGAATGAGGCTTCTCAGAGGAGGTGAATTTGGGTCTCTGAAGTAGAGGAGGTTTTTTTTTTTTTTAGGTTCAGGAAGGAGGGATATACCAGGTGGAGAGCAGCAGATGTAAAAGCAGGGAGGCAAGAAAGCAAGGTTTGAACTCAGAACAAGGAGAATAGCCTGGAATGGGGCCTCTGGCTGAATAGTTGGGCAAAGGAGTCTGGACTTAATCTGTAGGCAACGGGGAGCCACTTTTAGCTGGGAAGTGAGGTTTTCTATTTGGAAAGCTGATGCTTTGGGGAACAGTGTCTGATTGGATAAAGAAGGGAGAGAAGGCAAGAACAACATAAAAGGCCGCTACAATAATTCAGAACAGAGGGGAAATCATGTAATAAAGATGAAAAGGAAAGGTATTTGGGAAGTAAAATTCACAGGACTTGGTGATCAACTGGATGAATAGAAGGGGAGTTGTGGGTATTAATCCCTAAGTTTCTATTTTGAAGGCCTGAGTGGATAGTAGGTCATTCACCAAAATGACTAGAGGAGGAGGAACAGAAGACTTTGCAGGTGAATATAATGAGCTCAGTTTTAGGTTTACATTGTTTTTCTGCTTTGCTACTGATAAATTGTGTGACCCTAAGCAATTCACTTAATCTTTCTGGCCTTCAGTTTTATCATCAATGAAACAGTCAATAAAGACATCTACCTCTAGGTTAGAGCCGCACGCACGGCTGTGTGTGTGTGTGTGTGGTGTGTGTGTTAGGCATTACCTTCACTAGGTCCCAGTGATTTGATTGTCCTATAGAAAACTAAAAGCTAGGGAAAACATCATCTTATCCACACCATACAGATCAATTCTTAGATTATGGGTGGCCAATGAGAAAGAAGTCTCAGGGGAATTAAAAAAACAACACCCTATTGCTTCCCTGACATTGAATCCAAATGCTTGGGACTAGTCAGGTCAGATTGCTAATCAGAGCCCCTCTGCTTCCTGAGGGTACTCTCCAGGGGACACATGCAGAAATGTGGTCTTGGTATCAGACCAATAAAGAGGAGATCTTTTAGCAGATGTCAGAAAGCTTCTGTGCTTTTTTATATCATGTGTCTGTCAAGGAATCCTCAAAGCCACCTGATTCTCGCTGAACCTCCTTAACCTTCTGTGTGGCACCTGACAGTGCAGGCAAGAGTGCTGAACATCTGACCTTGGCCATTTACACTGGGTGAGGCTACAGCAAGTTGTTTAGCCAGTGCTAGTATTCTGTGCTAGTATTACCATTTATAAAACAGAATTATTGAAAGGATCAAATAAGATAAGGAAGATGGCATTTTTGGAGTTGTTACAAGGCCAAGTAAAAGGCATTATTTCCCACTTATCAGATTGTCAAAATCAAAAACTTTAATTTCCTAATGTCTTGGAAACACGGATCCTCATTTGTTGCTGGTAGAAGTGTGAACTGATCCCCTTCTATATTCCCCTTGGTGATATAGAATAACACCAAGGTACACACTTTCAACTAATTTCATGTTTAGTAGGTGAAGACTAGAACATGTATTTGTAATAGCGAAAGATTGAAAACAAACTTAATGCCCATTAATATGGGGTTGGCTAAATAAATTCTTGTAGATATATACAACAGAACAGCAAGACGTTGTAAAAATAAACCATAAGCTTCATATGCATTTATATGAAGTGACCTTTATGATACAGTATGGGAAAACATGGTGCAAAAGAGTATCTTATATGCTGGTTGTTTGTGTACAAATATGTGTGGATATATATGTAAATAAATAAATAATGGTATATATAACAATATAAGTATACGGTATCTCTGGAAAGATATAGAAGAATCTGTAAAAATGGTTACCTATGTGAAGAGGAGCAGGTGGCTGGGTTAAAGACTTTCACTGTATACTCTTGTACTCTTTGAACCATGTAAATTTAAACATACTACCTTTGTAAACAACAAAGGAGCAAAAAAAAAAAAAAAAAAAGATCAGTACAAGTGTAACTGACCTGGGTGTATCTTGCTGCATACACAAATGTCCTTATTTGTACTTGCTGTATCCAATTACATTAATCTAGGGATGCCTTTTGTTTTGTCCCTTCAGGGCCCTGATGCTGATCAAGCTCAGCAGGAAATGAGAGGATCTTTTATCCTTGCTTGGTCAAGGTGGTGGTGGTGGTGGTGGTGGTGGGTGTGATTGGGGGACAAATCTCTGCCTTCTCTGGCAGGAGTAGCTGAAGGTAGGATCTCAGAAGTCTGGAACACAAGTTTAGGGGAAAAAAATCCCAAAGAGAGGACACCAGGCCTTCCGGTCAGCCACACTGGCTCTGCAGTCTCCCAGAAATGAGGGCTATCTCCTTGAACATTGCTGGACGGGCACTGACGCCACCACAGTGCACAGGAGGGCTACCCCACTCCTCCCTCTCTGCAGACTGTGGGCAGGCAGGACACATACACATTCAGAAGGCTCAGGCTGGCTCCTTCATTTTTTGCAAGATGGCTTTGCCTTTTCTGAGTAAATTGAGTCTGTCTCTAAATGTGGGGTTTGATGTCGTTTATCCATAAAGGACTTTCTAACATTGACATCTTTGCTGTGAAAGGTTAGCCTTTAGCCAGAGGAAGAGTTACGGCTTACATTAAGAGACATTTCATTTTACTCTCTCAGGATCCCTGGGGCTCAAAAGCTCATTCCAGACAACTTGGGAGAAATGGAAGGAAATGAGAGCTGGCTCCTCCTTTCCATGCCTACTCTTCTCTTTTCCTATTGTCTCAGAAACTTTCCAAATTTTCTTGAAGAGACTGAAAGACAAATCCCTTCCCACCTCATTGGCATCCTCAAAGTCAAGTTAGGGAAGTAGTGCGGAGCAGAAGTTAGCTGGGTCCTGCAAAGCACTACTTTGTCTGCAAAACTTGGGAAACTTCTAACTACCTCTTAACAGCTATTTTCTGAAACTTTGCCCAATTAGACTTAGCTATCTGCCCTTACCACTCAACAGGCTCCTGGACACTTTTTTGAGATACTCCTGCTCCACAGCCCCTCTCATGGAATCACTTTTCTCCCCACGCTGTTTCCCCTCCAGTTGATAAAACAGAAATTCTCAAAGTGTGGCTCTAAGGAACGTTGTTTTAGAGTGACTCAAGAGACTTGTTAAAAATAAAGCCAGAGTTCTGAGCCAGGGTTCTGGGGCTGAGCTGAGGAATTTGTGCTTTTAAGTAAGCTTCTGTGGTGATCCACATGAAGTGGTTTTGGGAGCCAATAATCTAAGCAACCTTTAGCCAATATTAGCCATGAGGAACATACACCACTCTTGCCACTCTTATTTCTGTCCAACTAACATTCATAGAATGCCTACTGTGTGCCAGGCATGGGTGTGGCCCATGAACCTTTCATTCACAAAGCTCTTGGTAAGGCACAAATCTCTAAACTGCTTTCCTCAGGGAGGGTCCTGTTATACTTCCATACTGGTCTAGAATTCCTGTCCTTAGGACCTCTTTCTTTTTTAAAGATTTATTTATTTACGCATACAAGAACTGGGGTACAGGCCAGAGGAGCAGGGGGGTGAGAGGATTTACCAGAGACAGAGGGTAACAGAACAGGCAGATTGACTAAAATATACTGCTGAGGGCAGCAGTGGGCGAGTCAGGAGGGGTCTGCTGCACCATGTGGGTATCTCCCTGGCCAGGGATCAAACTTGTGCTGCAGTGGCAGTGGAGAGCTTCATAGATTGTGTCTCAAGCCCTTGTGCCACCAAGGAGGCCCTTTAGGACCTCTTTCATTCCATCCTAGAATGACTGAAGGATGGATGCTGAAGAGCACTGCAAATTTTGCTTGGTAGATCTGCCCCCTCCTTTTTACCCAGCTCAGTAAGAACCTTTTTATGATTTGGGGATAAAGCCAACAATTTGCACGTGCTCAAACATCTTCAACGGGTAACACAGTGGGGTCATGAAGATGGGTTGCAAGAGGTCTTAGGGACAACTGTAAACACACACCACCAGACTGCCACCCTTCATCACTTCTGTCTGCAGAAAGGCAGCTTGTTGTTCAAAAGGAAGAGAAAGGTAGTCATGGCATGTGGGGGTGGGGTAGACAGGGGATGGCTGCCGTTGTGAGCAAGATGGGAGAGATTTCAAAGCATTCCTACATCAAACACAACCTGGCAATCAGGTCCCTCTGCTGTTACAGCCTGCTGAGAACTCATAGCACTGGGACCCAGCTGGGCAAGTGACCCTTGGGAATCCATGGTTGTTGAACAAGCAATAAAATTAGTAAGACATTTCTCCCATACCCTGGACATTTCAAAGACAAACTTTAAGGTTACTATAAATATCTGATCTTCACATATTTCTACGCACAGGTCTCCCAGTAATATCTCCCAATCTCAGAAAATCACAGATTCAGATTCTTCTGGAGTAGATTTATAGTATAGTTAAGAACTGTGCCAGAAATTAATCCCTTGTCCCTTTGGTCTGAGAATATAATTTTTTCCAGTCTAACCCTTTTTTCCTCTCCTAACAAAATGTTCTTACACAGCAGGTCCTTGGCAAATGCTAGCTGAATATCAGTCTGAGAGGATAGAAGTCTTGATTTCCAACCTGTGTTCAGAACCAGGCCGGGAATTGGGGGAGGGGGGTGTCAAAGGAGCCCAGAGGGGAAGATCAGAATGGAGTTCTCTGTCTGCAATTATCAGAGAACTGCGCTTGGGTCTGAACAAATATCACACATGCCACCCACTCTCACCCATAGAAGACCACAAGACAATTTTTAAAAGTATTTCTCTTTTATACTTTCTTCTCTCAGCAAAAGTCCAACTTCAAATTTTTTGCTTCAGGGAAACTGTGTGGACAGCTCATGGGTACATCAAAGTCAATGTCTGATTATGACAGAAAGGAGGAACTTTGCCCTAAATGCTTAACAGCAAAAACCTGGTCTTTGTTGTCATGAAGGTTGCCAGGGCACCTAGGCCACCTGTTTTTCCAGAAATCTTTGAGAACCTTAACTTGACAGGTTTTGGTCAGACTTGCCAGATGATCAGGTTGGATTTTCTGTTCTACATCCTGGGCTGCAGCCAGGTGGACTTCTTCAGACAGGTTTACAAAGTCACCTTCCTTCTCAGCCCTCTGGGGTTTCTGGGCCTGAGAGCTGTGATTAGAGTACATTTTGAAAGAGGGCCTTAGAGTTTTGAGATAGGAGTGTGAGAAATGTGACAACAAGCTGGTAAAAATTAGCTGGTAAAAATTAAAGTCAAACCAGGAGTGGACAAAGAGGACACTGTGAACTCAGCAGCATCTGACTTGCCGACACTTTTGCTTTAGCAGCACAAAGGGGACACAGTGGAGAAATTCATCTACAGCTGAAGCTTGAGCTAGGTCTGAAGAGTTTTAGCATTCCTTGACAGAGTACTAGAGAAAACTCTTAATTTTTCTCCTTTTAAAAACTACTTAGGACCTGTCATCTGATTGGCTATAGGACAAGCAACATCAAATTTAAAGGGGGTATTTCCAGCACAGAAGTCTGTTTCTCAGTCAAATCCAAGAACACCAGCAGCGCAGGAATCCCAGACCCCTGTAGCTTTGTGCTCATTCCTAGGTATCTACTCCCCTCCCCACACTGCATCAACTCTCCCCATCTTGGCTTGAATTCAACCTCACCAGCAGACTATCCTTTTGGTGTTGCTTTGTTTATCCACAAGTTCACATCCCTGTAAGGAACCAGCTCCCTAGACTGTGATGGCTCCTATTTTCCAGACTTCCTCAGAGTGGAATTTTAGGCAAGAGCTCAATCGCTCTTTCCTGACAAGTGGATCAGTAAAACAATAATAAAACCTCAGGTCACCATAACTCACAGACTGTAATAGATCATCTCAAGGGCACTTGAATAATGGAGTAGCCTCTTCATTCACAGTTTTAGGAAACCACCCTCTTTCATTACTACTGTGTGTAAATAACATTTATATATTTAATTTGTTGCTTTCCTACCTCCCCAAAGAGGAAAACATTGAAAGAAATGTTCAAGGAAGTTCGAAAGTTTGTCAATGTAAAGCCTGTCTTTGTAACCCTTCTACTCTTCATTTCCTGTGCCAGTTGCACTTTTATTTCCCGTCTCTGTACACTCAGTAAACAAAACCATATTATCAAGGGAAAGAAGTGAGCCCATTAACATTGTGAGCCCTCAGATTTCACTCGCAAGAGACGACGCAGCACTTATCTGATGGAACAGAAGCTTTAATTGCTTCGAGGTATAAGCCCGTCCAAACCTCTGAGATCTGACCGGTCCCCGGGAAGCCTCTGCGCCCTCCAGCCAAGCTCCGAGGAGAAAGTGCGCGCAGCACGGCCGGGTGCGCCAGCCTCCCGGGAAGGAGCCCGACGCGCCCTCCTCAAGGGCAGATTCTTTATTTTGACAACCTAGTTGGGAGACAAACCCGCTAAACGTCTCCACAAGACAGAAACTTTATCTTCGGTCCAAATCAAAACCCAGCACTCACACATTCCCTGTTATCTTGCCTCCACACATGGAGAGGGGGGAAGCAGGGGAAGGAAACGCTGCGAACTGACGCGAACATATAGTCAAGGGTGAAGACTGGGCAGCCCCAGGTACACACCACCTGCGCGCACAATTCAGCCCCACGAATCAGAAGTGGGGGATTTAGGGTGGGTACAGGGAAAACCAAAAGTCTGCCCCAGGTTAGGAGAGGGATAACAACCACGCCAAGAAACCCGAAAGCAAGCCAGACCGGGGGTGGGGGTGGAGGGCACAACTTTACTTTCTCTGGACGAGGGCTGCAGAGTCCCCACCCGCCGAGCTCCCTTGAACCTCCTCCCCACCGCGGCACCCACAATTCGCCCCCGAGGGAATGCCACCCCCTATTCGCAGGCGCAGGCTCTCGGCCCCGGCCCCTCTCGCCTTTAACGCAGCGGCCAGCCCCGCCTGTCTCTCCCCACCTTGCCCAATACCTGCGCGCAGAGCCGGCGTCCCGCGCTCTCGCCCCGCCCCGCCCCGCCCCGGGCCGCCCCCGGCCGCGCCGCGGTCCCCGGGGCTGGGGGCGCCGGGCGGCGGCCTCCCGCAGGTTTGGGAAAGTTGGCGGCGGGGCTGACGCCGGGAGCGGCGCGCCAGGCCGGCCCCGGGCCGTGCGGGGAGGGCGCCCATTGGCCGGCCGGCGCCACGTGGCCACCCCCGCCGCTATATTAGGCCACTATTTCCCTCCGGCTCGCTCGCCATGGCTCGGCGAGGGCAGCTCGGGCGGAGCGGGTAGGCCGAGCGGCGCAGAGCGCGGCGGTCCAGCCCGGCCCCGCACTCCGGCCCGGCCGGCGCGCCCCGGGGGTGGGCCGGGGCCATGAGCTCCTACCTGGAGTACGTGTCGTGCGGCGGCGGCGACGTGCTCAGCTTCGCGCCCAAGTTCTGCCGCGCCGACGCCCGGCCCGTGGCCCTGCAGCCCGCCTTCCCCCTGGGCAGCGGCGACGGCGCCTTCGTCGGGTCCCTGGCCCTGGCCGCCGCCCGCCCCGCGCCCTCGCCCCCGGCCGGCCCGGCGCCGCCGGCCGCGCCGCCCCCGCCCGCGTACGCGCCCTGCACCCTGGAGGGGGCCTACGAGCCGGGCGCCGCACCTGCCGCGCCGGGGGCCGCGGACTTCGGCTTCCTGGGGCCCGGGCCGGCCTACGACTTCCCGTGCGCGCTGGGGCGGCCGGCCGACGACGGGGGGGCGCACGTCCACTACGCCGCCTCGGCCGTCTTCTCGGGCGGCGGCTCCTTGCTCCTCAGCGGCCAGGTGGACTACGCGGCCTTCGGCGAGCCGGGCCCCTTCCCCGCGTGCCTCAAGGAGCCAGCCGACGGCCACGCCGGCGCCTTCCAGACCGCGTCCCCGGCCCCTGGCGCCTACCCCAAGTCCGCCTCGCCCGCCTCGGGCCTCCCGGCCGCCTTCAGCACGTTTGAGTGGATGAAAGTGAAGAGGAACGCCCCGAAGAAAAGTAAGTGTGTGCGCTGCAGACGCGGGCACCGGGCTTGGGGACGGAGGCTGCCTCGTGGCTTGGAGCCGGGAGCGCGTCGCGGCTTCCTTCGTGACCGCGGGCTGGGGCTTGGGGCGCAAACGCGCGCCGGGGCGTTTGGAAGTTCCAGCGACGTGCCCCGAATACACGTTCGGGAATGCCAGACATCGAGGAGGACGGGTCTCTGTGTGGGGCGTTCCTCCTGGCATCCCTGTGCTCACGGAGACCCGGGAGGGCTGCGCGCGAGGGTTCTGTAGCCCTCCCCACCCCCCGTTTGCCAGCCTCTGCCATCTGTCTCTCGGGTTCCTCCCGCCCCTCTGACACCCTGCCTTCACGTTGCAGGCAAACTGGCCGAGTACGGAGCTGCTAGCCCTTCCAGCGCCATCCGCACGAATTTCAGCACCAAGCAACTGACAGAACTGGAGAAGGAGTTTCATTTCAATAAGTACTTAACTCGAGCCCGACGCATAGAGATCGCCAACTCCTTGCAGCTGAATGACACCCAAGTCAAAATCTGGTTCCAGAACCGCAGGATGAAACAGAAGAAAAGGGAACGAGAAGGGCTTCTGCCCTCGGCCACCCCCGTGGCGTCCCTCCAGATTCCCCTCTCAGGAACAAACCCCACCACGCCTGGCAAGAACCAGGGGAGCCCTTCTCAGGTCCAAGAGCCTTCGTGAGGTTTACTCTAAGGGCTGAGGAACCTTGGCCTGCCAGAAGTCATAGGCCTTTTCACCCCTCTCTAGACTTCCTAGCTCATTTTCAGATGGAGGTGGGCAGGGACAGAAATTAATAGAGGTTTCACTTAGTTGGCTTCTGAGTGCTAGGCTGTGGGTGTACAGATATTAATTTGAAATCTCTTAAGCCACTCATTTGTGCATTACTTTTGTCTTACCAGGGAAAAGGTGCCCAGCTGCCCAGCCCAGCTGCCCAGCCCAGCCCTGCTGCTATGTTGCCTAACTTAGTCATATGCAATTCTTGGGTGTAGACTGGCAAAGAATTAGTTGCTGAGCTCTGCCAAATCCCTGATGTTCTCAGAGGAACGTCTACCCAAAGTTTTTGTGGTATTTTAAAGGATAAGGCTACATGTATTCAGCTTTTTGAGATGACCAGAGCTAGTTTTGGCCTCTTTGATGTAACTAAGCTGCTTAAATGGTGATCTTCACATTTGCACTCATTTTTTTTTTCTTAAGCAGTTTCTACCTCTCCATGTGCCTGAGTGAAGATACAATTGCTGTTTAGTTAATTAAGAGCTATACAAATCCACAGGGTGGGTAAAGATTAGAACCTGAACTACACCTTGACACCAGTTACTCAAACTTGAATGTAAATATATACAGTATGTATATTTTTAAAAAGGTTTGCTTGTAATGTACTTATATATGACATTTAATGTCCTGGCATGTAAAGGGTTTGAACTTTTTTTGTAATAAAAATTACAGAATCTGCTACTCTCAGCTTTACCTTATACTCCTTTCATTTTGATTATGTTTTTTTGAAGCTAATTCAGTTTCTTCTATTTGGAATTTCTAAATTCTATGGTGGGAATTTGTTTAGGTTGATAGCTTTTTAAAATAACACTTCTAACAGGTTGTGTACACAAACAGATTAGGGACAAGTATCTGAATAATTTAAGGAGGAAAAAAACCCAACTCTGAAAAATACCCAACTAACTAAGGAAGCGTGTACTTGCCTTAAGTGCCCTAGATAGAGGTCAAATCTGTGGACTGCACATTAAGTCAAAGGAGAGGTCTCCGCTGTGGGAATGTTCTATAGTCCAGGAGATACTGAGAGAAATTTCCTTGTTCTTTTGTCTTCTCCCAAAAGGAAGATACTGCGACATGAAGAGTTCTTTATGTGATTAGTGGCTCTGGGAAAGGCAGCTGCACATCAAAAATTTCTCAGAGACTGAATTCCCATTTCCAAAGTCAAGAACTAGAACTACAAATGAGGACCAGCAAGGCCCATAGTCCCTTCCTATGACCTAGACTGAGTTTCTGGCTTTGAAAGAGCTGCCACAAGCGGTTGAGCGCTGGGTTGCAAAGCTGCCGGCGACCTCTGAAGCGCTGGTTCGATCCCCGGCTGCTCCTCGGCCACCGAAGGAGGGTCCCACATGGCGCGCAGACCTCTCCTGCCGCCCGCTGCTCCCCTCAGCAGTGTACTTCGGTCTTTCTGCCTGCTCTGCTCCCCGCTCTGGCTCTGGTGAATTCTCTCACCCTCCCGCGCTTCTGACTGTACCCAGTGCATGTATAAACAAAACGAAAAAAAAAAAAAAAAAAAGAAAGAGCTGCCACAGAGGTCCTCTTCTGTTTTTTTTTTTTAATGAAATATTTTCAAATTATTTATTTTGAGAAGTACAAGCACAAAATTTGAAAGTTGGCAAGAGGGTATGTGATGATAAACCTCTAACCTTATTTTTAGCTAGCCCGCTAGTTCCCAATCCTAAAGGTACCCATAGTTGGCCAGGCCTTTATGTGACCCTATAGATTTATTATTTGGAGAAAAAAATGCAACATTAATGCACAAAATTAAGTTAATGCACAAAATGGGACAATTGTCAGGGCAGTCATTTTCCTCCCTTTATAGCTGTATCTTCACATTCTCTGGATGATTGAACTGAAAGACTTAAGAAACCAGATAATCTAGATAAGGACCTCAGCTCTCTTTTAGCTAGATTTCTAGATTCTGTTGTAGTGCTTCAAGTCCAAAAATTCAGACATCCAACAATTGTGAAGGATTACTTTTCCTATAAAACAGGAATGTGATTAATTGTCTTTGAAGATTGAAATTGCACTTAAATTTCTGCTCTTTACACCCACAGTTTAACGGAATTGATGAAATAAAATTATCAGTGCTAACAAACTCAGTTGATGGTAGGGGGAAGATAGCAATTAAAAAGCTAGTCTGTCAACATTACTTGATGCAAGTCAGATCTTGTTTGAAACAACAGCCCCCTTCCCCCCCACCCCCCAGCTCTGTTGCTATTTGGGAGGACTTGTTCAATAGAGTTGTGGTCTGCTCCCTTAAAGCCAACTGCAGGCTTCTGCAGAGGTCTTTGATAAGACAATGTTTCCTTTTTGATAAGCATTGAAATGTACCCCTAAATAAACAAACAAAAGATACCAACACACTTGGTCATTTCCTTAATCTACCTTACTTTTCTCTGAGAAAATAAAGCTTTTCCTTCTGAAGCTACTACTAGCACTTAACAGCCCTGATGGATGTCTTTCCTGATGAAGGTGGCTATTTTGACATACGTATAATGCTGTTCTATGAATCAGGCCAATATTAGCTATTTTTTGACCAACCCCAGGGATCTTTAAAAGCTTTCTTAATGCAGATCTCTGTACAGCTATATTCAGTATTATGGAGGGAGTCCTGGCTGGAGATTGGGACAAACTAGGTGACCTCTGGAGGTCCCTTAACAAACATTTCAATGACTCCCGCATATTTCATTTTAGGCCTGTGATTGGGAAAAAAGTTCAGTTCTAAGAAAACAAATGTAGTCCTTAGGATCATAATGATACTGCACTTATATAGGAAAAGTTGATTGTAGATATTATCAAATACATTTGGTGAGTAGAGGTTCCTCACCCAAGCAGATGGCTTATAGGACATTCCCCTTCGCCTTATTCAGCGTCTTGTATTATGGTGAGACAGATCTTCTGCAAAGTATGATGGTTAACACAAAAACTGCTAAAACAATCCTATTTCTATTTTACAAGATTTCAAACTATGCTAATTTATCCACTAGCTATCCCTTACAAGAGTGAATACACAGTGAACAGTTCTGACTGTGGTATAATTGACTATTCAAAGTTCCTTTGTCTAATTTACAGAATGCCCAAGTATCTGGTTTTCTGGATCAGGATAGTTGGGAATGAGGAAGAAAAAAATAAAGCATTTAATAATATATAAAATGTCCATCACTTGAGCACTAGCAAATGATAGACTTGCTGATGTGAAAACCTAATGCAGTGTTACCTAGATCCTGGAAAG